TGGAAGGTTTTTAATGGAATTGGTGAGAAAACAAGTTTGTATATAGTATATAAAGTGGCAAGTACGCTTATCAAATATATATATATATATATATATATATATATATGATACACATATCTCTGTTAGCAGACACAAGTGTGGCCAGCTCATCTTCAAAGATGCATGTGTGCTCAATGTCGCAGTATTCATATCATTACCTGAAAATACATTGCTTCCAAAAGACATGATTCTTAGTATGTGTAAACATTTAAATTAGATTCTTCTTTTAATCAAACTAATACTTTATCTGTGACTGACTGATTATGGAAAAGCTCAACAAACTGAAGTAAACAATAGAACAAGCACATGATATATCTAGAGGGAATGATTTTTGTTGGTAAGAATGCTTAATTAATTCACAACAAGCACTGGATTATCATGATCAAAGGAGCAGCTGCTGTGCTGTCTTGGCTCTGAAGTCTAGTTCTAGGTATACTTATATTGATTTTGAAATTTATTTTCTCATTTTAAAAATCACTGCAGGCAGTGATTAATTCATTTTTTTTTTTTATAAATATTGACATGATACAGATATGGGTCAGGTAGATAACCATCATTTTTTTAAAAATTTGATCAGTTTCATGAATAAAAAAAATACTGTAAACATCCACACTTTAAAGTTGGGGCCAACTGTTCATTTTATCGTTACATTAAATGGAAATTTTCATTATATTTATGAACAGTTTCTACATTTGAACGATGTTCATTAAATGGTTAACGATAGATTTTGTTTTAATTGGTACACTCTAGAGTTCAGTACTTAGAATTCTCTTAGTTTATCAAAGTTCTTACATTTTTGTTACACACATATAATTCATGAAGCATTTCAATCAAGATTTAAGAAAACAACAATTACCAGTATATAAAAACATTTGAATAAGAATTGACTAGACAGTAAACAAAAAGTTTTAGGGAAGTATTAAATGTATTCATTAACAATCAGAAACCATTGTCAAGCCAGGCAAATATCATTTATAGTGTAAAGTTTAGCACAAAAAGGAGAAAGATTAAAGAAATTAATTTGATATAACCTGAAAAATTAAACAGTATTGGAAATATTAATCAGCAAAAGAAAGAGGGTGAAAATGTATGGGTAGATATAGATGAGTAAGGATAGACTGAATATGGATGTGGTGTTTGAGCACAGGTGTGGAAGGTTTGAAGGCTGGACCCTGGGTCAGGAATCCACTATAATCTCTTGTAATGTACTGGCTTAGATACATTGACCTATTCTCTGCTCCAGCTGTAGGCAATAGGGGAAAAGTAATTTTTGTAAAATTTAGTTTTGTTTAAATCAAATTCTACAGAAACCCCTCTAATATGATTACTGTTAAACTTGATTAAGGTGGAATGTATCATCTTAATAAAGGATCTGCTTGTCTACAATAATTTTTGATTGACAGTTTCTGCTTAACATTAGAAAGATAGATTACCAGCAATGCATCAATGCCTTTTCAAAATTCAGTCTTTAAATATAAGTTTGGAAGGTAATGAAAATGTTTGAACACTTGGTGATTTTTCTCCATTTGAAATGAGATTTTATCTTAGAATATTGATGTAGCATATGTCATTTGAGATGTTTATAATGCTTTGTATAATGTGAAGTGTATCTCCGGTGAATTGTGAGGTATGGGTTAACATGTTGTTATATTAGTATTTATTGCTACCGAATCAAAGAGTGAAGGATGAATTTTGTTGTGTGTAGCGTGACAACCCAAAACTCTTGTGTGGTGTAATGTTGGTATGGTCCACAGAATTATGCAATATTTAATTTAGTATAGCATATTGTTCCATGCCATTATTATGAGACATGAAGGGGGTCTTTGGTGAGAAAATGTTTGCTCTCAAGTACAGTTGAATTCCTTTGAAAAAGAGCTGATCTTCTCAATGATGGACTGGAGTCTTATTCAGTTTTCTTGCCCTTAGGTCATTGTCATCAGATCATTAATTGCCATCCACAGTTTGTCATTACTTTCATCATCATTTTCATCTGTGAATAGGCATAATTCATACAGACTTTGTGATTGCTGCCTTGGAAATATCATTGTAGCAAGGGAAACAACTCTTTAGTGCCATGCAGCATATTATTACCGAGATGTAAAGAGGCCACCCTGTCACCCCTACACTTGTTAGAATCTGAAGTAGATTCTATTGTAACTGAAGGGTTGGTAGGATGTTGAAGTGCTGTACTGTTTCTCTGATGGTACACCAAAATTCTTTGATATATATATATATGTGTGTTCGTGAATTTCTCTCTCTTTTTTTAATTTCATTTATTTATTGAATTAATGACACTGCATCTTGTACATAAAAATCCTGGTCATTTCCTGTGTACATGCTGGCGACAACTGGATTTGTACAATCAAGTAATAATAAATGGAGGGAAAGAAGGAGAAAAAAAGACAAATTGTGTGTCTAAACAAGGACAACACAAGTGATGTCTTTGGTTTTCAGTATACACCATTGTTTAGTGTATAATTATTTATTATTGTAATAATGTATAAGAAAGGAGGTAATATGGACCCCTTATCCAACCAGTAACCTTGTTGCACCCATTGTATGGGGTTCAAAAGGTGAGATAAGGGGTCACATGATCAATATTGTTGTCAGGTTTAAATACATATTACACAAAGCATATGGAGATATTAATGCACTGTAACCTGTGTAATGGTGTTACAGAATAGATTATTATCATGTTTGAGTAGGAGGGGGACAAACAACTTAAGAAACATTATGATAATGTGACTTTGTTAGGTTTGTAAATACTGTCTAGTGTACAGAATCATCTCATTGTTGTCATGTTTTGGCTGTATCAGATATGCTGTAAATGATAGCCACCATTTTGTAGCTGTTGCCTACCAAACCAAAGTAAAATGGAAAAAAATAAATGTAAATAATGAATGAACAGCAGTGTTTTTGTTTTTGTTGTTTCAGTGGATAAACAGTGTTGTTCAAGTATATAATAACTCTCAAGATGGTGTGGCAGGTGATGGACGAATCTTTGAAAATAAAGTTGATAAACAATTAATATCGAAATGAAATGAGCAACTGCCTGGTAATAAGTGGAGTAATGAAATGAGAGAATAGGATTCTCATCTCAAAAAGATGAGAACAAGTAGAATTCATCATAAAAACAGACTTTTACATTACTATTATAAAAGTTCAGGGCATTCAAATAGTATGTAATACATGTATATCTACAATTCAAAATTGGAGTTAATTTTTAGAAGATAAATTATTCCTCAACAAGTGATAAAACAAATTGTAATGAGTTTGGTTATGTACATACAATTATGAAGTTGATTCCCATCACTAAATGCCTGTGAACTTTTTGTATGTTGTAAATGTAGTGTTTGCCTTCCATGAAATTATTCCGGAGGACTTAACACAGCGGGAACAAAAGTTTCCATATCAGAGTCGGTGCCTTATAGGTACCAAATATAAATAGCATTAAGCTCCAGTTTTGGACCAAACACTTCAAAGCAACTTTATTTAAAAAACTACCAGGCCTAGAGGGAGTAAACCCTGAGTAAGATGAGGTCAAGATGACCTATTGCTATTGTGCATAATCAACCGTCATGCACAGTTCGTCATCCGTACACTTTTCCTTTAAATACCGCTTTACGCCTTAGTGGATTTAACCAAAGAAGGTATTTGATATTACTGAGGGTGGGAATCATTTCCTAAATTCAGAAATTCGGGAGATAGGGCCCCAAAATGGTAGTTAAACAATACTGTGTGACAAAAATGCTGCTGCTTTAGTGCTTGAATTGATTCGACCCCCAGGGGCCCCAAAACAGAAGGTTAGATAGTATTTTGCTTCACCATGCTACTCTTCCTGTACTGTACTGTAAAGCTTCCTGGTGTAAACAACCTTAGCCATCCTTCTGGATTGTGGTACTATAAAGTTTCTTTATATAAATAGCCTTGGCCATCCTTCAGGATTGTGGTACTGTAAAGTGTCCTGATGTAAACAACCTTGGCCATCCTTCAGGATTGTGGTACTGTAAAGTGTCTTGATGTAAACAACCTTGGCCATCCTTCAGGATTGTGGTACTCTAAAGTTTCTTATATAGATAACCTTGGCCATCCTTCAGGATTGTGGTACTCTAAAGTTTCTTATATAGATAACCTTAACCATCCTTCAGGATTGTGGTACTCTAAAGTTTTCTGGTGTAAATAACCTTGGCCATCCTTCAGGATTGTGGTACTGTAATGTTTCCTGGTGTAAACAACCTTGGCCATCCTTCAGGATTGTGGTACTGTAACGTTTCCTGGTGTAAACAACCTTGGCCATCCTTCTGGATTGTGGTACTGTAAAGTTTCCTGGTGTAAACAACCTTGGCCATCCTTCAGGATTGTGGTACTGTAAAGTTTCCTGATGTAAACAACCTTAGCCATCCTTCTGAAATGTGGTGCTATAAAGTTTCTTATATAAATAGCCTTGACCATCCTTCAGGATTGTGGTACTATAAAGTTTCCTGGTGTAAACAACCTTGACCATCCGTCTGAAATGTGGTGCTATAAAGTTTCTTATATAAATACCCTTGACCATCCTTCAGGATTGTGATACTATAAAGTTTCTTATATAAATACCCTTGACCATCCTTCAGGATTGTGGTACTGTAAAGTTTCCTGGTGTAAACAACCTTGGCCATCCTTCAGGATTGTGGTACTGTAAAGTTTCCTTGTAAATAACCTTGGCCATCCTTCAGGATTGTGGTACTGTAAAGTTTCCTTGTAAATAACCTTGGCCATCCTTCAGGATTGTGGTGCTATAAAGTTTCCTGGTGTAAACAACCTTGGCCACACTTTTAAAACATTAGAATATGTAAGCAAGTTTGAGTTTCAGGTAAATAGGTCAGTGTCAAGGTCACTTATGGTACTAATTTTAGAATATAATTGTCCCAGTTCTGGTGGCTTCATACCTTGTGGGGTTTTCATAAAAAAATAACACACCTTTAAAGCACAAGAACAAATGGGAATTTCTAGATTGCTGGATCACGGTCAAGGTCACAATGATTATTATAGAAAATTGTTATCAGCTGTGTTGTCTTATTATTTTACTTCTTTATTGCATTGTTATATTAAAATCAGCAACAAACTATTATATTTTTCTTTTTTTTAAATTAACACCAAACATCTTAGTTAATCATCATCATATAGTAACCTGTGGGGGCCTGTAGAGGACATGAATTGCTTTAACAATACACAGTATGCTTGTTTTATCTGTCCACTTGATTTCTATTTAACATAAAAAATATCTTTTTCACTCATTCATAAGAACTGTTTTGTCATTACGACCATATCAATCATGTATATAGATGATAAAACAGTAATGAAATTTTGCTCTCATAATATTTTTGTTTAAATCTCATAATGTATAAACACTTTACAAATATTCTCTTTGGATAGAAACTTGTAGAAAAATTTATATTATTTTACCACAAACCTGTTAGAGAATATTTCATAGATATTATCTTATCATGGAAATATGCTTAACGAAATTGGCATTCTTTTCCTAACATTTGAACATAATTACATAATTTCTCTTTTCCACTGAAATATTGGCAGGAACAAAATCAGAGTGGCATCATGGTGTACCTCGCTTTGAAAAGGTATTGTATATCATAAACCATGTCGTTAGTGTTCCACACTTCTTTCCTTGAGGCTTGCATGCAATGAGATAAATTAAGATAAATTGCAATTATAAGAGTCCACAGACAATCATTTCGGCCAGTATTGGCATGACCAAACCTAAATGGTTTAGTTCCGTATAGTTCCAAAAGTTAATTTTCTAAATCCATCGACATCATGATCATCAGACTCTCTCGCTGTTACAGCTTCCATCCAAATCCATGTCCACACATTTTGTATAAAATTAACTGCTATCTGATACACACGGCCGGGTAGCCATGACAGGTATCAAATACTTACATGATATACTAGTTATGAACCTTTGTGTAATGACCTTGACATTAGCATTTAACCCTCATAACTTCGACGTTTTGACCTTGACATGGTCCACTGCCATCCGAGCAGCATCCAGGGCTGTTCCCCAGCTGAAGCAAACTCCGTTAGCACCATGACCATAGTTATGGATGATCTACAATGAAACCATGGAAATTATATTTTCCAAAAGACACAAAGTCAAAGAATTAATTTCTTAACCAAGAACATTTTTTTTCAACAAATCCTTTTGGCAAATGACAGTCCCAATCTGAATGTGGAAGCATATGCCAAAAAGCATCGATGATGAATTTGTGTAGGAAAATGAAGGTCAAAGTGACCTACATGTGGTTGCCCAATGCCCAAAGTATCAAGATCCAGTGATTAGAAGGTCAAAGGTCAAATATAGGCCAAGGTGACTTAATTTTGTTACATAACATATCTGTCTTCGGTCGGCCTGTGTCCAAAGCTTGGAGTTTCAGTGATAAGTAGTGTAAGAGATAGAAGTCAGATGAGATAAAGCGCAGAAAGACAGAAGGACAGACAGACACATCATAAACCGATACACTATCTCTCTCCCCCATTCATAAAGATATTTGATTTTTTTATCCTAATATAAAGTACTTTGTCAGAGTTTAGAACAATATATACTATACAATGACAAATGCATGATGAAATCAGCATTCTATGTAACAACATAGGGGAGGCAAACAGCAATGGCCTGACTGATTCACATGTAGTGACAAGTATAAAAAATGAACGAGAACAAAGTTTCCTTGTTAAATGGCTAATGCCTTAGAAGGAGATGCATTTACGTCAAAGAAACCAAAATATGATAAAGTCTATATTTAAAATGTCAGAATTCAGAGAACGATAAATCCTAACAACTTTAACATTATGAAGATACTCATACTGTTTCTGATAGCTGTATAAATTCTGAAATATCGTGAAAATTATTGACTAGATGTACAAGGGTACATAAACCCAGTATTGACAACATACCTGGATTGTCCTTCCGTCCACCTTGACCGCCTCCTTCTCCAGTCTGATATCATGTCTATGGGGACGGATTCCCACCCATCGTCTTACCTCACAGGCGTCCTAGAATGCACCCAAGTTTTGTAACTCAATGCGTATCATGTTTAGACATATTATCTTAGGAAATACTTATCATAAGTTGACAATTCTGTTATATTTCGAATGAAAAGCAAAAAATAGCAAGGTACATGTATGATAATCGTGGTAAATACTAGCTGTAATATACCACTCAGTTAGAGAGAATGTTTCTTAAGCTTGATCAAGCAAGCCAGGGCTATGGGTTCGAATCCCAGCAGAGGCATGAGAATTAATAACGATCTCTGATACGTTCACGTGGCTGAAGACGAGAAGATGAAAACTGCAACACATTTCCATAGAGTTTGGAAAACAATTTTTTAAAGCAAAGCTTGTTATATAAGGAATTTATATTTGCAATTATGGCATGCAGAAAATGAAATATGAAAATGGAAATACATCCCTACAAAGGTCACATGTCAAGGACACAATTCTGATACTTCCCTGCAAAGGTCAGATGTCAAGAGCACAATTCTGAGACTTCCCTACCAAGTCTCAACAGTATATTGAAAAGTAATCCCGACAACTGTTTCGAGAGTGTTCTTTTGTGAAATACACATTTAAACCCTATTTGATGTATTGTTTTACATACTTTGAGAGATGGGAGAATGTCCTGACATATTCCACGGATTCGGTTAAAAGTTTCTGGGATGTAGTCAAGTTCAGTTTGACCGACTTCACGTGTGACTCCCAAGGTCACATCATCTTGTCTGCAAAAAAATATTTTCATAAAAGGAAGTGGTGTAACTGATAATCAGAAAACGCTGGATAAGCATACATTATTACGTCACATAATGTGATTTCATCTTATTGCGATATTTGATGTAAAATCGTTGATGACGTAATTGATTACAGAATTTGTTCTGCTGTCTGTTTCGAGAAGTGTCCTTTAAGTAATTACGATAGATAATAATAATAAACAATTTATTTTGTTCTGTTTACAGACACAGAGAATCAACAAAAACAGACACAACAATGATGTTCTCAGTTAAAGATACATATAGACTTATAAATGACAAACAGTGGGAAAATATATATTGGATAAAAGTACATAAACGTTTCGGTAAAGCAGTATCCTTGGTGTTCGTTAAGGATTGGAATTTAACTATATTTGCTCCAGTACAATAAAAAATCTCCTAGATAAGACTTTATAAAAGTACTTTTGCTAAAATAACTTAAAATGGTTCATCTGTCATCAAGCTGCTCAAGAGAATATTTATATTCTACAATTCCTTTTAAAATCCTATTACACCCAGACTTAGAAGAATTTACCTGTAAATTTCAACCACTCTACGTTTATATCTAAACTGTTTTGCATATCCCATATGTGAACGTAAACGTCAAATTACTTGAGCATCAAAACTTACCCGGGGTTTACGCAATTGCCACATCAATGAGAACACCAAAGTTATCAGCACTTACCCAACACCAAAGTTATCAGCACTTACCCAACACCAAAGTTATTAGCACTTACCCAACACCAAAGTTATCAGCACTTATCCAACACCAAAGTTATCAGCACTTACCAAACACCAAAGTTATCAGCACTTACCAAACACCAAAGTTATCAGCACTTACCAAACACCAAAGTTATCAGCACTTACCAAACACCAAAGTTATCAGCACTTACCAAACACCAAAGTTATCAACACTTACCAAACACCAAAGTTATCAGCACTTACCAAACACCAAAGTTATCAGCACTTACCCAACACCAAAGTTATCAGCACTTACCCAACACCAAAGTTATCAGCACTTACCAAACACCAAAGTTATCAACACTTACCAAACACCAAAGTTATCAACACTTACCCAACACCAAAGTTATCAGCACTTACCCAACACCAAAGTTATCAGCACTTACCCAACACCAAAGTTATCAGCACTTACCAAACACCAAAGTTATCAACACTTACCAAACACCAAAGTTATCAACACTTACCCAACACCAAAGTTATCAGCACTTACCCAACACCAAAGTTATCAGCACTTACCAAACACCAAAGTTATCAACACTTACCCAACACCAAAGTTATCAACACTTACCAAACACCAAAGTTATCAGCACTTACCAAACACCAAAGTTATCAGCACTTACCCAACACCAAAGTTATCAACACTTACCCAACACCAAAGTTATCAACACTTACCCAACACCAAAGTTATCAACACTTACCCAACACCAAAGTTATCAGCACTTATCAAACACCAAAGTTATCAACACTTACCCAACACCAAAGTTATCAACACTTACCAAACACCAAAGTTATCAACACTTACCAAACACCAAAGTTATCAGCACTTACCAAACACCAAAGTTATCAGCACTTACCCAACACCAAAGTTATCAACACTTACCCAACACCAAAGTTATCAACACTTACCCAACACCAAAGTTATCAGCACTTACCCAACACCAAAGTTATCAACACTTACCCGGGGTATATGAAGTGGTCTCCATTACCGAGAACATAAAATTGTTTCACCCACGGTGCATTTACCTACAAAGTATACAGACCGGCACTCATAAATTTTGTGGGTTTTTTTCTGCCATCTTAGAGGCGTGAGTGATATACATCTGTTTTCCTAAGACCATTTTGTTTCATTGACAATGTCAATATGGTGGCCGGTTAGTAATAAGTAAATAATGGACGCAGGTAAAACTAATGCCTCTATATCCATATCTAAAGTATATGTTGATCAGGAGATGTTTCCTATAAAAATTCTAAGATTCTCAGTTATTACATATGTATAGCCAATTAAATGCTAAATAGCAAAAAACATTTCACTATTTTTAAGTTAAAATGACACTTAATGTTTCCTCTTTATATACTGTTCCTGGGAAGGCGCACAATTTTTCTACTCCAAGGTGGTCCACGCACACGGTATACATAATCCTCCGTTTCATTGTTTTCTTTCTGATTCGCTTCCTCGTATAATGCCTTCTCTGCTTCTCTTTCACAATGTGTTATGTCGTTTCTTATTCGTATTAAGGAAAGTTGACTATGATTTCTTATTTTTCTGATAATTTTAAAGATTCCTTTCTTTGGTTGTTGTGACTCAAAACGAACTAGAATAGGCCGGCTGTTATTGGTTATGTCACTGTACTCTGGTCTCTTTCCCAATCGTATAATTTTTTCTAGGCCTATCTTTGTTTGACACTCCACAGACTTCTAATACGTTTCTTTCCATCGTGATGGGACTGTTCTCGCTCTTTAATTTCAGCAACTATTTCGTCTTTGCTTGGTGCAGATTTCTCAGACTTCAAGTCCATTTCCAGTTAAGCAAATGACCCTTTGACCTCTCTTTCAAGTTACGCAATTCTATCTTCAAATTCCTGCGTGATTTGCTTACACCTCTCTTCCTCCTTTCTGTCCGTGAGAATGTTCTTTTCGACTGTCATTCTGCATTAGTTTAAACATATTTTATTGCCGAAAGCAGATGGATTGGGCACAAGTCACAACTTATAAGAGCCCTCTCCACAATAATATATACAATGAATGTGACAACAGCTATGTACAGTTACAACTCATTTTTAAATGTAAAATGTAGAAGGGAAAAAGGAAGGACAGAAAAGATGGGAGAGGAAGAGAAGAAATTGATTTAACAATCTGACGTAGTCAACCCTCACGCCTGGCACTATAATTGCACAACACATCATTCCTTCTTACACAGTTCAGTAAAACACCATTCCTATAGGCCATCTCGTTCTCTTCAAGGCTTTCAATTAAGCTTAACTAAAGTGCCAGGCAAACATTACTCGTAATTAATTAATAACATTCAATATTAAAAAAATAATATAAATACAAGTAGCTATTAGAGATACAGAAAGGAGAAGAGGGCAAGATCACAAATTCACAGAGTGAAGTCAGAATCTGTTGCCGGTCCGCATGTATGTGTGTACGATGTGAAAAATGTCTTCGTTTTCAGTAACGGCGAGTTCAGATTTTCCAGACAAAAGAGTTTCGAGATTAATTCGGTAATACGGACGCAAATTTACAAACATGTTTGCTCTCAAAATAGTATAATTAGGACATTAAAAAAATATTGATATGCATCTTTACAAAAATGTCCACAAGAACATGATGATGATTCTACTAAGTTTACACGGTACAAATCGTTATTTAACGCACTGCAGTTATATCTTAATTTAGTATGAATTATATTTAAACGACGTGGTCCGTAATAAAAAAAAATAGTAGATTTGTTTTGTCTTGGACTGATAGCTTTTCTAAATTTAGACACAGTTGGTAGATTTCTTATTTCATCGGGAAGATTGTTCCAGAGTTTAATAGTGTTAGGCAAGAAAGACAGTCTGGTATTGGTTAGTCTATAATTCGGTAATACATAATCATTGTTATTTCTTAATTCATACCTGTTTAAATTACTGTTAACTGTTGGTAAAAGATCGTGTAAATAAGGTGTTAGATTAGTATGGATCTTGTAAAATAAAATAAAATTTCTTCTATTTCTACTTCAGTTTCGAAATATAATGCTTGCCTAGTAACGTAACTTGGTAGACCGGTCACAATTCTCGCTGCTTCTAATTGTAATTTTTCTAGTAAATCAGAATGAAATTTAGAACAACCACTCCAAACTTCACAACAGCATTCAAGAACTGGCAGTATAGATGAGGTATAAATTTTAGATAGAGTTTTTCTATTTACTAAAAAAAATAATTGCCTTAAGGCATTGATCTCTTTTAATATTGATTGATATATAAAGTCAACATGATTCCCCCACTTTGCATTAGCACTCAATAAAACTCCTAAGTGCCTGTGGGTTTCTGACATATTTAATCATGTTTCACCAAATTGTAAATGAATGGCATTGTTTCGTAACGTGTTTGAGATAACAATAACATTAGTTTTATTAGGATTAAATGTTACCAACCACTTTTTGGACCAATCTATTATACGCTGCATATCAAAATTTAAAATTCGTTCTATTTCTACTATAGAGGAGAGTCATTCTGCATGGTGGACAAAACCACATTGTATCTGATTTTGATAGGATGTCCTATTTCTTTGAATCAAAATTCAGACATCTGATGCAGAAAAGGTCCTGGCATCAATCACACTTCATGTACTTCTTTGCTTCCTTCGAGCATATCTTGCAGTTATACTGTTCCTCCAGCGATGCGTCGTTGAAGGACTCTTCCGAGTTGGATCCCAGTTCAGAATCCGATTTCTTGCTACTTCTTGCACTACCGATTTTGCCTTTAGTCATTTTATCTGTTATTTCGCGTATCTTTTCGTTTCCACGAATCCACACTATATCTAGGATGGTCTCCTGGTCACTTCCGTACTATATGTATCGATAATTACCTCCTTATCGGCAAATTATCCACGAAAATTACCCCATTGCCTATAGAGCATCCTCAAGTACGACTGTATCCATGGCGTGACGTCAATCAGCAAACCTTGTTCGTTTGACCTAAATAAAGAAAGGGAGCGACAACGCCACGGCATGGAAATGAAATCACAACAGAGAGGGAACAACAACGCCACGGCATGGGAGTGATGTCACAACAGCGAGGGAGAGACAATGCCACGGCATGGAAATGAGGTCACAACAGCGAGGGAGAGACAACGCCACGGCATGGAAGTGATGTCACAACAGCGAGGGAGCGACAACGCCACGGCATGGAAGAAAGATCCCAACAGCAAGGGAGAGACAACGTCACGGCATGGAAGAGAGATCCCAACAGAGAGGGAGAGACAACGTCACGGCATGGAAGAGAGATCCCAACAGAGAGGGAGAGACAACGCCACGGCACGGAAGTGATGTCACAACAGCGAGGGAGAGACAACGCCACGGCATGGAATTTTTCGTGTGAAAACTAATAATTTAAGAGACTAAGATACGGTCGATTATGTATTTACCCTAAGCGTGTGCCCCCTGACAGGAAACATATCGTCATCACCAAACAACTGCCGACTTCCCCATCCGAGGCAGTTCACTGTGACATCACACACGGGTATCTGCGAACAGAAGATTTAGACGGAACTAAACAAGGAAACTAGAAGCATCGTTTCAACATGACTGAATATTTCACCACGGAACGTTTTTGCTGGCATGCTTCACACTTTTTATTTCGTTTTACAGAAAAATATTTAATTTTTTTCAAAATGCTGTTTTATTTTAACGAAACATTGTGTCGTTTTATTGAAACATCATTCTGATATTTCGTTTTAACAAAATATCATTTGTTATTTTGAAATGATATTTTCTTTTAGCCAAATATTTCGTTATTTGTAATGCTATTTGCAAAAATGAAAGATTAATATTGACATTTACAATATTTTCTCACAACACCATTCAGTAAATCAGTTATTAAGTATTTTCCTCATGTAATCTCATCCTCGATACTCCAGGAGTTACGATCACTTTCGCTCTCTACACCCCTGGAACATGGCATGGTAAACTTGAAGGCACAGGTAAAGTAATTTCATTGGTTCCAGGAGAAAAAACACTGACCAATCATAGGCTGATACACTACTTTTTGAAGATTACAAAGGAGCGACACCCAACTTCTAAGCCATTACAATTTACCGTTATGCAACCTCGAGATTCGTTTGATGTACATCAAACGATCAAACTAGTCTATTCGTCTTGTCCACAAAGTGTCACACACGGAACCTTCAATTCTGACATGACATGTTCCAGAGTGATTTACTTTCCATACATAACAGACATTTACTAAAGTTATGATCGACAGCTGAACCGTGCGAATTGTTTCCGTGACAACAAAAGGAAAAAGGTTCTGTATTTCAGTTTTATCCATTCAAAATTATATTTAGTATTCAGTTAGGTAATTGAATAAACTATACATGTGATAATATTGAACACTGCCTGCCTCCATATAAATCTAAAACATGTGTTATCCATTATATTAGATTGAAACAATTGTCGGTCGTTGAATACATGCTTGTCCATCATTTACAGTGTAAAAAATTTAATCAGAACCTGTTCTGTACACAGTACACCTGTACTCTAATGAAATACAGGTTTGTTTTGCCACTTGAAGCGGCGGTATACACGTGTTCATACTGTTGTATGGATGGCACGTTGAAAATTGACAAATGCTGAAAAATGGTCAGCTTCTGAAAGAGTTCAAAATGTTGTGACATACAAGTAAATAGCTGCTGGTTTCAAAGTCAGCAATTCAGATATTGCTTGGTCCCAGGTCTGTCAGATCTCGAAAGACTACAGATAGAGAAAATAGACTTCTGTGTAGACAGGCTAGGCGAATACTATACATCGGTGCTAACAAACGACAATGGGTCGTCGCCGTAGTTCCATCTACATACGTGTGAACAATAGGTGACTCTTTACGACCAGTAAGATGTTGTCTGTTGACTGGAAGGCACAAACAACAACACAGCAATGGATACGTCATCACCGGACATGGAATATCAGTTCTTGGTGAAGACTCCACTGATCGTTTTACACCTAGTCCATCAGACAGCGGGGTTCGTCTTCCGCGAAATCGTCAGAAATACCATCAGAATCACTTTCTGGCACGTTAGCATTTTGGTGTGACAGTATTACTGTTTGGGTATATATATATATATTGTTGTAAATTGCAATTTTCACTTTCATGTCCTTCATATAACTTTTCATAGCCACAGAAGCACCGTAATCAGATTCTTTGACCTTCAGTTGTTCTGCATTTCGATGCCCATCTACCGATCTAACGGATAACAAGATCAAACCACACAGAACCCGCCTAGCTTTAACAAGAAGTGGCAGAGGTGCACCTGTCGTCAGAACCAGACATGAACCAAATTGAGCATGTGTAGGAATTGCTCGAGCAAAATGTCAGACAAGATCAAGTGCGAAAGAACGGAAGGACGGACCGGAAAATGCAAACATCCAATAACACCTTGATCACATTACAACACATACAAAATTACATTACACAAATGCCATTACTCCGGACATATTGCTTGTTGGAAAAACATGCTACATGCCCAATATCAAGAACCTTGTCTGTTTCGTTATTAAAAAGAAGTTGCTTACGCATTTCAACACATTTCACTCCTGTGACCTTGAAAGTGGTTCAAGGTAATTAATATACCAAGCTCGGTAGACCTTCATCCCAAGTAATTTATAAATTTCAAGCTATTGACCACTGTGACTTTGAAAGCCTTAAATCAGCACCCAGGGTCTTTTGGATATGGAGAAGAAGTCATTTGAATGGATTTTTTTTAAACACGCGGGCGCACGACGACGGACAAAACACGTTGGCTATTGGTTATCTTGACCCTTCGGGTTAAATGACCTATATATATATATATATATATATATATATAATAGATAAAAGATCAACTCGTACTTATTAACTTACCTCTGATAAAGATGTTACCCTCTGGCAAATAACATACCCTCCATTTGTACGAAATCTGAAATATTAGTACTCAGGACAAACCAGCAACATCGCAAAACATAACACATGTGACGTTATCAAGCACAAGACATTGAAAGCTGTGAAGTACAGTACGTTTAATAGTAATTTAAAGATTTTCAAAAAGATTTTTTTCGGACATTTCAAACTTCCGTTTTCATACATTTAAATGCATTTGCTTTTGCTTTAAAGTTTTACCTCTTCATGAGCCAAGGGAGATAACGTCGACATTCTACCATCAAGGTATCATACCACCAACCATATCTGTGAACACAACGTGTTTGAATTTTTCAATCATTCGCGATGGACTTTTCATAACAAGAAATAATAGAAACACTTTGGTGTAAATCATTGATAGATCTGACTTGTAGTTTAATCTCTTTCTTTCTATGATGAGTTGTATTGGTAGTGATATTAGCAGTGAGAGAGTCTTGTTATAATCATTGGAATACAAGCATATCAAAAATTGTCCGAAATCTGTTAGATTCTTCTAATTAGACATAAAATCAAACACGCAATAAAAACGACAAAGGGGACTAACCTAAATTACATCCCTACTTTATGAGAAACATCGATATTTCAGCTAATATCAGTCCAAAATGGTTGTCATGTTGGTCTCTAAATTAGCCTACAACCAATAGTAATTGGCTGGCAAAATTCAAATATAAACTTCGAATACTATGTCACATGAAACAGGACTCAAGTTGGAAAAATGATCCTTACAAACACGCACAATCGATATTTGCCAACCTAATCATCATCAAAAGCCAATGCAAAATGCTTTGTGATAGTCTTTACTTGACTCTAAATTGTCAAACACTAGAACCCGTTCTTAACTTGTTGTTAATGTTACAAGAATCTCCGTTTACAGACAGACTATATAAAGCTATATCATGGACCACAGACGACATGTTTACGGCATGGGGAGATCACGGACCACAGACGACATGTTTACGGTATGGGGAAATGACGGACCACAGAAGACATGTTTACGGTAGCGGGAGATCACGGACCACAGACGACATGTTTACGGTATGGGGAGATCACGGACCACAGACGACATGTTTACGGTATTGGGAGATGACGGACCACAGACGACATGGCATAACAAAATATTTGCCAATAAAATACATTCTAGTTAAAATGTTACCTTGACCTTTGACCTGGTGACCCAATTAACTTTTGTTTGATTTTTGCATGTACATATATGTATTTTATGTTCACTTACCATTTGATTTCAGTCAGTTATTTAGCCGTAAAACATTTATATGATAATTTTCACAGTAAGAAATCAACAATTCATTGCACTCTCTGTTGCAGGAGTATGCTTTTAGGCGAATATCCTGGGCCTTTTGTTTATTGACACTCAGTAAATTGATTATATTGATATATTAATGTGTAGTTTACACTTCTACTGAATATTTAAAAAAATATCACACATAACATATAGTGGTGGAACATATTTACAATTTGGGAAAAAGCTATAATCTGGCCGCTTTGATCTTGATAGTGGGTCAAGGTCATTCATCTGAGCAAATTTGGTAATTCTTCAATACAACATTGCTTCTGGTTAAATATCATGACCCTAAGTATTTTATGATGGGTAGAGGATAATTCATTTTTGTAGCAATTGACTTGTGGACCTTAACAGCTATATCACTATAAAGACTTTTATAGGCTGTAACTGCAGTAACAGTAGTCAAAATATTTAGCATTTAAGGCAACAATACTCCTCATTCTTAACAAAATTCCATGGCACCAGTGGAAGTTTGAAAATGTGTTTATCAAGATGGCGGCTGTGGGGACGATATTGGATTTCAGGCAGATTAAAAAATAACAACACATGGTCAGGACCATTTCAGGACCATTTCTGGTATGTTTCAAACCCACTTGTTGAACTTGAGAAGTTTATTGCTATTGCTGTGGGAAACCATAATTATCCAATCATGTCCCACTTTTGTCAGCTCAGATGTAAGGCATACCAGGAGTCTTACAGTGGGAGAAAACTAGAGTACCAGGGGGAAATCTCCATGATCAGGCAGGTGACCCTAAGACAGGTGACTCCCAGGCAGGTGACCCCCAGACAGGTGACTCCCAGGCAGGTGACCCAAGGCAGGTGACCCCCAGACAGGTGACCCCCATGCAGGTGACCCCCAGGCAGGTGACCCCCTATTTGTTCAAATTCGTTCTGTTACTATACAGGTTAACAATTTCTTTTTATATATAAAATGTGTATTCAGTCTCAAATAAATAACAAGAGGCCCATAGGTCTTAACGGCCACTCGAGGTCTTCAGGTCTTTGGCCAGTTTTAGAACCTGTCCATCAGTCCAAGCATTGGAGCAAACAGAATAGAACTGTTAAATGCATACAAAGTTTTTACCGTTTCGAAGTTTGAAGGTTAATTTTCCCTTTGACAAAGCATACTACAGGGCCAAATATCAGGGCCCGTATTCATGAAACCATTCTCATGCTCAAGCATAGATTTTGTGCTCAAGCAAACATTTTTATAATTTGCTTAAATCATATGAAATAATACAAATGTCAAATATAAACATTGAATATAACTTTGACTTGAAGTCCTTTCTTTGGCAAAAATCAGTCTTATTTATTAATTTTGAACTGAAACAAGGCATAAGGCTTGCGCACAAAATTCATGCTTGAGCACAGTTTCATTAATACGGGCCCAGGTCTCAAGGCCCCTAGTTATTGAGAAAAAAAGTTATTTTCAGATTTCAGCATATTTGACCTCTGTGATCTTGAATTATTGAAAGTAACTGTTTGAAGATTTCATAAAAAATGTAATTGAGTAGTACTTGTTAGGATTTCAGAGAAAAATAGAGAAGGTTTTTGAAACAGCAATGTATTTGGATAAAATTTTGATCCGGAACTATAACTCTGCGCGTGCTACTTTCTATGAAATTTTAGAAACATACTTTTCATTTCGAGTAGTTTTGTACGTTCTACGAAATTTAATAAACTTACTTCAAATCAATATTGTAAACGTTTATAGTAGAAAACAGTATTTTAAATATGGATTTGCATTAAAATGATCAATATAAAGCCGTTGTAAGAACGTGTAAGACTATCAACAATTTCATTGGATTTTGTCCTATATAAGAGACAGCTAATTGAAAAAAATATATCAATTGTGAAATATGTTATATATAGAAAACTATTTTACAAAATCCATTAACATTATCCGATAAGATTTTGAAATGAAAGTGAAATATTCATTTTAGACCTGGTGTCACGTAAGCATGCGTATACTTTGTATGGTGGCACTCATAACGTTACTAGGTATGGGAATTGCCATTATGTACCATATAAAAACAGAAGGTATTATAAATATGTGTGTTCTTTATAAACCATTACCTGCGTTATCATCACGTTCTTTACATAAATTATTTCAAATGTACTCGCACATAGTAAAAAGAATGGTATGTGACTGAATTTTATATAGCATTTTGTTTGAAGCGAACGTTTGAATGTCAACCATATTGGATTGTGGCCCTTGGTTTGAATCGGAAGTAGTGTAGGGAGCATATTAATAATGTTCGTTAATAAAAATCATAAGAAACAAGAGGTTCCATGGGCCTGTGTCGCTCACCTCATCTGAAAATTATATGTATTTGAATAAAATCGTCCAACTTAAAAAAACTTATTCCTCTAGCTTGCTATTACATAATTATCACGGCCAAGGACCCACTAAAAAGAATTTTAAGTTCTTAACACATTTGACCCCTTGACAAACTTTTGTATTTTTTTATTTAAACATATTTTATTTGTCAATCAACAAAAAGGATTAGGCACAAGTTATCGCAACTTAAAAACGCCTTCTCCATAATATTTCATTATACACAAATGACATGACAACAATAACAATAACATTTACAAAAGTATATATATATGAGTATAGAAAATAAGTGAAGAAAGGAATGGGGGAGAAAGGAAGAAAAGGGAACGGTAGAGACTAAATGGAGTAAGATATGATATATTATACAAAATTGCTACTGATCTTAAAATCTTTTACTATATTTTATGTATGTTTGAACGACAAGAAAAATATTTTCATTATCTTCATCAGACAGGTTTGGAGAACCAGAAAGAATAACATTAAGAGAAACGTTACAGTAACGTGTGATACTGTCAAACATGATTTGCCGTTGTTGTGTATACAGCACACAATCAAAAAAATAATGTATTACATTTTCACATCTATTACCACATGCACATGTAGGATAACTTACAATATTAACTCTATACAAATCATATTTTAAAATACTACAAGAATGACGCAATCGTGTGTGTAAAATATTCAGTTTACGATTTCCAACATCAAAATATTTAGGTAACAAGTCATTTTCATTATACTGAATCAATGATTTAAAACTGTTTATGGATGGCTGTTCTCTAACACTGTTAGGTAATTCATTCCATAGTCTAATAGAAGACGGAATAAAAGACTGAAATGAACTAGACAGTCGGAAATTGGGAACAGTGTAATTTTCAATGTTTCTCACTTGATAGGTATTCCGTTCGTGTACTTTAGGAGGTAGAAGGTTAGTTAGATAAGAGGGTGTTCGTTTATTGTGGATTTCATACATCAGTGAAAGTTTCTTAAGTTTTCTTCTATCAGACAGAGGTTTAAGTTGAGATTCATGATATAATGACTGTTTACTAGAAAATGAGGGCAGGCCCGTTATGATTCTAGCTGCTTCCAACTGAACGTGTTCAATTTTGGTGAGATCTGCTAAAGAACAACCATCCCAAACTTCACAGGCATACTCTAATACAGGTAAAATAAATACTTTGTATATTCTTAACAAAGTTTTCTTGCTCAATAAAAACTTAAACTTCCGAAGTACTGATACTTTTTTCATACATGTTTTTTGAATTTCGGATATATGTAACGACCATTTTGCATCTGCACTAAATACCACGCCTAAATGTTTATGACTTTTAACACAATTTAGGGTTTCATTACCAAAAGTAAGTTGTAAGGGCAAAATATTTCTTGAATTTGATATTAATAAAACATCAGTTTTCTGTGGATTGAACTTGGTGAGCCAATCTCTAGACCATTTATCAAGTTTTTCCAAATCTCTATTAACAGACCTTTCAACATCAACATAAGACGATGAAGAATACATCAAAGAGGTATCATCAGCAAATAAGCGTGAAATACTATTCAAATTATCAACAATATCATTGACATATATAAAAAATAATAGAGGACCTAAGACACTTCCTTGTGAAACACCAGCATTCGTATAACTTATTTTGGAATATGCGTTTTTTACTAGAACCTGTTGTTGTCTGTTCGAAATGTAATTTTCTAACGACTGTAATAAACTACCTCTAATGCCATAACCATGTAATTTGTGTAATAAACCTTTATGCCAAACTCTGTCAAAGGCTTTCGATATATCGCAGAATATTAAACAAGCATGTTTTTTCTTCCAATGAACAACATATGCTATAATACATTTCTATTCATTGGTGAACAGTTGAATGATGAGTCATAAAACCAGATTGTTTTTCATAAAATAACGAATGATCAATAAAGAAATTACAGATATATTTAAAAACAACTCTTTCAAAGACTTTACCTATGCAAGACAACAAAGTAATTGGTCGATAATTCGACACCAAATGCCTATCGCCCTTTTTGAACAGAGGTAAAATAATGCCTGTTTTCCACTTTTCCGGAAATATCTTATGATCAAGTGACATGTTGAAAAGGATTGTTAATGGCTTGCATACGGAACTCGCTGTAAATTTTAGCATGTGATGACTTATAGTATCATGACCAGATGCTTTTCCTAATTTCAGAATCTTCAGAATATCACATATTTCGTCACTTTCAACATTAATAGACTCGAGTACAGAAGCATTTCTGGAATCAAAGCGAGGCAAAGCATTGCCAATATCGTTAATTCTGGAGATAGATCTAAAATAATTATCAAGAATATTTGCTTTTTTATCATCTTCATATTCAATATTTCCGTTATCAGGATTAACTAGTGGTGGAATAACCTCTTGAGAACCAGAATGTTTTAATAATTTGCGAACTAGTCTCCAATACGACTTAGGATCACTGGTATTCAGATTATCTATAATGTCACCAACACTATTATAAAACATTTCTTTGGCATATTTTTTCATGTTATTGACCACATTTCTTTGTCTTTTAAATTTCTCTAAGTTTGAAATGGACTTAACATGTTTGACGGCATTATGTAGACGGTCTCGTAACTGAATAGCTTTTCTTAATTCCAAATTCATCCATAATTTATCATCAGGCCTTATATGAACTATTCTCTTAGGTATATATTCTTTAGCAAACGTCAAAAACTGCCCGGTAAATTCAACACATGCTTCATTAACAGATATAAAACTTTGAAAGAAAACAGCCCAATCAAAAGTATCTATCAAATAATTTAATTTATTAAAATCAGCATGTTTATAGGCCCAAACTTCTCGACTGTATGTACAAGATAGATTCACAGGTATAGACAAAAATGCAACACATCCATCATGATCGCTAATATTACGGTCAATTGGAATAACATATGAATCTGTAAATTTATCAGGATCGGTTAATAAGATTGGATCAAGTAAACTATTTCTGGTTGTACCTCTCCTAGTCGGCTCATCAATAACATTTGTTAAGTCCATTTCCAACATAATTTGATGTAAAATATGATTTGTAGATAGTGTTAGCATATCTACATTTATATCGCCAACAATAACAACATTTGAAGTAATATCTAATGCCTTTTCAACAGAATACTTAAATTTCTGTCTTTTCTAAACAGTTCGGCAAAACCAGGTAGAATTAACTCAGTAGTAGGTACATTCATATCCAAATGTGTTTCAGTCATACATAAAATATTAAATTTATTTGTAAGGTTTTCTATATATTCTATTTTATTTCTTACACTTCTTACATTTAAATGGAAAATAGATAATTTATTTACTGACGGACCCGGATTAGTTTCCACATCCATATCCAATACAAGAATAGCAAAATAAAACAAAAAATTATGTTTTGAAAGTGTGACTGTAAGCACATCAGCATGAGAGAACATACGCCTGCTTTAACAGCAGTTAATAAAAGGTTTATAAACAGTGTATATTCATTGAAAAAATAGTCAGCATTTAACTGTATCACACAACGTACTTTTTTTTTTTAAAAACAGTCCTCTATATGCTTTGTTATAAAAGCACCCGATTGAAATCCTGTGCGATATTGCTGACAAATCACCGACTAACCGTTATCAAAAATAGCATATTGCACAGGATTTCTCCCGGGAGTACTCAATGAAAACGCATACATGTAACACCCATCGTAAAGAAGAATTTCTTAATTTATACGCATGACTGACTGCACGTGCCAGGTTGTCGATATAAGGTCAAGGTAGCTAGGTAAAGAGAGAGGGTGTCTAAAGAAGAAATAAAAGCAGAACAGAAGAATGAAAAATGAAAGAAAAAGTAAACATGGCTTCATTATTTTTCTATTGGAAAACATGAAATGGGATTGGTTGTTACAATATGTTCATTAAATTGTCAATAATATAACACATACATTTGTGTCATATACAGATATATGTCTCTGACTATCAATTTCGATGTGTTCAATAAATGTATATTAAAATAAACATGAACTATATCCAACTATATATAGATATGTTTATATACAAGAATATGTACCAACCATAGTAGTACGGACTCCTTATACACTATGTATATATATTATACATTATGTATAGAGTACAGCAATAAATACAGTACTAAATGGTATGTTTAAGGTCAGTACAGGCAATGGCAAGTAATATTATTTGTATTCTTTCATCTCAGCATGCAACAGGTCCAGTATAAGATTTCTAGGCATTTGGTGTTTTGACATTTGTATATATATATATATATATAAAGTCGCATCTAACCCCTGTGATATTGAAAATGCGGCAAGATCAATTCAGAATTTGTTTGAAGATGTCATTACATTTGATCCGTGAAAGTGAGTGAAGATCAATAATTTTGTTATTGCTAAGAAATCGTTTGAAAACAAAAGTTGATGCGGACAACGGACATGAAAACCCCACCTACTTGTATCTTTTGCCGACAGGTAAGCGTTGTAGTTGTTCAGTGGACAGAACCGAGAATCCATAGTCCATGTGACGATGTATTGGCAGCTAAAATGACAAACCATCTGTCCACAACTGGCTTTTTGTATGTTTACATCCTGGTTCGGTTTCATGACATTTCAAACAAACATACATCATGTATATCCAGATCTGGTATGACGCTAAGTGTTGGTGAATCGAGACTGAGAGACATCATATACAAGAAAACAGCACGTTCTACTTGTATATTTTAAATACATAATAGTCTACGTGATTTGCTCCGTTTATCAGATGTGGTTTTAAAATTCTCTTTTCTTTCAAATTACTATCACGGACTTCGAAAAAATAGATATTATAAATCCGTGTTATAATTAACTCATGGAGCCAACTTACTGCCACTTTCTCATTCATTAGTTGGTAACCAGACACCCGGATGACGCCAGCTTCCGGTCCTTCATCTGACTGCCAAATTCGATCGAACCAATCAAATGAATCCTCCAGCCACTTCCTGTTTAGGTGAAAAATCGATGGTCGTTCAATGCCCGACCCTTGTCTTCACATATAAGTATTAACTAACATGTAAAGGAAACGCAACATCCGATTATCATTAACACGCTCAAAATATCATTGAAAATTTTCGTTTCATCAATATAGTCAATTGAAATATTCATTAGAACTATCCGACTTCAATAACAGCTAGGACCTGTGTAGACTTTTGTTGCTGCTGGAATTCCACAATGCATAGAGTTGATAAGTAAGCGTCACCGTCTCTAACTATACATGTAATATACACATATCACAACACGTGTAACGTCTCTAACTTCACATTCAGTAAACACCTATCATAATACGTATTCTGTATCGAACAACACGTGTAGCATGCACTCACACAGCACGTGTACCGTCTCTAATTACACGTGTAGTATGAACTCTCACAACACGTGTAACATCTTTAACTACACTTGTAGTATACACCTATCACAACACATGGAACGTCTCAAATTACATATGTAGTATATACCTATCACAACACGTGTAATGTCATGGACTACACGTGTACTATTCACAACACGTGTACCGTCTCTAACTACACGTGTAGTATACACTTCTCATAACCTTTGTATCGCCTTCAACATGCGTGTAGTATGCGCCTCTCATAAAAATACGTGTAACGTCTCTAACTACACGTGAAGAATACACCTCACAAAAACACGTGTACCGTCTTTAAATACACGTGAAGAATACACCTCTCGAAAACACGTGTACCGTCTCTAACTACACGTGAAGAATACATCTAACAAAAGCACGTGTACCGTCTCTAACTACACGTGAAGAATACACCTATCAAAAACACGTGTACCGTCTCTAACTACACGTGAAGAATACATCTCACAAAAACACGTGTACCGTCTCTAACTACACGTGAAGAATACACCTCACAAAAACACGTGCACCGTCTCTAACTACACGTGAAGAATACACCTCACAAAAACACGTGTACCGTCTCTAAATACACGTGAAGAATACACCTCACAAAAACACGTGTAACGTCTCTAACTACACGTGAAGAATACACCTCACAAAAACACGTGTAGCGTCTCTAACTACACGTGAAGAATACACCTCACAAAAACACGTGTACCGTCTCTAAATACACGTGAAGAATACACCTCACAAAAACACGTGTAACGTCTCTAACTACACGTGAAGAATACACCTCACAAAAACACGTGTAGCGTCTCTAACTACACGTGAAGAATACACCTCACAAAAACACGTGTACCGTCTCTAACTACACGTGAAGAATACACCTCACAAAAACACGTGTACCGTCTTTAACTACACGTGAAGAATACACCTCACAAAAACACGTGTAACGTCTTTAACTACACGTGAAGAATACACCTCACAAAAACACGTGTAACGTCTTTAACTACACGTGAAGAATACACCTCACAAAAACACGTGTACCGTCTCTAACTACACGTGAAGAATACACCTCACAAAAACACGTGTCACAAAAACACGTCGTCTCTAACTACACGTGAAGAATACACCTCACAAAAACACGTGTAACGTCTACACATGAAGAATACACCTCACAAAAACACGTGTAACGTCTCTAAATACACGTGAAGAATACACCTCACAAAAACACGTGTACCGTCTTTAACTACACGTGAAGAATACATCTCACAAAAACACGTGTACCGTCTCTAACTACACGTGAAGCATACACCTCTGAAAAACACGTGTACCGTCTCTAAATACACGTGAAGAATACACCTCACAAAAACACGTGTACCGTCTCTAACTACACGTGAAGAATACACCTCACAAAAACACGTGTAACGTCTCTAAATACACGTGAAGAATACACCTCACAAAAACACGTGTAGCGTCTCTAACTACACGTGAAGAATACACCTCACAAAAACACGTGTACCGTCTTTAACTACACGTGAAGAATACACCTCACAAAAACACGTGTAACGTCTCTAACTACACGTGAAGAATACACCTCACAAAAACACGTGTAGCGTCTCTAACTACACGTGAAGAATACACCTCACAAAAACACGTGTAACGTCTCTAAATACACGTGAAGAATACACCTCACAAAAACACGTGTAGCGTCTCTAACTACACATGAAGAATACACCTCACAAAAACACGTGTAACGTCTCTAAATACACGTGAAGAATACATCTCACAAAAACACGTGTACCGTCTTTAACTACACGTGAAGAATACATCTCACAAAAACAAGTGTACCGTCTCTAACTACACGTGAAGAATACACCTCACAAAAACACGTGTAGCGTCTCTAACTACACATGAAGAATACACCTCACAAAAACACGTGTAACGTCTCTAACTACACATGAAGAATACACCTCACAAAAACACGTGTAGCGTCTCTAACTACACATGAAGAATACACCTCACAAAAACACGTGTAACGTCTCTAACTACACATGAAGAATACACCTCACAAAAACACGTGTAACGTCTCTAACTACACGTGAAGAATACACCTCACAAAAACACGTGTAACGTCTCTAACTACACATGAAGAATACACCTCACAAAAACACGTGTAACGTCTCTAACTACACATGAAGAATACACCTCACAAAAACACGTGTAACGTCTCTAACTACACATGAAGAATACACCTCACAAAAACACGTGTAACGTCTCTAACTACACATGAAGAATACACCTCACAAAAACACGTGTACCGTCTTTAACTACACGTGAAGAATACATCTCAGAAAAACACGTGTAACGTCTCTAAATACACGTGAAGAATACACCTCACAAAAACACGTGTACCGTCTTTAACTACACGTGAAGAATACATCTCACAAAAACACGTGTAACATCGTCAACTGACTGTGTATTATACACCACTCACAGCATATCACAAGGCGATACACACACACTACTCAACACCCATGTATCGCATCTACACGTGTAGTATACTGTTATACTGTACACTCATGCTAGCAAGCACTAGTCATTGCAATGAAACAACACCATCAGCTGACAGCACAGAGTTTAGAAATAGACATGTAAACATATCCATTACCAATGTTGTACCAGTGGATAAAAATATAAAAATACCGTGCTTGCTGGCTCGACTTAGCCGGTGTTAGTTCCAGATTAGGACGAAATATGCCCGCCGCTCCATCGCTGGTTGTCTCTTGGTCAAACTTGTCGGCAACGATGGTCACTTTCGCGTTAGGAAGGATTGACTGGACATTAACGGCAGTGGATAGTCCAACCACTCCAGCACCCAGTACAACTACGTGAATGACCATGATAGTCCGAGGCCATGAGAACAAGTACACAGCTACAAAAGCTTCTGTAGATAACACTACAATGTTTTGTCGCTGTGTACACTACAAATACTGGAAACTCACTGTGTAAGCAATGCTAACACACGATCGAGCACTTTAACAGTTGTCAGTATACCAACGCAAACAGCTAAGCAAGCATTGGAAGGGGAGATAATAAGACCAGCGGAACAATAAATCTTATCTCAAACTAGTATAACACTATCTGCTCACTTTTCGTTAACAAAATAAACAATTGAACCAAATAGTTTTATCTGTTTTATTTGACTGACTAACACAATGCAACAAGCTTCACCGATTGTGAATGAATAAAAACGTAAAAAAACTAATATGTTACTAATATTGAATTTTAAACAGCCTTTGTTCTGTAACATTTTATCTACCTTACACAACCCTGCGGTCTGACGTTTGCGTAAGATTGGGAAGATTTCTCTAATTCCCCGTCTGTAGACGTGTACTAATTAAAAGGGACACATCTCCCTTTATCAATCCCTCCAAAGGAACACGTTCACATTTAAAGTGTACCCTGAGTGTACTTTTATATTTAGATATAATGGCGTTTGCTGTGCTCCGTTTGCTTGATTATAATCCCCCAAATGACAACCCGCATACGGATCGATGGTATCAGTACCACAGCTACCAAACAGAAAATATGTCGCCAAATCGATCCCGCCAGAGGGGATGTGACACTTTCATCTATAGTTCATGTAGCTGAGGCGTCAGTGTATATTTGCGTGGAACAAAATCCGTTCTTCTTTAAAGTAGAACCTTTCTCGTTGAGCTGTTATATATAAGGATTCAAGAACCAAACTTCTATCTTGTCCAAAGCTTCTACTCTCAGAAATATGCGTGCGTTCCAGCTCGCCCCCGAAACAAACAAAAATACACTGCCCGCGTACGTCACCGCACGAGCGAACCTACTACACTTTGAATTGAACTATATCGTGTCGAGAATAGACATTCACGCTGACAAACAAGTTTCAAAGTATGTGAAAGCAAGATTATTAATTGTTCCAACCTTGCTTATGTCACTCTGACCACGCTTTCAGTCATAAACCAAGTGTAACCTAACCACGTGACTTTCTTGGAAACCTACCATTGGCAATTGTCATGAGCCACAATGAAACAGGGACTGCTGTACATATCCATTGGCCACATTAGCCACCTCCTCTGAACTTTGACCTTCAACATAATCATCAAGATAAATCATAAGATTGTAACCTGTTATATATATATATAAGCAAAATCCCAAAATTTCTTGTGCTCCGGGAATATTTCATTGTAATGGTAAGCGGATTATGTATATTAAAATTTAGAAAAGGTCAACACGAGCCACGATTATATTATCGTATATAAATTTACACTGTAGGAAACGATTGGCTTGTCTACACTCTAGAACGAGGCGTGGTCTCTCAGATATACTTTCCGTAACCGTGAGCGGATTAACACCATCTGGTTGTACCCGTGATACCGATACACAACCCAATCGTATCAACTCTTTAATTTCAGCTTGAACGAAATCAGGATTATCACGAGGCAAGCAGAGCCGAGGGGATTCCCTAGATGAGAGCTTTGTAACCCTCGGAAATCACAGACAATTTATGCTGACTTATACCGTTAGATTTCCAAAAAATACTACCTTTGAGGCAGCCCACCGGCGAAACCTCTGTCCTCTTATCCATCTATTACTATGACCTTTGACCTTACACACGAAATATCCTTGAGAGGTCCGTACTTTACTGATTTTCACAATTTTAGAGTACACGTTAACTACCTCGGGCTCTACTTGCATAGAAGTCGAACGCGCGGTCGTGACTCCCTGGACTGTTGGACACTCAGATCGCCAATGACCAGTTCTCCTGCACGCATAACAAGTTCCTGGCCAAGGAGGTGGGTCCCGCGGTCTTGGATGCTGTTGTGTATCAAAACACCTGAACACGGTCCCTCGCTGCTGATTTTTGTAGTGAAAAACCCGACTTTCTCCCCGCCCCTTCCTTGCCTTTTGGATCGAATGCCGCCTTCACTTTCCTGTTCGCCCGTGGTAAGACCCTGTCCTTTTTTTCTCGTCGTCAGAGTCCGACGCAATGGGATTAGCTTGATATCCCTCTACAACTTTTAATCCCGAATCTGAAGTGTCGGCTAATTTTTATAACTTCTGCTGATACTCCAGCATATTTCTATCGCATGTTCTTATAGAAGAAATGTTTTAAGAAGAGGTATTGAAGATTGGTCAAAAGCTCCCTGGAGAGAAATGGATTTTCCCCCCGTTTACTGTTTTTTCACATGAGTGAAATAGATTTTTAATTCCATTATGTGTTTGGCTCTGACTGGAGAGATAGTAAATGTAAAATAATTTGTTAATAAATGGGCTAGTCCAAATCTATTGAAGAGGGTGGGAGTTCAGACACCCAACTGTTTGTTCAATTTCACTTAAGTGACATCAATTTAATGTACATTTCACCTAAAGAGAAAAAAGGATTAAATGTTAAAATGGTTTGCCATACATCCCTTTATCAAAAAATAAGATTTAATTTTTAAATATCTGTGTGTAATATGTCTTAGAACTGCCAGTCATCAATAATATGACTCATATATTTGATATATAGAGAAGTTTAGTTCATCAGTGTCTTTAGGTACAGTTTGATAGACTGAAACACGTGTAAATTTACCTGTACCCAGCAGGTCTCCTCTCTGGCAGGTGTGATCCCTGCTCTCCTGTTATATAATACAGGTAAATTTACCTGTACCCAGCAGGTCTCCTCTCTGGCAGGTGTGATCCCTGCTCTCCTGTTATATAATACAGGTAAATTTACCTGTACCCAGCAGGTCTCCTCCCTGGCAGGTGTGATCCCTGCCCTCCTGTTATATAATACGTGTACTGTACCATGGCCAGGTGTCATTACCTAATTATGATATATAATGTAGTATTTTTTTCTCATGTTAATAACACTATATTTGTTGTTATTGATGTAAACATTAATTAAATATGATGATATATGCATGACTGTTCTTGATTGCGTATTATGATATGACACCCGTATCAGGGGGAAAAAACTAAATTGTCAGGCAGGTAATCCAATCCCACACCTTTTTAGGTGCATTCTAGAAATCAAACCCGGATGAAAACATGGAAAAACTTTTACTTTATCATTAGGAAACAAAATGAAAATATTTTATAAACAAAACATGCTATCACAGAGAATATATTTCATAAATTTACATAATACAGAATAATTTTATCTTGAATGTGTGCATAAACCAGTTAGTGTAGGCTGTATTTTTGTTCTAAACCTCAGTCTTAACTGTGTGTCTTTACCTGACTCCATATTGGTTGTCTGCCTCTTTCCAGACAGTCTTTTTAATACTTAGATACTTTAAAGTACTTAAGATGTTATATCATCATATCAATACGTGCAAAGATCATAATTTTACAAGTGTCTTATAAGCCTGTATCGACTGGATATCACTTTTATGTCTGTTAATATAACCAATATTTAATTACTATGTACTATGATATGTGACGCTCAAATGAAATATATGATATTTTGTCACCTATTGTCATGTACATAATCTCCAGCTGTGGCCTTCATTTATCTAGATCAGACTGATCCATTAACCAATTTTCCCATCTTTAACTGTGACCTTGCAAACCTTTGATACATTTCTGTAACCAAAAATTGTATCTGAGAGAATGGTAAAAAATAAAAGGATTTGGATAAAACGTTTTGTTGAGAACCTTCAGTTTAGCTTAACTTCAACACATTTGAACACAACAATTTTTTTTAAACCTGCAGACCAGAAACTTTTGTTGAAAGCCTTTCACTTAATAAACATGTCAACATTAGGAAGTTTCAGTGAAGCCAAACATTAACAGCTTTGTTCTGGAATTTTTTGTTGACAGCTGTGTCACCAACCTCAGCATTTTTTTTACATTTGAACAGGATATGATATGGCAAATATCAAGTTGACCTTAGGTGAGTTGGCAACACAGAGCTTTAGCTAAAGCTGAAAGATTCACGGCACTTTATGATCCACAACATTCTGCTTATGATTGCCAAAATATAAACATCTCCAGGAACCATTGCCTTACTTAGGACATTCTACGTGCTGTGCCATCAGCCATTTTGGAGGAGTAGCTGTAACAATGACGATTTTCGACCAGCAGAATTATAACCTAAAATAACAGGAACAATTGAACAATTCATACATAATTACATAATTATTCTATGTGACCCGAGTAATTTATTTGTAATTTTGTGCATTTCATGTTTTCAAGATTTCCACGATAATTTTGATAATGAATATGTATTCTTTTTTGGTCCTGAGAATACAAGTACAACAACCAGTAGCAGCTAGTTTGTGGCATTTCCAATGAGGAAAAGATTGTGTTTTAGTCAATTTGTCAATAGAAAACCTGTACTTACAGTGGTGTCCCTGACATGAAAACCTTTAACATGGTAGGTGAAGTCATGAGATATCTAAAATACATTATTATGTAGTTGTTATAAAAATCAATCAATATCATCAATATACAATGTAAAGATAAAATAAAAAAATATTCAATATGTATACATCAAAAATAATTTACAACAAGAGGCCAAATGGGCCTGCAGTACTCACTTGGTATATATATACCAGTCAAATATCATGCCTCTACACCTATTAGTTCATGAGAAGAAGTTGTTGAAATGTTTTAACAAATTTGACCCCTGTGACCTTGAAAATAAGTCAATGTCTTTTCTTTTTTCAAAATTTGTTGTGTTTCATATTAGGAACATACCAGCCAGATATCAAAACATTTGGTCTCTTGGTTATTGAGAAGAAGTTGTTTAAAGGAAAAAGTTGATGCCAGACTGTAAACAACAGACAGACGTCACACCACGGCATCAACTCACTTGGTCTTTGGGGCCAGGTGAGCTAAGAATATACACATAATGAAATATATAATCTCAAAGTTAATATTGAACACATAAGAAGAGTGCAATAGAAATTAAAAAAATAGCAATGATGAAAATTCAATTCACAAAAATATCACAAACATGAAAACCAAAAGCAATGTACCCTAATTAATGATGAATAAAACTTTTACACTCCTGGAGATACCTGGGTCTGTGGCGGGAAATTCTTGGCAAACAAGACACAAAGCGTTTCTAGGTATGTATGTATGTAGTACCATAGTTATCTCAATGGTCAACATTGTTAATGTGACATCACAGGATGTGACATTTAAACATTTTTATGACCAGATGATCCCTAAACTCAAGTCTACACTGCGGGGAGAAAATATCACAATGCTAAAAGTGTGGATAGTCTTGGGTAATATTAAGACCTGTCCACACCCAGGAACAAAATAGACATAGGCTATAACTATCATAATGAAAAAATATGTTCCGTAGAGCAAGGATGCAAGTTATCAAAGCTAGAGGCAAAGATCCCTCATTGACAACAACTGCGACATTGGCGATGTCTTTTTAAAAATGTATAAAAGGTTAGAAAATGTATTCTGTGGAGCAAGATGTATAAAAGGATAGAAAATGTATTCTTTACAGTAAAGATGTAACAAATATATTAAAAGTTAGATAATGTCTTCTGTGTGGCAAGATGTAAAATATGTATAAATTCTGAATTTGAGAAAATGTGACAAGTTATGTATATTCAGAAATGATAAAAGTACTTCTATATATCATACCTACTGAACGTGTTTAATAACTGTCAGATCAATAGATGGACTGACCAATTACAGATGAGGAGCTGATCAAATCTAAAGGCATACAATAACTGTCTCTTAGAGACTAACTTATAACGCTCGCATTTAGGATGAGAAGACTTTTCACTGTAGAGGCTACAAAATTAGTATATATATACATGTAAGATGTATTAAGGGGCATAACTCAGGTAAGAATTGAAATTATAGCTATATTCTAATTACACCTTTTCACCATAACTTATCAGGTATGTCACAGTTAAAATACAAGCACATCAAAATAAAAATGCGTATAAGAAAATTTAGATATTGGAATAAGAGTTACATCACAGTCAAAATACACTAAATAAGTACATCATAAGAAGTACATCACAGTCAAAATACACTAAATAAGTACATCATAAGAAGTACATCACAGTCAAAATACACTAAATAAGTACATCATAAGAGGTACATCACAGTCAAAATACACTAAACAAGTACATCATAAGAGGTACATCACAGTCAAAATACACTAAATGAGTACATCATTAGAAGTACATCACAGTCAAAATACACTAAATGAGTACATCATAAGAAGTACATCACAGTCAAAATACACTAAATAAGTACATCATAAGAGGTACATCACAGTCAAAATACACTAAATAAGTACATCATAAGAGGTACATCACAGTCAAAATACACTAAATAAGTACATCATAAGAAGTACATCACAGTCAAAATACACTAAATAAGTACATCATAAGAGGTACATCACAGTCAAAATACACTAAATAAGTACATCATTAGAAGTACATTAGTCAAAATACACTAAATAAGTACATCATAAGAGGTACATCACAGTCAAAATACACTAAATAAGTACATCATTAGATGTACATCACAGTCAAAATACACTAAATAAGTACATCATTAGATGTACATCACAGTCAAAATACACTAAATAAGTATATCATTAGATGTACATCACAGTCAAAATACACTAAATAAGTACATCATAAGATGTACATCACAGTCAAAATACACTAAATAAGTACATCATTAGAAGTACATCACAGTCAAAATACACTAAATAAGTACATCATAAGAGGTACATCACAGTCAAAATACACTAAATAAGTACATCATAAGAAGTACATCACAGTCAAAATACACTAAATAAGTACATCATAAGATGTACATCACAGTCAAAATACACTAAATAAGTACATCATATAAATATAGCTAAAATGTAAGTAATATTGATGATGTACACATAACTTACTAACGAGTAGAAATATCAGTCCAAACACCAATAAATTAAGTCAATCACAGGTACATTAAATATCTAGGACATATCCTGCAGGACTGTGCAGGCAAGGACGGACAGCTCTGTTGTTATAAACAGAAGGCAATTCTTTGTGCATGTAAAATCTTTGTACACATAAAATCTTTGTGTAAAATCTTTGTATATGTAAAATCTTTGTGTAAAATCTTTGTATATGTAAAATCTTTAAAATATAGGTAAGTAACAATACAAGGCTCTACAACAACTGGACTGAAGGATTGCTGGCTTCATGTGAATAAACAAAACACAGGTGAGGTACTACAGGTATATAACAGGTATATAACAGGTAAATAACAGATGACACAATCAATCCCTGATGAATGATGCAGATAAAAGTTATACCCCAAGGTGCAGTTTCCAAGTTAAGGATAACTCGATTTTGTCTCGCCTTACTCAGACTTGTTGGAATTATTCAGGTGACATCATCTACACATGTCTGAATACTATTCTTCCTCATTTTTCTCACATGTGTAAACTACACAATAATGGTGAATGAATTGATGATAAAAATAACAATATGAAATACATGATGACACCAAAATAAGACATACTTATGTTATGAAGTTGACTTAACATAAAGTGATATTTTCTGACAAACATATCTTTCCAAAGATATTCGGGGAAATCTGTTTTTTCTTGATTAAGTTGTGAAATGTCAGAGAAAGTCTATTCAACTATGCATGCAGCACTTTTCTTAACTAAAGCAGTAAGCATGCAGCACTTTTCTTAACTAGAGCAGTATGCATGCAGCACTTTTCTTAACTAGAGCAGTATGCATGCAGCACTTTTCTTAACTAGAGCAGTATGCATGCAGCACTTTTCTTAACTAGAGCAGTATGCATGCAGCACTTTTCTTAACTAGAGCAGTATGCATGCAGCACTTTTCTTAACTAGAGCAGTATGCATGCAGCACTTTTCTTAACTAGAGCAGTATGCATGCAGCACTTTTCTTAACTAAAGCAGTATGCATGCATCACTTTCTTTACTAAAGCAGTATGCATGCAGCACTTTTCTGTGTGTTTTGTGGTTGTCTGAGGGGTTTGGGAGGAGCCTGAGTTTTATAGTGTTTTTGTTCTGACAAATTATGTCTTTTTCTATCCGGCTGGTGCTGGCTTGGTGGGTTATTGTCTTGTAATAATTCCTTATCAGTTTGTGATTCTATTTTGACTTCATTAAGATTTCCATCACTAGTTTTCTCATCTGCCTTGGTTTTTTTAATGGGTTCTGTTGTTTGTGGTATTTTTGCTAACTCTGAGACTGTTTCCTTTTTTGTGAGGGAGATTTTTGATGACCTCTGAGATTCTGTTGTTGTCATTGGTTCATACTTTTGAGAAGACACATTGGAGATAGTGGTCCCTGAATGTTTTTCCTCACTTTTTGCAGATGTTTCAGCTTTCAAGGAAGATACAGCCAGAGAGAGCTGTTCTTTTTCCATGATGGAAGCACTGCGAGACATTGACCGTCTCAAGTGCTTTTCAATATCCTTCACCTCTGGTTTGACTATCAAAAAGAAATGCCAAAATTTATGTCAGAACCAATTTCGTCACATTTTATCTCACAAATAACGTAATATTATATAATGTAAATTAGCAAATTCACGAGGGATTTATTCTCATTGATTTCATGTGCAGTCTGAATCCATGAATTTATATGTCCGTGATATGATAAATAGATAAAAGTTGACATATATTATAGAACTTATGAATATTATGATGGAGATTTACCCATAAAATGTAATGCCAACAAAACAAGATGTACACTTGCGGAAAATTGTGAAATTTGAGCCTCCTAAAGATATATATGATTTTACACTAATTGTAGTAAATGTAAAAATTTAAAATATGTGTTTTAAAGAATATATATTAAATCTTAACAATACGGTATATCAATTATACTATATATATATTTTTCATCTAATTTATGTAAGTTCTTTGCAATTAATTCTGAATTTCACAGCCTGAAAATATTTATCTTTAATTTCTAAACAAAGTCTAACAACATCATATTTTCAAACATACACTGCTATGCAGCCTAACTTGTTAGAACTACATGAATGAAGATGTGTACATAACTTCTGATAGAAAAGAGAAAAAAGTTCTATTTTTCAGAAAGATATATCACAATAATTATCTTACTTTTTTGGAGTCTTTTACTTTTCTTATTCTCTTTAAATTCAAACGGAGCGTTTTGTTGAACTTTCAAACAGTCCAACATGGCATCTAACCAGGGCTGGTTAGCAACTTTGTGTTTGTTCTCTGCTGATTCCTCACTCAAAACCATGACCTTGAGTTTGATGGAGTGATCCTTGCACAGCCACACGATCTTACCACTTGGCAGACGACACCTGAAAGGTTAAAAAGCCTTTGTTTTAGAAAACTGAAAGGTCACCAAGAACACTTTTCTTTGTACCTAATCAAATACTTCTTCTGTTTTTTTGTCTTTAGGAACCCGTTACATAAAACAATGAGACTGAATGACATATGTTTGTGTAAATTCTTGCGTAGAAGGACAGAGAAGAAGATGCAGTCTACATGAAGATTGTCTTTATAATCTATAGGATTTTTCCACAAATGTGCCTGAATGGCTATGGATGCCAACTGAAAGCAGTTCAATACTAATATTGACTTATTTCTTATATTTTCTTACTTTTTAATTTCCTTATTATCAAATGATAACCATTAATTTCTTTACAATGGTTTTTTAGTGTCAGTGCCTGAAGTTGGTAGATTTATGGGTAAAACTGTACATTTGTAGTATTACACCATGCAGGTTTTTTCCCCCTATAATGCTACTATATTAGGGGACACATTCTTCACAGTTGAACTTCAACTTTTACCCTAATTATTATGAATCAAAAATAAAATGACTGCCAAACATTAATCTTAGATGAGTCTTCATTCATATCATATTTGTGATATGAGTCTGAGAATAATTCACATTGCCTATAGTCTCAGGTGTGTCAGGACCATATAGGACCACTACACCTCTCACATGGTCAGGGATTTCAAACAATTTTAATCTCATTTTAGTTTCACAAATGTTATACAAGTTTAAGTAAAAGGATCATCCAACAAGTTCTCACAAAGTTGTACTAATAATAGGATATCTGCTTTACAAAAATAAGGTTTCAGCAGGTTTATAATGTACAGTAACCACATAAGGTGTCAGCAGGTTTATATTGTAAAGTAACCAAATATGGTGTCAGCAGGTTTATATTGTACAGTAACCACATTAGGTGTCAGCAGGTTTATATTGTATAGTAACCACATAAGGTGTCAGCAGGTTTATATTGTACAGTAACCACATAAGGTGTCAGCAGGTTTATATTGTACAGTAACCACATAAGGTGTCAGCAGGTTTATATTGTAAAGTAACCACATAAGGTGTCAGCAGGATTATATTGTAAAGTAACCACATAAGGTGTCAGCAGGATTATATTGTAAAGTAACCACATAAGGTGTCAGCAGGTTTATATTGTACAGTAACCAAATATGGTGTCAGCAGGTTTATATTGTACAGTAACCACATAAGGTATCAGCAGGTTTATATTGTACAGTAACCAAATATGGTGTCAGCAGGTTTATAATGTACAGTAACCAAATATGGTGTCAGAAGGTTTATATTGTAAAGTAACCAAATATGGTGTCAGCAGGTTTATATTGTAAAGTAACCACATAAGGTGTCAGCAGGTTTATATTGTAAAGTAACCAAATATGGTGTCAGCAGGTTTATATTGTAAAGTAACCACATAGGTGTCAGCAGGTTTATATTGTAAAGTAACCAAATATGGTGTCAGCAGGTTTATATTGTAAAGTAACCAAATATGGTGTCAGCAGGTTTATATTGTACAGTAACCAAATATGGTGTCAGCAGGTTTATATTGTAAAGTAACCAAATATGGTGTCAGCAGGTTTATATTGTACAGTAACCACATTAGGTGTCAGCAGGTTTATATTGTAAAGTAACCACATAAGGTGTCAGCAGGATTATATTGTAAAGTAACCACATAAGGTGTCAGCAGGTTTATATTGTACAGTAACCAAATATGGTGTCAGCAGGTTTATATTGTACAGTAACCACATAAGGTGTCAGCAGGTTTATATTGTACAGTAACCAAATATGGTGTCAGCAGGTTTATATTGTACAGTAACCAAATATGGTGTCAGAAGGTTTATATTGTAAAGTAACCAAATATGGTGTCAGCAGGTTTATATTGTAAAGTAACCACATAAGGTGTCAGCAGGTTTATATTGTAAAGTAACCAAATATGGTGTCAGCAGGTTTATATTGTAAAGTAACCACATAGGTGTCAGCAGGTTTATATTGTAAAGTAACCAAATATGGTGTCAGCAGGTTTATATTGTAAAGTAACCAAATATGGTGTCAGCAGGTTTATATTGTACAGTAACCACATTAGGTGTCAGCAGGTTTATATTGTACAGTAACCAAATATGGTGTCAGCAGGTTTATATTGTACAGTAACCAAATATGGTGTCAGCAGGTTTATATTGTAAAGTAACCAAATATGGTGTCAGCAGGTTTATATTGTAAAGGTACCACATTTGGTGTCAGCAGGTTTATATTGTAAAGTAACCAAATATGGTGTCAGCAGGTTGATATTGTACAGTAACCAAATATGGTGTCAGCAGGTTTATATTGTACAGTAACCAAATATGGTGTCAGCAGATTTATATTGTACAGTAACCACATTAGGTGTCAGCAGGTTTATATTGTAAAGTAACCAAATATGGTGTCAGCAGGTGTATATTGTACAGTAACCAAATATGGTGTCAGCAGGTTTATATTGTACAGTAACCACATTAGGTGTCAGCAGGTTTATATTGTAAAGTAACCAAATATGGTGTCAGCAGGTTTATATTGTACAGTAACCAAATATGGTGTCAGCAGGTTTATATTGTACAGTAACCAAATATGGTGTCAGCAGGTTTATATTGTACAGTAACCACATTAGGTGTCAGCAGGTTTATATTGTACAGTAACCACATTAGGTGTCAGCAGGTTTATATTGTAAAGTAACCAAATATGGTGTCAGCAGGTTTATATTGTACAGTAACCAAATATGGTGTCAGCAGGTTTATATTGTACAGTAACCACATTAGGTGTCAGCAGGTTTATATTGTACAGTAACCACATTAGGTGTCAGCAGGTTTATATTGTAAAGTAACCAAATATGGTGTCAGCAGGTTTATATTGTACAGTAACCAAATATGGTGTCAGCAGGTTTATATTGTACAGTAACCAAATATGGTGTCAGCAGGTTTATATTGTACAGTAACCAAATATGGTGTCAGCAGGTTTATATTGTACAGTAACCACATTAGGTGTCAGCAGGTTTATATTGTAAAGTAACCAAATATGGTGTCAGCAGGTTTATATTGTAAAGTAACCAAATATGGTGTCAGCAGGTTTATATTGTACAGTAACCACATTAGGTGTCAGCAGGTTTATATTGTGAAGTAACCAAATATGGTGTCAGCAGGTTTATATTGTACAGTAACAAAATAAGAAATTAAACATTGTAGTCTTAGCATGTACATTTCAATCAATATTCCCACATGGAAGACAAACAATGCCAGCATTCAACTGATAAATCAACGTAAACTTAACCATTTAATCGTGTTATTGTTAAACACCTACCTCTTCAACTTTCCCTTTTCTCCTTCAGAATCAAGCTCAAACATTCTCTTTCGAAGTTTGTGATAAGATTTCTGAAAATCTTGGTTGTTGTTCAAAGCTAACTGAAATATTGAAATCTCATCCAGTCAAATTAAAAATTAATACAATTTATTCTTTAAAAATACTTCAACTGCTGCATTTAATTTTTCAAATTGATGGGTCCATAGTTAAATCATCTCATACATAAGACAGTGGGAAGTCCATATTGGAGTAACACGTTCACTGAACATAAAATAATGATAATTTGTGCAGGGTTGCAGGTCAAACCTTGTATATCTAATGAATTATTGACTTAAACTGGGATCAAAGGTCACAATGACTTCATCAGAGTAAGGGATAATTGATCTAAACTGGGGACAAAATTCACACCTCATCTTGACCTAAATGCAGTTTGGCTTGATACTTACATCCTCTATCTGTGTGATGAACTGTTGACCCTCTGCATCGTTGTGAAGTCTTAGAACAAAGTCTGGGTTGTGTTCCATCACTAACGTGATTCGAGCAAGATAAGGGGCTAAGTCATTCAAATCCATAGTCTCATTGTGGAACTTTGATGGATCTAGCAGCCACACCTGTCAGTTATATATATATCTATTACCATATACAGGTAACAGCATAAGTATCTCAATATAATCCAAACTAAGTAATTGATTTTGTTCTATATATTGTAATACAAGTAGCAAATAACAAAATAACAGCAAATGTAATAGGGACTCTGATCTCACTGAACAGAGAACACAACAGAGACTCTGATCTCACTGAACAGAGAACACAACAGAGACTCTGATCTCACTGAACAGAGAACACAACAGAGACTCTGATCTCACTGAACAGAGAACACAACAGAGACTCTGATCTCACTGAACAGAGAACACAACAGAGATCCTGATCTCACTGAACAGAGAACACAACAGAGATCCTGATCTCACTGAACAGAGAAACCAAACAGAGATCCTGATCTCACTGAACAGAGAACACAACAGAGATCCTGATCTCACTGAACAGAGAAACCAAACAGAGATCCTGATCTCACTGAACAGAGAACACAACAGAGATCCTGATCTCACTGAACAGAGAACACAACAGAGACCCTGATCTCACTGAACAGAGAAACCAAACAGAGATCCTGATCTCACTGAACAGAGAACACAACAGAGATCCTGATCTCACTGAACAGAGAACACAACAGAGATCCTGATCTCACTGAACAGAGAACACAACAGAGATCCTGATCTCACTGAACAGAGAACACAACAGAGACTCTGATCTCACTGAACAGAGAACACAACAGAGATCCTGATCTCACTGAACAGAGAACACAACAGAGACTCTGATCTCACTGAACAGAGAACACAACAGAGATCCTGATCTCACTGAACAGAGAACACAACAGAGATTCTGATCTCACTGAACAGAGAACACAACAGAGACCTTGATCTCACTGAACAGAGAACACAACAGAGATCCTGATCTCACTGAACAGAGAACACAACAGAGATCCTGATCTCACTGAACAGAGACACATCAGGGTCCCTGATCCTAAAAGTTTTTCAGAAAGCTTTCTTTCTCAGAGTTACCTTCCAAAATTGGGTATGAACAAAATTGTGCAAGAAGAAAAGCATGAGGTATATTATTGTAGCTCTCGCTAAAACTACCTTGCAAATATTTAATCTGATTATTACTAATTTAAACTTACTCCAGCTTCTTGTGAAGGTGTCAACAGTATTGGATCTGCTACACTGTGCCATCCCTGAAAGCATCAATAGACAAAATCATTGTACAACAATGACATGTTACTCAACAAAATTTCTCCAGAAAGTCAATAATGAAGTGACAACTAATTGACTAAGGTTTTTATTGTCCAATCAACTATAAAAATAACTAAGTTATAATAACTACGCTCTTTAGTGTACAAAACAACTTCTCTTAGCAGATGAGCAAAAATTAACCAGACTAAAAATAATCATAATATCTGGTTCTTAAGAAAACATTAGTCAAAAAACAAAAAATTAAAAAGTTGTATTTTCAAAACATGAATGAAATCTGTGTACAAATTCCACAACACATGTTATTCAAGGAAGTGTCATGGGTTATCCTGTCCACAATGGGTACAGATACCTGTCCACAATGGGTACAGATACCTGTCAACAATGGATACAGATACCTGTCCACAATGGGTACAGATACCTGTCACAATGGGTACACATACCTGTCACAATGATACCTGTCCACAATACAGATACTGTCCACAATGTACACAATGGTACAGATACCTGTCACAATGGGTACAGATACCTGTCACAATGGGTACAGATACCTGTCACAATGGGTACAGATACCTGTCACAATGGGTACAGATACCTGTCACAATGGGTACAGATACCTGTCCACAATGGGTACAGATACCTGTCACAATGGGTACAGATACCTGTCACAATGGGTACAGATATCTGTCACAATGGGTACAGATACCTGTCACAATGGGTACAGATACCTGTCACAATGGGTACAGATACCTGTCCACAATGGATACAGATACTTGTCACAATGGGTACAGATACCTGTCACAATGGGTACAGATACCTGTCCACAATGGTACAGATACCTGTCACAATTGGTACAGATACCTGTCCACAATTGGTACAGATATCTGTCACAATGGGTACAGATACCTGTCACAATGGGTACAGATACCTGTCACAATGAATACAGATATCTGTCACAATGAATACAGATATCTGTCACAATGAATACAGATATCTGTCACAATGGGTACAGATACCTGTCACAATGGGTACAGATACTTGTCACAATGGGTACAGATACCTGTCACAATGGGTACAGATACCTGTCACAATGGGTACACATACCTGTCACAATGGGTACAGATATCTGTCCAGAATAGGTATTGATTACCTTGTTCATGATGACTATTGATTACCTGTTTTCAATTGGAAATATCTATAGACTTAGATCTACGTCCAGGGTATGAATTACCTGTTCACATTCACACAGGGTATAGATGCTGTAGGACCTTTGTGTTTCTGTTTCTTCTTTGGATGCCTCAGTGTCGGCTTCTATAACAAAGGTAGACAAACAATTACACTTCTGTTAGTCTGGTTTTATATAATACCAGGTAGATAAACAATTACACTTCTCTTAGTCTGGTTTTATATACTACCAGGTAGATAAACAATTATACTTCTCTTAGTCTGGTTTTATATACTACCAGGTAGATAAACAATTACACTTCTCTTAGTCTGGTTTTATATACTACCAGGTAGATAAACAATTACACTTCTCTTAGTCTGGTTTTATATACTACCAGGTAGATAAACAATTACACTTCTCTTAGTCTGGTTTTATATACTACCAGGTAGATAAACAATTATACTTCTCTTAGTCTGGTTTTATATACTACCAGGTAGATAAACAATTATACTTCTCTTAGTCTGGTTTTATATACTACCAGGTAGATAAACAATTACACTTCTCTTAGTCTGGTTTTATATACTACCAGGTAGATAAACAATTACACTTCTGTTAGTCTGGTTTTATATAATACCAGGTAGATAAACAATTACACTTCTCTTAGTCTGGTTTTATATACACTTCTCTTAGTCTGGTTTTATATACAGGTAGATAAACAATTACACTTCTCTTAGTCTGGTTTTATATATACCAGGTAGATAAACAATTACACTTCTCTTAGTCTGGTTTTATATATACAGGTAGATAAACAATTACACTTCTCTTAGTCTGGTTTTATATACAGGTAGATAAACAATTACACTTCTCTTAGTCTGGTTTTATATACAGGTAGATAAACAATTACACTTCTCTTAGTCTGGTTTTATATACTACCAGGTAGATAAACAATTACACTTCTCTTAGTCTGGTTTTATATACAGGTAGATAAACAATTACACTTCTCTTAGTCTGGTTTTATATACTACCAGGTAGATAAACAATTATACTTCTCTTAGTCTGGTTTTATATAATACCAGGTAGATAAACAATTATATTTCTCTTAGTCTGGTTTTATATACTACCAGGTAGATAAACAATTACACTTCTGTTAGTCTGGTTTTATATACTACCAGGTAGATAAACAATTACACTTCTGTTAGTCTGGTTTTATATACTACCAGGTAGATAAACAATTATACTTCTCTTAGTCTAGTTTTATATACTACCAGGTAGATAAACAATTACACTTCTCTTAGTCTGGTTTTATATAATAGATGACATCAATATAAGAAACAATTGAATAGTTACTTCCTGGTATGTTTTGTATAATATTCATATTGAACACTAAATCAGAATACATACAAATGTGTAACTAAGACACTGACAGGTAAATAAGGGCCCCACTGCTATGTGGCTGGAAATGGTTCCCACCTACCCACCAACCCATTCTTAGACACAAACCCTAGACTGACAGATTACTGGCAATAACTTAAAGTATGCTCTGCCACAAATATCGAGAAAGACAGTAAAAAGAAACCAATACTAAAAATACATTCAACAATCTGATTTTTTTTATATATAATAAAAGTGACCTTGACCTTAAAATTTGGGATATAAAAAACACTATTTCAAGCAAGCACTTTTGGTAAGGAAGCATTGTATGAATCTTTATTTAGATTGGGCTTCGCAAACTCAAGTTACCACACTGAATCTGATTTTAACTTATAGTTACAGTGACCTTTGACCTTAGGACCTGAATGGCAACCTATCTGAAACAAGCACCTTTGGTTAAGAAGCATTGCACCAAGTTTGAGCTAGATTGGCCACAGCAAACTCAAGTTATACCACAAAATGAATTTTCTATAACAGCAACAATAACCTCAACCTTTGACATCTGGGTCTGAAAAGTACGTTTGAGTTTAACTGGCCCAGGGGGGCTAAAAATTTGCCAGTCCTTCACCTTGACAACATGGTTTTGATCTTACCTTTACCTGGCTTAGCCATAATATCAATTGCAAAAAGTCGGGGATATGTATCAATGTCTTGTTCACTGGCATATCTTGCAATTTCTCGCAGAAACTTCCTCTGGGCTAACTCAAACATTTCCTATAAATGTAAACATAAAATACATTCACTAAAACACAAAGTAAGAAAAAAGACAATTATTAATTCATGTGTTAACTACTCTGGTAAATTTATGCAGGTTCAATTCCAAAGTAAGTAAATACTTCCCAGGTTAACTTATACAGTTTCATTTCAAAGTAAATTACCGCAAGTTCCCTTCCCAGGTAAATCAATACAGATTCACTTCCAAGGTAAATTAAAACAGGTTCACTGCCCTGGTAAATTAATACAGGTTCACTTCCCAGGTAAATTAATACAGATTCACTGCCCTGGTAAATTAATACTGGTTCACTGCCCATGTAAATTAAAATACAGGTTCACTGCCCAGGCAAATTAATACAGGTTCACTGCCCATGTAAATTAATATAGGTTCACTGCTCAGGTAAATTAATACAGGTTCACTTCCCAGGTAAATTAATACAGGTTCACTGCCCAGGTAAATTAATACAGGTTCACTGCCCAGGTAAATTAATACAGGTTGATATGATATGGTTAAGAAGTAACATTAGTAAAAACAGCAAATAAATAACATAGTCCATACCTGGAAAGAGATCTGAGCTTTAGTGGCATTAGCCAGTTCTATCTTTCGTTTTTTCTCTTCAATGTCCTCCTGACGTTCTGGCAGCATGCTTTCCTGTACAAGGGACAACAGTCGATTGTGGGAATTATCAGAAGGTTGCTGGAAATCAACAGTAGGGAGACCATTGGCATGGAAACCAACCTGTAACATAAAATTTTCTGTTAAATATGCAAACATTACCAAATTAAGGATTAATAAGTTCCTCTATCAAACATACCTGTCGATCATACATTGTATAATTCTATATGGTGATCATACATTGTATAATTCTATATGGTGATCATACATTGCATAATTCTATATGGTGATCATACATTGTATAATTCTATATGGTGATCATTGCATAATTCTATATGGTGACATTGTATAATTCTATATGTGGTGATCATACATTGTATATTTCTATATGTCGATCATACATTGTATAATTCTATATGGTGATCATACATTGTATAATTCTATGTGGTGATCATACATTGTATATTTCTATATGTCGATCATACATTGTATAATTCTATATGGTGATCATACATTGTATATTTCTATATGGTGATCATACATTGTATATTTCTATATGGTGATCATACATTGTATATTTCTATATGGTGATCATACATTGTATAATTCTATATGGTGATCATACATTGTATAATTCTATATGGTGATCATACATTGCATAATTCTATGTGGTGATCATACATTGTATATTTCTATACAGGTTTTACCTCTGAACACCTCCAGGTATTTCCAGTCCCAACAACTGCGACAATGATTGGCAGTTTCAGTTGAATTGCAAACCTGATTTCCTTACAACAGTTCTCAGAGACAGCGTACTCATCAGATAAGCAGGCCACCATGACACGAGACTCAGCCAGGCCCTTGGATAGTCTATGGAACAGCTGGTCATTCTGTGGGAGAGATATGCTTCCTGCTCTTAAAATAAATTTTCGCAAAATATCATACATTGATAAGAATTCAGAGCATTGAAATGATGGGTATAAATAATCACTTTATTGATAATTATAAACAAAGACTACCTTTATGACAAGACCAAGGAAGCAGTGCTTATTTTCATCTTCATGATAAAACAGTGAAGGAGAGCTCATTTTAAACAGTACCTTCATGATTAACTAGCAATGGAGAGCTTATGTTTACCAGTACATTCATGATTAACCAGTGAATGAGAGCTTATGTATACCAGTACCTTCATGATTAAGTAGCAAAGGAGAGTTTACTTATAACAGTACCTGAATGATAAATATATGAAGGAGAGCTCATTTTAAACAGTACCTTCATGATTAACTAGCAAAGGAGAGGTTATGTTCACCAGTACCCTCATGATAAACCAGTGAAGGAGAGCTTATGTTTACCAGCACCTTCATGACTAACTAGCAAAGGAGAGCTTATGTTTACCAGTACCTTCATGATTAAGTAGCAAAGGAGAGCTTATGTTTAGCAGTACCTTCATGATAAACCAGTGAAGGAGATCTTATGTTTACCAGCACCTTCATGACTAACTAGAAAAGGAGAGCTTATGTTTACCAGTACCTTCATGATTAAGTAGCAAAGGAGAGCTTATGTTTACCAGTACCTTCATGATTAAGTAGCAAAGGAGAGCTTATGTTCACCAGTACCTTCATGATTAAGTAGCAAAGGAGAGCTTATGTTTACCAGTACCTGAATGATAAACCAGTGAAGGAGAACTTATGTATACCAGTACCTTCATGATTAAGTAGCAAAGGAGAGCTTACTTATAACAGTACCTGAATGATAAATATATGAAGGAGAGCTCATTTTAAACAGTACCTTCATGATTAACTAGCAAAGGAGAGGTTATGTTCACCAGTACCCTCATGATAAACTAGTGAAGGAGAGCTTATGTTTACCAGCACCTTCATGACTAACTAGCAAAGGAGAGCTTATGTTTACCAGTACCTTCATGATTAAGTAGCAAAGGAGAGCTTATGTTTAGCAGTACCTTCATGATTAAGTAGCAAAGGAGAGCTCATGTTTACCAGTACCTGAATGATAAACCAGTGAAGGAAAACTTATGTATATCAGTACCTTCATGATTAAGTAGCAAAGGAGAGCTTACTTATAACAGTACCTGAATGATCAATATATGAAGGAGAGCTCATTTTAAACAGTACCTTCATGATTAACTAGCAAAGGAGAGGTTATGTTCACCAGTACCTTCATGATTAAGTAGCAAAGGAGAGCTTATGTTTACCAGTACCTTCATGATTAAGTAGCAAAGGAGAGCTTATGTTCACCAGTACCTTCATGATTAAGTAGCAAAGGAGAGCTTATGTTCACCAGTACCTTCATGATTAAGTAGCAAAGGAGAGCTTATGTTTACCAGTACCCTCATGATAAACCAGTGAAGGAGAGCTTATGTTTACCAGCACTTTCATGACTAACTAGAAAAGGAGAGCTTATGTTCACCAGTACCTTCATGATTAAGTAGCAAAGGAGAGCTTATGTTCACCAGTACCTTCATGATTAAGTAGCAAAGGAGAGCTTATGTTTACCAGTACCTTCATGATTAAGTAGCAAAGGAGAGCTTATGTTCACCAGTACCTTCATGATTAAGTAGCAAAGGAGAGCTTATGTTCACCAGTACCTTCATGATTAAGTAGCAAAGGAGAGCTTATGTTTACCAGTACCTGAATGATAAACCCTGCAGGAATGGAGAGTTTATTTTTACACAACCAGTAAGACCTATAGCAGTGATTCCTGGGTTCTTGATCTCTACCAAACACAATGATTGCCTCTGTAACAGGTATTATGTACTGATGCTGTGTAGATATTATGTGTTCTGATATTGTGGTTTATCTATCTTACACTTTGATGTATTTTATCATTGCGTGTTGATGACATGATATATTTTGTCCTTGTGTGTTGATGCTATGATATATCTATTGTCATTTGTTGGTTCTATAATGTATTTAGTCCCTGTGTGTTGATGCCGTGGTGTATCAAAGCATCCAGGATGTTTGACACAGGTATAGATATGATTTCCCCTCCCCCTACATACTGACTGAAATCGTATCCACAGTCCTGTCATACCAATACAAGTATGTGATATTGATTGTTACCACATTGATCTGTTCAACATCAATCCAACAAGACACCCCATTCTCCTCCAGAAATGTCTTGATCTCCCGAGGATCTCCAAATCCTAGAGCCTCCTCCTTTTTCCTAAACAGCAAAAGGATGAAGTTAAAGAAAAAGAATAGTTGATGAACATTGGAACTATTTAGATAGTTGACAATTTATTATTGACCTTGTCCCAAAAGCCCTCTTCAATAGATCTGACCTTTATTTATTTCAATCATGGTAACATTAATTCAGTTCTACATGACAGATATCCTTACGACTCCAACTTATGGAGTTCTAAAGAAGAAGGTAAGCAGGATACCCAATGCATGCTATCCAGAGCAAGAACAAAATTATAACAGTATGTAAATAATCTGTGATCTCAGCTTCCATAGAAACACCAGGCAGGGATCAAACCACACACCTCTGTTCTTCACCACAGAAATACAAACCTCCCTAGGCAGGGATAGAACCACACATCTCTGTTCTTCACCACTATAAACACAAACCTTCCCAGGCAGGGATAGAACCACACACCTCTGTTCTTCACCACTATAAACACAAACCTCCCCAGGCAGGGATAGAACCACACACCTCTGTTCTTCACCACAGAAACACAAAACACAAACCTTCCCAGGCAGGGATAGAACCACACACCTCTGTTCTTCACCACAGAAACACAAACCTCCCCAGGGATAGAACCACACAGTTCTTCACCACAGAAACACAAACCTTCCCAGGCAGGGATAGAACCACTTCTGTTCTGTATCTTCACCACTATAAACACAAACACAACACCTGTTCTTCCCAGGAAACACAGGGATAGAACCACACACCTCTGTTCTTCACCACAGAAACACAAACCTCCCCAGGCAGGGATAGAACCACACATCTCTGTTCTTCACCACTATAAACACAAACCTCCCCAGGCAGGGATAGAACCACACATCTCTGTTCTTCACCACAGAAACACAAACCTCCCTAGGCAGGGATCAAACCACACACCTCTGTTCTTCACCACAGAAACACAAACCTCCCTCGGCAGGGATAGAACCACACATCTCTGTTCTTCACCACAGAAATACAAACCTTCCCAGGCAGGGATAGAACCACACACCTCTGTTCTTCACCACAGAAACACACCACACACCTCTGTTCTTCACCACAGAAACACAAACCTCCCCAGGCAGGGATAGAACCACACACCTCTGTTCTTCACACACAGGCAAACACAAACCTCACCACAGAAACACAAACCTCCCAGGCAGGGATAGAACCACACACCTCTGTTCTTCACCACAGAAACACAAACCTCCCCAGGCAGGAACCACACAGTTCTTCACCACAGAAATACAAATAGAACCACACATCTCTGTTCTTCACCACTAGAAACACAAACCTCCCCAGGCAGGGATAGAACCACACATCTCTGTTCTTCACCACAGAAACACAAACCTCCCCCAGAACCACACAGAAATACAAACCTCCCCAGGCAGGGATAGAACCACACACCTCTGTTCTTCACCACAGAAACACAAACCTCCCCTGGCAGGGATAGAACCACACATCTCTGTTCCTCACCACAGAAATACAAACCTCCCCAGGCAGGGATAGAACCACACACCTCTGTTCTTCACCACTATAAACACAAACCTCCCCAGGCAGGGATAGAACCACACATCTCTGTTCCTCACCACAGAAACACAAACCTCCCCAGGCAGGGATAGAACCACACATCTCTGTTCTTCACCACTATAAACACAAACCTCCCCAGGAAGGGATAGAACCACACATCTCTGTTCTTCACCACAGAAACACAAACCTCCCCAGGCAGGGATAGAACCACACACCTCTGTTCTTCACCACAGAAACACAAACCTCCCAGGCAGGGATCAAACCACACACCTCTGTTCTTCACCACAGAAACACAAACCTCCCCAGGCAGGGATAGAACCACACATCTCTGTTCTTCACCACTATAAACACAAACCTCCCCAGGAAGGGATAGAACCACACACCTCTGTTCTTCACCACAGAAACACAAACCTCCCCAGGCAGGGATAGAACCACACACCTCTGTTCTTCACCACAGAAACACAAACCTTCCCAGGCAGGGATAGAACCACACATCTCTGTTCTTCACCACAGAAACACAAACCTTCCCAGGCAGGGATAGAACCACACACCTCTGTTCTTCACCACAGAAACACAAACCTCCCCAGGCAGGGATAGAACCACACACCTCTGTTCTTCACCACAGAAACACAAACCTCCCCAGGCAGGGATAGAACCACACACCTCTGTTCTTCACCACAGAAACACAAACCTCCCCAGGAAGGGATAGAACCACACACCTCTGTTCTTCACCACAGAAATACAAACCTCCCCAGGCAGGGATAGAACCACACATCTCTGTTCTTCACCACAGAAATACAAACCTCCCCAGGCAGGGATAGAACCACACATCTCTGTTCTTCACCACAGAAACACAAACCTCCCCAGGCAGGGATAGAACCACACACCTCTGTTCTTCACCACAGAAACACAAACCTCCCCAGGCAGGGATAGAACCACACACCTCTGTTCTTCACCACAGAAACACAAACCTCCCCAGGAAGGGATAGAACCACACACCTCTGTTCTTCACCACAGAAATACAAACCTCCCCAGGCAGGGATAGAACCACGCATCTCTGTTCTTCACCACTATAAACACAAACCTCCCCAGGCAGGGATAGAACCACACACCTCTGTTCTTCACCACAGAAACACAAACCTCCCCAGGCAGGGATAGAACCACACACCTCTGTTCTTCACCACTATAAACACAAACCTCCCCAGGCAGGGATAGAACCACACATCTCTGTTCTTCACCACAGAAACACAAACCTTCCCAGGCAGGGATAGAACCACACACCTCTGTTCTTCACCACTATAAACACAAACCTCCCCAGGCAGGGATAGAACCACACACCTCTGTTCTTCACCACTATAAACACAAACCTCCCCAGGCAGGGATAGAACCACACATCTCTGTTCTTCACCACAGAAACACAAACCTCCCCTGGCAGGGATAGAACCACACATCTCTGTTCTTCACCACAGAAATACAAACCTCCCCAGGCAGGGATAGAACCACGCATCTCTGTTCTTCACCACTATAAACACAAACCTCCCTCGGCAGGGATAGAACCACACATCTCTGTTCTTCACCACAGAAATACAAACCTCCCCAGGCAGGGATAGAACCATGCATCTCTGTTCTTCACCACTATAAACACAAACCTCCTCAGGCAGGGATAGAACCACACATCTCTGTTCTTCACATCACTCCACCACACCTGTGTTATTCTATATTAATGATTGAAATATTTCTTCTATCAGTTTTTATGAAACAAATCTAACCAATAGTGAGATATAAACACCTACCCAGGATATATTATGTTAAATGTTAGGACCCTGTGGTTTATCAATGTCAAAGTGATGTAGAGACAAAATGCTTTATTGATAGATCAGCTAGGTGACCTAACACATATACCATGTACTCACGTTGAGCCCAGCTGGACAGCTTGGTTGGAGTTCACCCAAGCGTAGCTGATAAAACAAGCTTTACTGTGCATTTCCTGCTTCCCAACACTGATCTGCTCATTCTTCTGTAGTGCATCTAATAGCTCATCAAATTTAGATTTGTACACAGATTTCTTGGAGTTGATCATATTAACAAAAATCTACAAAATATAATGTTAGTTTTATTACCAAAGATATTATTTACACAAACAATAGACTAAGTAACTCAAATTCAGAGGTCTATATAGTAAATTTAATGTTGCAATCAATTAATTTACCCAGCATGGAGTTAAAAGAAAGACCTTCTATCACACATGTATATCACAAAATATCACTATTCACCCACCACATCACTGATAAAGACTCCCAGAGAGGTACTCCCCTGCCAGTTGAAGTTCTCCCCTACAGTCACACAGATTGTCATTTTCTTCATGGTGTTCACAGCATATTTGTACATGTCACAACAGATTTTGTCTTTTGCGTAGTTGTTGGAGATAAACACAAGAAAAACAGATGCATGCACAAGCCTCCTGGCCATCTCTTCTCGTGATGTTAAATCCTTTCCCTGAGGAAAATAGCTGTAATAGTAAAAGTACAGCATTACATTTATCACTATGTAAACATGGCATTCAGGGCCTTCTACAATCTTGTTTTGTATATGTGTCAAAGAAAGTGGGTCTTAATCATACTGATCTGAATAAACCTTAATAACAAGTACACTTAACACACCATTGTTACTTCTCTGTGACTGGTCGACCTTTTTGTGAAGGATTTTTATCGATAATTATCATACACCAGGAAGCTGGTGGAAATGTTTGTACTATCATTTTAGTCCTTCACATTATCTGAAAGCTATTGGTCAAATATCAAGATTTCAGTTACTCCAAATTACTACATAGCTACTGGTTAATCATGATTTGAGGCCTTCCACTAATCACAAAGACATGGGCTAAAAATCATGATTTTAAGCTTTCCTGATAGACTCATCAATACTTAATTTGTTATTTCATTGTAAGTACATGATAGCATTTATTGAAGATGCTATGACAACAGTTTAACAATATGTATCTCACCATGTATAACCCTCCTTTTCTAGGTCATTGCAAACATCTGCTGGGTGTATGACCTTTGACCTGTCTTTGGGTGCATCTTTTTCGCAGTAGGAGATGAATATATCTGAAACAAAAGAAAACAATGAATGTTGATGTGACCTTGTTATTATAGATATGAATATTCTACAGTGCAAGCCATTTTTACCCGAGAAAATTAAATAAACTACATTACCAACTTATGGTAAGGGTAACACATTTACAAAATCAGTACAAAATTTCGAAATTATAAATGACACAGAGGGTTTATGTGTTCATGTATTCAGAAACAAGGTGAGCTGTTTGCTTTTATTTCTGCAGCTTAAAATAATGGAAATTTATTGAAGAGGTTATAAACGTCTTTGTTGTGACCTTGACATTGCATATGTGTTGTGACTTCGACATTTGTGGTACAAATAATTACACAGTCTATTGTTGTGACCACTGACATCTCAGCAATGATAGGCTAAGATATCTAAGGGAGATAACCTCTGTTTTACTTACCAACTGACATCTCAGCAATGATAGGCTAAGATATCTAAGGGAGATAACCTCTGTTTTACTTACCAACTGACATCTCAGCAATGATAGGCTATGATATCTAAGGGAGATAACCTCTGATTTACTTACCAACTGACATCTCAGCAATGATAGGCTATGATATCTAAGGGAGATAACCTCTGTTTTACTTACCCACTGACATCTCAGCAATGATAGGCTAAGATATCTAAGGGAGATAATCTCTGATTTACTTACCCACTGACATCTCGCTCTGCATCTGTTTGAGAGCAGTAACATCATTGTTCAGATGAACTTCATAGTCTTTACTGCTGTCTGGAGCCAAAATGCCTGCAGGAAAATGTGTAATTCTTATTTTAGGATTAAATACTGACTGAGTGCTGTTAATTTTTGGATTTAAGCATTCAATTGTAAACAATTGCCATATAACATTGTCATATCATTCCTTCAAATACTATATGACTAAGGTTACACAAACTATGGTTTCATGTGAAACCTAAGGTTTCCAAGTCCTGTTGACTGACCTTAAAAATAGGTTGTCTATCTGGTATTGAAAGGATACAATACTTTTACATAATAAATGATTTAACTGAGAGTCTCTCAAAGTACCAGAACATTTTTTTTTCATATATATAATCCTGTTACATCCACTTTTTACTTTTGTAACAAGGGCCTTCATCGCACACCTGACTTATTCAGCTATTCATTAATTCCGAGTTCTTTGGACCAGGTGAGCTAAAAGTTTTGCATTTCATATAAACATTGTTTCTCACATGGAACAACAAATTTTTCTTTATGAGATAGATCTATATTTAGCCTACCTTGAAGGCTAGACTTGTGTCATGTGATAATTCAGTCTAAGTTTAGCCTACTCTGGGGGCAAAAGACTTGAGTGAGGAGACAGACCTATATTTAGCCTACCTTGAAGGCTAGACTTGTGTCATGTGATAATTCAATCTAAGTTTAGCCTACTCTGGGGGCTAAATACTTGAGACAGATCTATATTAAGCCTACCTTGGAGACTGAGGACAGGAGAGGTGTGAAAGTATTTATGACACTGTAAGAATGGTGCTTTAAGTTCCAGGGCTCGCCGGACACCAGATTCCTTAAACATGTGAGGGTCTTTCACATACTGTAAAACAGAAAATAAATCAATGATTTTATGAAGAACATATTGTGACTTGTCCAGCTTGTAAGCTTAATGTAGTAAAGAGCTAGCATACCATAAATACGACAGATACTATCACTAGCCATTTCTGATAGAACAGAAAAATGCTCAAATTGTTCTAGGACCAGCACATAACATGAAAATGACAAAAGACACATGCTGAAAGACACAGACAGCAGAATGTTACAGAGACTTTATCTATTTTCTTGTGTATTCTAATTTTTTTTTATGTTTTTTTTTTTTCGTTTTCTATTTTTGAACTGACAATTAAGGTTTGTTAACCTTTAATACTAAGTGATATCTGTGTAATTAGAAACACTAGTGACATCTACAATGTACCTGGTTAACACAGTCAGGACAAGGTATCTTGCATTCATAGGCAACACCATAGAAGGATTCCTTGATCAGGCTTTCAAACACTTCATGTATGAAAAAAAGCAGGTTGTCTGGCCTCGGACCTTGAACTTTGACATGAAGCAGGGACTCCCTGAAAACCAAAGGGGGAAATATCACCTTAAGAGTTCTGATTACCTGGTGAATTGGACACTCAGAAATAGAATCATTCATTTGTTTTCCTTCCATTGTATGATTCTGGTGTGACCCTAATCATACTTCACCTAATTCATACAATCAACATTTTAGCGCATTATCAGTTTTTGCCATGTCAGTGAAATGATGATTTCACCCATGAGTAATTATCATCAATAATATACAGAAGCAACAATTTGTGCATTCAACCATACTTGAAAATCTGGAAGAAATAATTAATTTTGATTTCTGATTGGAAAAAATCTGGTTAGTAGCAGACTTTTATAAATTCAAGTCATAGACACTCACCCAATCTGTTGCACCAAAGCCAACTGCCCATTCTTCTTGATGAAAGAACCTCTCTTCCATAAGACAGACTCCTCTGAGACACCGTGAAGTCTTACCTGATTTAACAGACATATTGTCAGTACATATCAATGTACCATTGTAAGTTTGAATTGCAGGAGACACAGATTCAAACTGTATATACTGTCAGGGAGAATGGAGCAGAAAACTACAATACAAATAGCCTATAGTGTTCTTCATGTGACTCAGCAACTCATTATCTTAATTATCAAGGATTAAGGGGCTTATGTCTGGTAATAAGCCCAACCATGTGTATATATTGTTCTACAATAAGCCCAACCATGTATATATATTGTTCTACAATAAGCCCAACCATATGTATATATTGTTCTACAGTAAACCCAACCATGTATATCTATTGTCCTACAGTAAGCCCAACCATGTGTATATATTGTTCTACAATAAGCCCAACCATGTATATATATTGTTCTACAATAAGCCCAACCATATGTATATATTGTTCTACAGTAAACCCAACCATGTATATCTATTGTCCTACAGTAAGCCCAACCATGTGTATATATTGTTCTACAGTAAGCCCAACCATGTATATATATTGTTCTACAATAAGCCCAACCATATGTATATATTGTTCTACAGTAAACCCAACCATGTATATCTATTGTCCTACAGTAAGCCCATCCATGTGTATATATTGTTCTACAGTAAGCCCAACCATGTATATATATTGTTCTACAATAAGCCCAACCATGTGTATATATTGTCCTACAGTAAGCCCAACCATGTATATCTATTGTCCTACAGTAAGCCCAACCATGTGTATATATTGTCCTACAGTACGCCCAACCATGTATATCTATTGTCCTACAGTAAGCCCAACCATGTATATATATTGTCCAACAGTAAGCCCAACCATGTATAAATATTGAATTACAATAAGCCCAACCATATTTATATATTGTCTTACAATAAGCCCAACCATGTATATATATTGTCTTACAATAAGCCAAACCATATTTATATATTGTCTTACAATAAGCCAAACGTTTAAGATAGAAGTTCTTATTACACAACCAGTAAAAGATTAGAGTGTGATGTTTCAATGAGATGGTACTGAATCTACGACCTTTTTTGGCTGCACTATAATTCTATGTAGACTAAGGTTGAAGATAGTGTGAGGAGATAGTAAACAGATTATAGACAGAAAAATACACCAGATGGTAACAATGTACTGTAGTCAATGTGGCGACGGTTTGTTTAATACGTCACACTTCAATCTTCTACTGGTTGTGTTATAAGAACTTCTATTCTATTGACATTAGCAACCTGAAAAAAATGTTAAAAAAAAAAAAAAAAAGAAAAAAAAGTCCAACCTTTAATTTAGGCCTTTACCTTGGGTGTATTACAAGGCAGTATATCTTACCTGCCCCCTGTTGAAAAGACCTCCTGGTAAATAATCAAACTTGTAGATCATTTTTGTTTCAAAGATTCCTTCATCCTGTTGTATCTGTGGCCAGGAAAACTGTGAAATAAAACAAACATACTGAGTTTACATGCTCTCTACCAGTCACAACAAGCTATTACATGGTAATGATTTACAAAGAGGGTTCTGTGTGGCTTTATCTTATCCCAAACAGGTAATTAACACGACATTTGTTTAGTAAACAAAAGCATATGTATTTGCTGCTTTTTTAGTGGGTTGGGTTACAGGAATGAAATTAAGAAATTTGCTGTTCTTACGTATTCTATCATCACAAAACTTGCATTTATTTGACCATTGACCTTGAGTTCAAGGTCACAGTGACCTAACATTAGTGTATTGCACAACAGTTTAGGAATGAGTAAGTTACTACATACAATATGTTTCCATCAAAGTACAACATACATCAGGGCATTTCTCTGGAAGCAGACATGGTACAATGTTACATTTTTCCTTCTCTAATTGGAAGGTCAAGTCAAATTCCTCAGTCAGTCTCAGCAACCAGTCAGCCATCTTTGTGTGATTCTTCCAAATTTTCTTAATGTCTGCATGCTTTAGTCGACCATTCTGAAACAAAAGAGTGATCATTTAAAAAAAAATCAAAACAAAATAGAAAAACATTTTGGAAACACTTAAATCCTGAACTTTTGAAGGAATAAAAACAAATAAAACAAATGTTTAGCAAATAACAATCTCTCACTGATCCAAAAACTAACCAAGGTGAAACCATACATCAAGAAGGAGATTTCAGTGAAAACACAATAATGGGCAGTGATTGGTTACCATGATGGCAACATCATACTGGACAGTGATTGGTTACCATGATGGCAGCATCATACTGGACAGTGATTGGTTACCATGATGGCAACATCATACTGGACAGCGATTGGTGACCATGATGGCAACATCATACTGGACAGTGATTGGTTACCATGATGACAACATCATACTGGACAGTGATTGGTTACATTGATGACAACATCATACTGGACAGTGATTGGTGACCATGATGACAACATCATACTGGACAGTGATTGGTTACATTGATGACAACATAATACTTTATTTTGGGGGTGAGTGGCAATGATTGCTTACCTGGATGACAGCCTGGTCTACACAGACGACACATGCCATCACATCTACAATCCACTGTGGTTCAATGATCACTTGATTTCTGAGGTTCTCATTGGAGAAATGTTGGATCATGCCAAGGTCATGTAAGAACTGGACAGCTTGAGATATCTGTGTGAAAAATATTCAGATTTCTTCTTCAAAGTATTTCTCTTCATCACAAAAAAACCCCCCACAGAAATCATCTATATGAATAATAATAATACAACATTAACACTGAAAATCAAAACAAGGGCCATTTTCCTATATTAGTCCAAAATGTCTTAGTAAGTCAGAGGCAGTGGTGTGTATCTTTAATATTTACATAATAATTTGTTTAGAAGTGACACTGAGAGTATATGACTGCTAACACAATACCACTGATTCAAAGCCATGTGGTGGGCTTATTACAGGACCCCAGCAAGCAACACATTACCTCTGACTCAAAGCCATGTGGTGGGCTGATTACAGGACCCCAACAGGCCAACACATTACCTCTGACTCAAAGCCATGTGGTGAGCTTATTACAGGACCCCAGCAGGCCAACACATTACCTCTGGACCCCAGCAGGCCAACACATTACCTCTAACTCAAAGCCATGTGGTGGGCTTATTACAGGACCCAAACAGGCCAACACATTATCTCTGGACCCCAGCAGGCTAACATATTATCTCTGGACCCCAGCAGGTCAACACATTACCTCTAACTCAAAGCCATGTGGTGAGCTTATTACAGGACCCCAGCAGGCCAACACATTACCTCTGGACCCCAGCAGGCATACACATTACCTCTGACTCAAAGCCATGTGGTGGGCTTATTACTGGATCCCAGCAGGCCAACACATTACCTCTGGACCCCAGCAGGCCAACACATTACCTCTGACTCAAAGCCATGTGGTGGGCTTATTACAGGACCCAAACAGGCATACACATTACCTCTGACTCAAAGCCATGTGGTGGACTTATTACTGGATCCCAGCAGGCCAACACATTACCTCTGGACCCCAGCAGGCCAATACATTACCTCTGACTCAAAGCCATGTGGTGGGCTTATTACAGGATCCCAGCAGGCCAACACATTATCTCTGGACCCCAGCAGGCCAACACATTACCTCTGGACCCCAGCAGGCCAACACATTACTTCTAACTCAAAGCCATGTGGTGGCCTTATTAGTAGACAATTTATTAGCATGTCCTGGTAGTTCTTCTCAACAGCAATATATAAGGGTGGGCTGATTACAAGACATAGGCGTATAGGTATGTTTCAGTATATTTACCTCAGTTGAATCAACAATACCAACATCAACAGCTTTTGTTTCCAATGTTTTGAAGTCAAGCACTTTATTTTTGTCTCTTTCACTACAAAAAAAGAAACAGCTTAATGAACAGTTGGATGTCATTGACAAATAATGATACCAAATAACAGTCTGATTCTTGCCTAACATTCATACTTTTGTACCCAGCATCTCACTCCACATGTTCACACTCCCCACCATCATGCTCCCAGTTTCACCCCATCATCACCCTCTCCTTCATCATGCTCCCAACCCTCACCCTTCCCACCCTCACCCTCTGTAATTTTGATGATCTGTTGTAGTGACAGTCATGCTAATGGTAAAACAAAACCGTTTCAATGTGAGCTAGGTTTCATTCAAATGATTGACAACAATAATTTTATAAAACTAAGAAATATTTAAGATTTTTCAGACAAAAATTACTTCTAAAAGAAGAAAATTAAAATGAATTAGTTTTATGATAAAAGTCTTACTCAGTGAGAAGTTTCTCTAGTTGAAGCCATGCCTGAGGAATCTTCTCTCCCATGTATTCCTGTTGTAGAGTCACTTTAAACAATTCTTGCTTCAGCCCTGGGATACCCTGGAGGAGTAAACAGTTCTATAACACTTCTTCATGTTAAAGAGTACAGTGTAATACATTTTTCTCATCCATCGAAGCTGAATGCTAGATCTGACTTACATTTCCATCCTTTGAGGTGACAAAGTGAAATCCCTCTATCTGGTGGTATTTACTAGATCTGACTTACATTTCCATCCTTTGAGGTGACAAAGTGAAATCCCTCTATCTGGTGGTATTTACTAGATCTGACTTACATTTCCATCCTTTGAGGTGACAAAGTGAAATCCCTCTATCTGGTGGTATTTACTAGATCTGACTTACATTTCCATCCTTTGAGGTGACAAAGTGAAATCCTTCTATCTGGTGGTAATAACTAGATCTGACTTACATTTCCATCCTTTGAGGTGACAAAGTGAAATCCCTCTATCTGGTGGTAATAACTAGATCTGACTTACATTTCCTTCCTTTGAGGTGACAAAGTGAAATCCCTCTATCTGGTGGTATTTACTAGATCTGACTTACGTTTCCAACCTTTGAGCTGACAAAGTGAAATCCCTCTATCTGGTGGTATTTACTAGATCTGACTTACATTTCCATCCTTTGAGGTGACAAAGTGAAATCCCTCTATCTGGTGGTAATAACTAGATCTGACTTACATTTCCATCCTTTGAGGTGACAAAGTGAAATCCCTCTATCTGGTGGTAATAACTAGATCTGACTTACATTTCCATCCTTTGAGGTGACAAAGTGAAATCCCTCTATCTGGTGGTAATAACTAGATCTGACTTACATTTCCATCCTTTGAGGTGACAAAGTGAAATCCCTCTATCTGGTGGTAATAACTAGATCTGACTTACATTTCCATCCTTTGAGGTGACAAAGTGAAATCCCTCTATCTGGTGGTATTTACAAGATCTGACTTACTTTTCCATCCTTTGAGGTGACAAAGTGAAATCCTTCTATCTGGTGGTAATAACTAGATCTGACTTACATTTCCATCCTTTGAGCTGACGAAGTGAAATCCCTCTATCTGGTGGTATTTGTTTTTCATTACATCCATGGGAAGCTCTACTTTTGACATCTGCAGTATATAAAATGCTATGATAAATATCATTCATTTAGCATATTTACACATTTAAAGATTATATTTGCAGCAAAACACAGCACGAGAAGAAATCTGTGACAGCTGGTTAAAATGTCCTGTTTTTCTTTATTTATCATATATAACAGTAAATAACCTTCCATCCATGTTTGTTGGAGTAATTTATCTTGTAAGAACTGCAAAATAAACTATCAATTTATATTCATCACTCTTTTTGGTTCAGATGGGAGAGTGCAACAGGTCTTACTGAGGAAGGAAACCAGAGTACTCAGGGAAAGCCATAATGGTCGGGCAGGTGACCTCATACATTTTCACCGCCCTTCCAAGAATGCATGCCTAGGTGAAAGGTGAGTGTTTCGCACTGTCACCAAAACACCACAAAGATGGGGCTATAGGGGTGTATGAATTGTGATGGTCAGTGTCTATGACTCACATGGTCAGTGTGGATGTCCACCACAAAGATGGGGGCCTTAGGAGCATGTACTATGACAGTCAGTGTCTATAACTCACCTGGTCAGTGTGGGTGCCCACAACAAAGATGGGGGCCTTAGGAGCATGTACTGTGATTGAGTTGAGCCAAAAGTTCAAACCAGCATGTTCATGTCCAAGTCGTATATTCCATAGCAGCAGGTACACAGCTCGGTCAGAAAGGAAAAACTGTAAGAAACCAAATATTTATGCTGCAGCATGTTTCTAATCATAAATTATTTTTTAGCCAGTACCTAAGAGTTTTCCATAATTCTTTTGTTATGTGTGGGGTGAAATGTGATGGCTAGATGTCATCTTCACCCTTCAGGTCAGATAACCTAAAAATTCAATCCTTTCAGTCAGAATTTAGAGCATTTACCAACCTGGAGCTCCCGAAACTAATCTTTTGAACTAAACCCTGGGCGCCCATTACCTGATGTGTTGTATTATCTTATGAGATGTCCCCCAAGATCTATCCTTGACAGCCATTACCTGATGTGTGTTGTATTGCCTTATGAGAGGTCCCCCAAGATCTATCCTTGACAGCCATTACCTGATGTGTTGTATTGCCTTATGAGCTGTCCCCAAAGTTTTATCCTTGACAGTCATTTCCTGATGCGTGGTGTATTGCCTTATGAGAGGTCCCCCAAGATCTATCCTTGACAGCCATTACCTGATGTGTTGTATTGCCTTATGAGCTGTCCCCAAAGTTTTATCCTTGACAGTCATTTCCTGATGCGTGGTGTATTGCCTTATGAGATGTCCCCCAAGATCTATCCTTGACAGCCATTACCTGATGTGTGTTGTATTGCCTTATGAGATGTCCCCCAAGATCTATCCTTGACAGCCATTACCTGATGTGTGTTGTATTGCCTTATGAGAGGTCCCCCAAGATCTATCATTGACATACATTACCTGATGATTGTTGTATTGCCTTATGAGATGTCCACCAAGATCTATCCTTGACAGCCACTACCTGATGTGTGTTGTATTACTCTATGAGATGTACCCAAAATTTTATCCTTGATACCCATTACCTGATGTGTGTTGTATTGCCTTATGAGATGACCCCCAGGTTTTATCCATGACAGCCATTACCTGATGCTTGTTGTATTACTCTATGTGATGTATCCAAAGTTTTATCCTTAACACCCATAACCTGCTGTGTGTTGTATTGCCTTATGAGATGTCCCCCAAGTTTGATCCATGATGGCCATTACCAGATGTGTGCTGTATTACCTGATGGGTGTAACATATTACCCTATGAGATGTCCCCCAGGTTTTATCCATGAAGGCCATTACCTGATGTGTGTTGTAGTATACAGTCTGACCAGCAAAGTCCCACACACTGTAGGATATTGTGTCTTTGTCGTGTTTTACATCCCAAGTACAGATGTCAATTCCTGTAATTACAACATTGACAAGTGTACACATGTAGGTTTAAAATTCTAATGTAATCACATCTCAATTGAAATCAAAGTTAATAATGGTTCACACTGACCATCAGGGATTCACCAGTCAGAGCAGATTTTTTATATTGACCATCAGTGACTGACCAGTCGGAGCAGATTTTTAATACTGACCATCAGAGATTGACCAGTCAGAGCAGATTTTTAATATTGACCATCAGCAATTGACCAGTCAGAGCAGATTTTTAATATTGACCATCAGTGATTCACCAGTCAGAGCAGATTTTTAATACTGACCATCAGAGATTCACCAGTCAGAGCAGATTTTTAATATTGACCATCAGCGATTGACCAGTCAGAGCAGATTTTTAATATTGACCATCAGTGATTGACCAGTCAGAGCAGATTTTTTATACTGACCATCAGTGATTGACCAGTCAGAGTAGATTGTTATACTAACCATCAGTGATTGCTTCCGCGCCAGTCAGATTAGATTTTTGGTTTTTTGACATCAATGACTTTACCAAACTAAAAACATGAAAACAAATATTATAGGAAAAAAAAGCATTTTTTACAACAATCCATTCACATTTACATCAATATGGATACAATAGGATTTAAGTTCATGTCTGATCAGCTTCTGTTACCAGCAATTGAATCAAACCTGTTATTTTTCTCCCACATAGAGCTATCTTTTCAAATACAGAAAACATATACTTGTCTGAAAGACCATCCCTGTAACATAACATATTATCTGTCTATAAAGTTCACTAGTATGTAATAAATACCTGTCTGTAAAGGTCACTAGTATATAACAAATACCTGTCAATACAGGTCACTAGTATATAACAAATACCTGTCTGTAAAGGTCACTAGAATATAACCAATACCTGTCTGTAAAGGTCACTAGAATATAACCAATACCTGTCTGTAAAGGTCACTAGTATATAACCAATACCTGTCTGTAAAGGTCACTAGTATATAACCAATACCTGTCTGTAAAGGTCACTAGTATAAAACCAATTCCTGTTTGTGTGTATATAAAAAAGTATGTCTGTAAATGTCACTTGTACATACTGAGTACCTGTCTATAAAGACCAATTGTTTTGGTTCCTAACTTAACAAAATTCAGTGATTACATCTCTGTATGAAGGTCACCTATCTACATGTGTAATGGCCACTTTACTCTGAAGTTTTGAGAGGCCTTCACAAGCAGGGTTGATTGACTTACACTTGAGGATACATATCCATTAAAAGATGAGTAAATAGGCAAATGATAGATCAGGGTTCAAACCCAGAGCTTCCTAGCTCTAGACGCAAGCTTTTACCAACTGTGACAGTAACAGCAGATCACCTTTGACAGACCCATGCCAAGTCTAAAATTTTGGTTTGGCTCTACAGTAGAGGTTTGATACATTGGTTTAAGAATGTACCTGGTTTTACCAGCTCCACCAAGTCCCACCAACATCAGTTTGGTTCGTTTACAGTCCACAGATCCTGTCAGCAGACGTTTGAGGTAGGCGTAAGTTGTCCTAAAGCCACGATCCCTGATCTCTTTAGGTGGAGTCTTCAGTACTGGGCAGTCAACAAGGTTTAACTCTGTAGAATACAGATCAGACAAGTTTGAATTGTGTCATCAAATGGACAGAAGTTTGTCATGTGTACATAAGGCAGGTAAGCTACAATTGGTGAATAATTTGAGGAAACAAGTAGATTTACTTTTAGGGTTTTATGGAGAAAAGCAAAGCAGGAAATTTTTTCCAGAGAACCAATTGTCTTCAATTTCTATATCTTATCATTAAAGAAGGGAGGAAGAGACTTACCTGACAAAGGACAACGTCCAATCTCAGCAGACAGTGACAATAAATAGGGATTACTGTTGAGGTGGAGCTTCTCTAATTTGTTCAAGTCTTTGATATTATCAGGTATGGTGATAATTCCTTGGTAACTAAGATCTAGGTTAACCAGAGCCTTGAGTCCTAATATCTCTTCAGGAACACCACCTAATGGCAAATCTGTGGGATCTAAGTGAAAGAAAAATTGATAAAACTATAGTCCTACAATACAACAATGGTATCATCAGCACTGACCAATCACAAAGATCAAGGTTAGGACCATGAATACAAACTTCTTTAAAGGCGTTCTGAATATTTGTCTGAAGTACCAGCACATCCTGTCAACATCAAAGTTATATGAACAAGGAGGTGCAATCACAACACAACCTCATATATTCTGTTCACAGTGGTTGTTTACATCTAAACTATATTTATATATACCAACCAGTTTCATTCGGGGGAGGGCTTCGTCTAAGCAATTACAAGAATTTTTGTTGTTTCCTAAGTTACTTTATTGCAGGTGCAGAGAATTCTGTTCTCAGCCGATTGTTGACGTTAATTCATGTTATGGTTCCAGTAACCTTGACATCAGTTATTGAGTGACTATATCTACGACAGTGTCTAAGAAGTTGATTTCTGTATCACTAATCTCAGTAGTTAGTTATACAGTATTATGGTAGTGGTTTAACGCCACAGTGAAGAATGTTAGGTCCTCTCTTGAGTGTGATCAATTGGATTCCAAAATAATATTTCAGTGATAAAAGTAATTGTCTATTCAAGGTAACAAAACCATGACTTAAGACATTTATATTACAATCAACTTCTAGCACTCAATGTTCACTGCTCTAGTTTAACTTAATGCAAATCTGAATATAATGGTGCATATCAAAACATAAACTTTTTTTACAACAATTGAGGACCAAGCCATCAGGTTGTATCAATCACATCTTGTTGGCCCAGATGTACAGGAAGGGGGAGTTTTACTTTTGGAGGAAACCAGAGTACCAGGGGTGCATTGTGTAACAAAGGTCATTATTTATTTCAATGCCTCCACTAGGATTTGAACTCGAGACCCCTGGCCTACTAGCTTGATGCTCAACATATTGAGCTAAAGAGTTCTCTTTTGCAGAGTAACACATTGCGGCTAATATTTTACCTGAGTTACAATTGTATGATCTTTAATGGTCTTTATTTCTTTTTCTTTCATTTGCTCTTGAATATATGAAATTTATGAAGAACCTCTGAAGAAACAGTGATGATAATTTTTAAGTGTCAAATCGACGATGGTTGCCTGTTGACCATTTTGTTTTGCTTATCGGTTCCAAAATGGATATTGCACAGCTAGACTTAAAAAGGGACCGAGCAGACCTTACAAATAAAATGCGAGAATCTGGTCATCCTGAAGAAAGGGCATTAACATGAATAAATTATAGGACAAATCATCGGCAAACGATGGATGCAGGGTAATATGAACAACTCACCATTCTTTTTTTTTTTTTTTAAATCCTGATTTTTACCTGGGGGGTCCCTTCCATTGTATCCGAACCTTGGAAAAATAGTGAAGAGGCTGGCATTAACCTTGGCAATCTCTTGTGTGTCCAAAGTCCCGCTATTATCCAGGTCAAACAATTTAAACATGTCCTCTTCACCCATTACCTAGGAATCAAAATAAAAACATGGACGCCCTGAACGAATCACAGAATATTTAATCAAATTCACACAATTATTTTATTTAATAAAATATCTAAAGCAACAGAGAAATCCTTTAAACGTTCAGACTTCTGCCTACCTCTGGGTTGGCTGTAATCCATCTCTTAATGCCTTCCTTTTCGAGGAATGTCACAAAGTTCTCTTTAGATAGGAGGAGGTTGTTTTTATTGTCCAGCCACTTGATTCCGACCAGAGAGAGACTTGTCAGCTGTTTAAGGTTCTTGAAAGTCTTCGGCAGAGTTGTCAAACAGTTGCCATTCAGACTCAGTTCATTCAATCTTGCCAAGTTACCAATGGCATCTGGCAACTGCTTTAACATTAAGTTGTCAGCACGTAGAACCCTAAGATTTCCCATGAGTGTAATAACGTTAGGTAATTTCTCCATTCTGTTACTGCTAATGTCCAAATGAGTCAGTTCTGTACAGTTATACAAAGCAGAGGGTAGATCCAACAGATCATTTTCTGCCAAGCACAGCTCGTTCAAGAACTTGCATTTTACTATTGTGTCTGGTAAAACTTCAAGGAAGTTTTTTTGTACAGAAAATGAACGTAAATTAGGGAGATCTTCGAAAGCTGTTTTTTGGATTGTCTCTAGACACTTGTTGTGTCTCTGAATCTGGCTAATAAAGGGCTGGTATCTTTGGAAAATGTCAGTCTTAAATTCTGCCAATTTAGATTCAGACTGAAGACAAGCTTCATGGCCAGGGCAGAGGAACATTCGATCTTTGAGCTTCAGTCCAGATTTGTTTATATTCCGTTTGAGAAAAGTATTCATTGTCTGAAAAAGAAATAAAAAGATTAAGTTTATTTTGTCATGGACAATTTTCAAGACAATTTTTTGAATATATGATTTAAAAATGATAAGTGTAGATAAAAATAATTGTATACACTAACTTAATTAACAAGCATACAGAGTACTGTTGAAGCATGTTTTCAAACAGCCCCCACAAACCATTGATGATAATACTATAGTGGTTTGTGAAGATGGTGCTGTTGGGTGTTGATAATGGAACAATGCAATACATAAGTAGGACAATCTGACAATACAGTTTCATAACTAGTGTGTATTGATGTGTTGTTGTCATTTTAAGTGTGTGAGGTCTTACAATATTCTGTCAGGAATAATAATGCTAGAGCACTGCCACTCATTTCCTTCAAAACAGTAAGTACCCATGATTTTGACCTTGACAAAACAACCCTGTCCAAGATATCTTAATGCTTAATAAGTGAGTAAAGTTTGGTAAGGAATAAAGCAGTTCCACCCCCCCCCCCCCAACTCCAAGCGAGCTTGTGAGCTTACAAGAGAAAAAAAGTAATTCCATTTTAAACTCACCACATGAACATTAACTCTAGCCTTCCACACGGCCACCTCCTTTAAGGTGAAGGACATGTTGACTGCCACCATTCTCAAGATTCTTTGGACTCCATATGACAACTAGAAAACCACAATAAAAGATGCAATCAACAGAGGTTAGCAGCCCTTAATCTTTTGCTCTCTCTCTCTCTCTCTCTCTCTCTCTCTCTCTCCCTCCCTCCCTCCCTCCATCCCTGTGTTAGGAATTCTAGAAAGAACAGCTCAAATTTTGTTAATTTTTTTCTCCACATTATCCTGAGGAGTGAATGACAGAAAATTTCTTCAAATTCTATCATACTAAATTCAATATAAAACAACAAAAGTACTCCTGGTAATAATTTTCACCAAAAGAATTAATTCAGAAAAAATATCCTGTATCCTCAATCATTCAATCGGTTAAGGCCAATTAATTTGTCATAGTCAAAAATTCTTAACAACAATTTTAGAATTACATCAATTAATACAAAACACTGACAAATAAACAACATAAAATGGAAACATTGTTGTCCAAATTTTCTAACAGGTCGATTAGCATCAAGGTCAATGACACTAGCAGTCTTTTGTAGCTATGTTATGTCCTAAGTGTCTCTATACTACAGAATATACACTATGGTATATCCCAGGAGTCTCTCTACACTATGGTATATCCTAGGAGTCTCTCTACACTATGGTATATCCCAGGAGTCTCTCTACACTATGGTATATCCCAGGAGTCTCTCTACACTACAATATATATCCCAGGAGTCTCTCTACACTATGGTATATCCCAAGAGTCTCTCTACACTATGGTATATCCCAGGAGTCTCTCTACACTATGGTATATCCCAGGAGTCTCTCTACACTATGGTATATCCCAGGAGTCTCTCTACACAACAATATATCCCAGGAGTCTCTCTACACAACAATATATCCCAGGAGTCTCTCTACACTATGGTATATCCCAGGAGTCTCTCTACACTATGGTATATCCCAGGAGTCTCTCTACACTACACAACATTATATCCCAGGAGTCTCTCTACACAACACTTATATCCCAGGAGTCTCTCTACACAACAATATATCCCAGGAGTCTCTCTACACTATGGTATATCCCAGGAGTCTCTCTACACTACAATATATCCCAGGAGTCTCTCTACACTATGGTATATCCCAGGAGTCTCTCTACACTACAACATATCACAGGAGTCTCTCTACACTATGGTATATCCCAGGAGTCTCTCTACACTGAAACTGTTATGTCCTGTTATGTCCTAGGAGTCTCCTGAAACTGTTATGTCCTAGGAGTCTCCTGAAACTGTTATGTCCTAGGAGTCTCCTGAAACAAACTCATTTTGAAAAAAATGGTACCTACAAGGCTGCTCTGTAGATTGTTTACATGAGCAGGGGCCAGCTGTGGAAAGAGCTTATCAAAGGGAGGCAAATCCAGCTGTAATGTAAAGAAATATGACTTCAATTCCTTGGTTTCTATGTTAAAACAAAAAGCAACAATAGGATACATGGTTTGTTTACTTTGACCTCTATTCCTATACCAAGAAATCCCGAAAACACTCCTTTTACCAAGAAACACCACACTCGAACTGACAGTCATATGACTGTGAAATTAGCACAAACATATTTAATGAACTATATTTATCTACAAAGACATGTGTCCATAAAGTTGTAATTCGCTTTGAAAAATCAGGAACATTGATCAACAAAAAATGATATAATTTTACAGTACTTTTTCACAGTCAGTTAAGATGACAAGTGTACCCCAGATGAGGTTGTGTATTACATCATCAATGTTTGTTTACATACAAACAACCTATTTTTTTTGTGGCATAAGATGACAAGGGTACCCCAGATGAGGTTGTGTATTACATCATCATTGTGTGTGAAGACACAGCCTACCTTTTTGCAGTGAGATAAGATGACAAGTGTACCCCAGATGAGGTTGTGTATTACATCATCATTGTGTGTGAAGACACAGCCTACCTTTTTGTAGTGGCATAAGATGACAAGTGTACCCCAGATGAGGTACTCAGGCATCTTCAGTTTTTCATACTCTGTTACTGGAATGCCCTCATTATTCACTAGATGAATAAGGTTGACTGCTGGCCATCTGTTTGCTTCAATACTTTTCACTAGAAAAGGATTTAAAGGGCTTCAATATTTGAAATATTTACAACCATTTAGTGTATTTTATTGTTATTACAAGTTTTGATCCCCTTGCCAATTTTATCATCTGACATCCTTGATATTATATATATTTGGCTTGACATCATTTACTGAACAGAAGACAGACACTAACAGGTTCTCGGAGTGGTACCTACACTGAACAGGTTCTCAGATTAACAACTCCACTTTACTGTACAGAAGACAGACACTAACAGGTTCTCGGAGTGGTACCTACACTGAACAGGTTCTCAGATTAACAACTCCACTTTACTGTACAGAAAACAGACACTAACAGGTTCTCGGAGTGGTACCTACACTGAACAGGTTCTCAGATTAACAACTCCACTTTACTGTACAGCAGACAGACACTAACAGGTTCTCGAAGTGGTACCTACACTGAACAGGTTCTCAGATTAACAACTCCACTTTACAGTACAGAAGACAGACACTAACAGGTTCTCGAAGTGGTACCTACACTGAACAGGTTCTTTGATTAACCACTCCACTTTACTGTACAGAAGAACTAGCTCTCTAATTGGTGCCTATGGTTTAGTGAACAGATCAAACAGTATAAATAGTTCTCTGTGTGATACCTGAACTGTCTCCAGTACAGATCGGATGGTAAAGATGATCTTTCTGGTCCTTCACTAGTCCCATGGTAGGATACAGAATTTTGTCGACAGTCAAATTCATTGGTAATAAAACTCCAACTACAGCTGTAGAAAAAAAAAACATCTTTTGAATACGTGGGTATCTTTAAATGAATATGATTCCTGAAACCATAGCTATATGAAGGAGATAGATATGGAAGATTGTGATTGGTTTATTTAAATTCTATCAAAATACATCATGTAATGGAAGTATCTATTTTAGTAACTTGAGGAACCTGCCCCTGCAGCCTTGCCCTGGTATCTATTTTGGTAACTTCAGGAACCTACCCCTACAGTCATGCCCTGTTGACTGCACTACATAGGCATTTGACCAGTGACCTAAGGAGGCGACAACAAAGATACATCTATGAAGGTATGCATTATAACTAATAGATTTTACACTGGTTCAAACATAGGTATTTTCATTCAGATACTTAATGATGGGAAATGTCAAAGAGGATACAAGTTGAAGGAACACAGTTTGGAATTAAATAGCAAATAATAAATTTAACCATAGATAATAAGATCTATTCATTGGGCATTATATGTAGATTCACATCCCATGTAACCACTATTTTCACCTGAAGGTAATTTTGAAAATTAAATATGGAAAATATTTGTATTAGTGTCATTAAAAGCCCCTGCTAATTTTTAAAAACTGAGCTATCAGACAGATCTCTACATACTTAGTCATAGGGAATGAAACCCTGGTAAAAAAACTAGCTGCAATATACCCATTAGCTGGAAAGAATTTCTCTTCAGTTTCATCAGCATTAAAGGCTAATAGGTCAGAGGTTCCAGGTTTGAAATGTAGCAGAGGCATTGAAAAAGATAGACTTCTGTTACAGGGAATATTAGGGATCAATGTGATTACAGAATCAAAACTCACCTGTGGACTTTTTTGTCATCGTGTGTAGCTGTTCTTCCACTGAAGCATACATCATTGTCATCTGTCTCTCAGATTCTGTAAAAATTACACATCTCTTATCATCAATATTAAGGTATCACCAGATTCAGGAACAATGAAGTAAATGTGTAAATTCCACAAAAATTTATTTTATAATGTCAGTAGGACATGAAATACCTATATCCAGTCTGGCAGCTAAGACATAGTGTTCGATGAATTTGCAGAAGTAAATGTAACCTTTCACCTTGTAACCTTGACCTCTGATCACCTCAATAGAATAAGAGTAGATGATGATGTTATGGTTCTATGCAGTAAATATGAACCAAATCGGTTGAGAGGTTCTCAAGATATAAAAATGATTCATAATGGAACATAAGGGGGCAAGAAACAGACATTTGGACCACTTTTAGCTGTACTTCTTCCCCTCCTCTAAATTGATAAAGATTATTGTTATGAATCTCAGAATTGAAATATTGTAACAGAGGTCATTATTTATTCCAATGCCTCTGCTAGGAATCGAACCCGGGACACCTGGCGTACTAGTCTGAAGCTCAACCAATCGAGCTTAAGAGAAGTTCTCCCTAGCAGAGTGGTATATTGCGGCTAGTATTTCACCAGGGTTACCTACTCCCCCTCCAGGAAATAACTTGTCCTTGAGTTTACAGGGGTTACAGCGATGCTGGTGGGACATGGCTAAGTACTATTCCTGGGTCCCTACGTTAGGCGCCAATGTGACAAATAGCATTGTCACCTTTAGATTAAGGGCCCATGGAGAGTAGCATGCATGCTCGTACATCATTCACACCACATAATCATAAGTTTGTGACTGAAGATATATCTAGAAAATAAACACAATATTCCAAAAGTTTATCAAGTACAGACCTGTACATTTTTGCTGTTCTATCCTGAAAGTGCTACAGTTGTGCTGCAGTTACACTATTGAAATGCAATTCAAACAAAACAATAGGACAACGATTATGGTACATAGTAGTACGACAGAAATTCCTGTTCAAGTGCTACAAGTGACACTTTAAAAACTTTAAAGTTGTTATGTAAAAATGGTAGTTTTTACCAAAAGTGGAACATGCATTGATCTTCTCAAGATCAGTCAACTGACAATGGACATATGTCAATTTGAAGAGTTTAACATCCAATGATGATTGGCTAAAAATTGGAACATGTTTTGGTCTTGTAAGAAATTCTATGCTTGATACTTCAGTGGCACTTTGTTCTAATTAACCATAGCAGCATCTTATAGACAACATATATATATATATGTATCTAAGAACTATCATAACTTGTCAGCATGTCAAAATTTCCTTAATACATAGGTCACATGATATAACCATTTGAACAGTACCACTGCCTTTTGTTGATAATCACTTATAATTGGATAATAAAAGTTCACACATCAGTGGTTTTCACCCATGATACATTATTTCTTATGTGTGTAACCCTGGTAAATTACCAGCTGCAAAATCCCACTTGGCTAGAGAGAACTTTTCCATAGCTCAATCAGTTGAGGGTCAGACTAGTACGCCAGGTGTCCTGGGTTTGATTCCTTGCAGAGGCATTGGAATAAATAATTACCTCTGTTACATTGGCGCCCATGTAGGGACCCAGGAATAGTACTTAGTCATTGCCCACCAGCGTTACTTTAACAAGCACCGCTGTGACCCCTGAAAACTTGAGGACCACCAGAGTTACTTTCACAAGTACCGCTGTGACCCCTGGAAACTTGAGGACCACAAGCTAACTTTCACAAGTACTGCTGTGACCCCTGGAAACTTGAGGACCACAAGCTAACTTTCACAAGTACCGCTGTGACCCCTGAAAACTTGAGGACCACCAGCGTTACTTTCACAAGTACTGCTGTGACCCCTGAAAACTTGAGGACCACAAGCTAACTTTCACAAGTACTGCTGTGACCCCTGGAAACTTGAGGACCACAAGCTAACTTTCACAAGTACCGCTGTGACCCCTGAAAACTTGAGGACCACCAGCGTTACTTTCACAAGTACCGCTGTGACCCCTGAAAACTTGAGGACCACAAGCTAACTTTCACAAGTACCGCTGTGACCCTGAAAACTTGAGGACCACCAGCTAACTTTCACAAGTACTGCTGTGACCCCTGGAAACTTGAGGACCACCAGCGTTACTTTCACAAGTACCGCTGTGACCCCTGAACACATGAGGACAAGTTATATCCTAGAGAGGGAGTATGTAACCCTGGTAAAATACTAGCCACAAAATCCCACTCGGCTACAGACAACTTCTCTTTAGCTCAATTGGTTGAGCATCAGACTAGTAAACCAGGGGTCCTGGGTTCGATTCCTAGCGGGGTCATTGGAATTAAAAATGACCTCTGTTACACGTGTTTCAGGAATTATGACAGCCCTAGATATGTATACGGTACATGTATCTGACACATTTGGAGAGTGAATGCCTCAGATATTATGTTCGACAATCAGTATCCCGTTCATTGCTGACCGCTAATAATAAACATGACCGCTATTTCAATTACCAACCATGTTACAGCAGGAAGAGGTCTTGATGGATGTAACATATAGCCGGCAAAGTAAGGTTGAGGACTTATAGGAATTATCATTTCACAAATAGATGCTGTGAAAATTATTTATATCAAATACATGACATATCATAATTGTCATTAAATAACATATTTCAGGTACATCATAATTGTACATGTTGCATACAGAATTTCCAATCAAACATAATTTAACAAATGCATTTTAAGTGGGATCCCATTGATTCAAGTGGTATGGAATCACAACAGAAAAGGGACATAACTGCTACGGTAGTATGAGGCAAACAATAGCCTTGTAGCATTTTAGTGTTCATTAGAGATCTGTAGATTACACATTGGACAAAGATGTGGAATCTACTTTGTAGGACAACAAACATCAAACTTACTTGTAGGAAAGGCAGGATTACAACACGGAACTAAATCCAAGCTCTTCTCGGATTCATTGATTTTGCCCATAGGCTACAAACATAAGAAGGATCTGGATTAAATAGTCATGTGATACACATACTGGGATTTATTTTTAAAGGTTTAGTGGGAAAGGGTTTTTTTAATTCATTTATTGCATTTAACATTTTTATTTCATATTTGCTTCTTCTGTTTACTGGTTTTGAATGTTTCCAAACAGCTTTTGTTGACAACCTTTCACTGGATGAATACAACATTCAGATATCAAAACAAAAGAAACAGATAATTGTGCTGAAAGAAAGTCAGTTAAAAGTAGAAACTGGTGGCATATTGAAAAAAACAAATTTTTAAATAAGAGGCAAAAAGATGAGACTAAACACCTTTGGATATGTTTTGGTCAATGTCCTTGGTACATCCAGTTTCTGAGTATGGGAAGAAAGGATTGATGAACAACAACAAACAGTGACAGACGTTTGGAAAAGAAATTACTACAATAAAGAGTTCCACAGGTAATGTAAAAAGTCCCTGATGTTTAGTATTTATATATCATATCCTCAATATTATATCTCTTACCATCCAATGTGGGGCAGTAACCATCATCTTCAATTTGTCATCTCTAGCATTTCCCTGAAGACTTAACTCGAGCTGTCGTTGTGAATCAGTAGATGTACAATTGAGCTGAATACCATTCTTTTTCAAAAGAAGCACTGTGCTAAAAGAGCCACTTATCTGTTAAAACAAAGAAAATTAAATCAGCTTCATATTTATCTCCATCCCAATAGATAGTGTTGTCCTCCTATCCCCTATAGACCCCACCTACAGTGCCTGTCCCATGTAGCCCAACCTCCTGATCATGTGCACAGCACTTCAATTTCTTTATCCTGTCCTGAGCAGCCCAACCTCCTTATCCTGTTCTCAATAGCCCAACCTCATTATCCTGTTCTCAATAGCCCCATCTCCTTTCTCAATAGCCCCATCTCCTTATCCTGTTCTCAATAGCCCCATCTCCTTTCTCAATAGCCCCATCTCCTTATCCTGTTCTCAAAAGCCCCATCTCCTTATCCTGTGCTCAATAGCCCCATCTCCTTTCTCAATAGCCCAACCTCTTTATCCTGTTCTCAATAGCCCCATCTCCTTATCCTGATCTCAATAGCCCCATCTCCTTATCCTGTTCTCAATAGCCCCATCTCCTTATCCTGATCTCAATAGCCCCATCTCCTTATCCTGTTCTCAATAGCCCCATCTCCTTATCCTGATCTCAATAGCCCCATCTCCTTATCCTGTTCTCAATAGCCCCATCTCCTTTCTCAATAGCCCCATCACCTTATCCTGTTCTCAATAGCCCCATCTCCTTATCCTGTTCTCAATAGCCCCATCTCCTTTCTCAATAGCCCCACCTCCTTATCCTATTTTCAATAGCCCCATCTCCTTATCCTATTTTCAATAGCCCCATCACCTTATCCTGTTCTCAATAGCCCCATCTCCTTATCCTGTTCTCAATAGCCCCATCTCCTTTCTCAATAGCCCCACCTCCTTATCCTATTTTCAATAGCCCCATCTCCTTATCCTGTTCTCAATAGCCCCACCTCCTTATCCTATTTTCAATAGCCCCATCACCTTATCCTGTTCTCAATAGCCCCACCTCCTTATCCTATTTTCAATAGCCCCATCACCTTATCCTGTTCTCAATAGCCCCATCTCCTTTCTCAATAGCCCGATCTCCTTATCCTGTTCTCAATAGCCCCATCACCTTATACTGTTCTCAATAGCCCCATCTCCTTATCCTATTTTCAATAGCCCCATCTCCTTATCCTGTTCTCAATAGCCCCATCTCCTTATCCTGTTCTCAATAGCCCCATCTCCTTATCCTGTTCTCAATAGCCCCATCTCCTTATCCTGTTCTCAATAGCCCCATCTCCTTATCCTATTTTCAATAGCCCCATCTCCTTATCCTGTTCTCAATAGCCCCATCTCCTTATCCTGTTCTCAATAGCCCCATCTCCTTTCTCAATAACCCCACCTCCTTATCCTGTTCTCAATAGCCCCATCTCCTTTCTCAATAGCCCCATCTCCTTATCCTGTTCTCAATAGCCCCATCTCCTTATCCTGTTCTCAATAGCCCCATCTCCTTATCCTATTTTCAATAGCCCCATCTCCTCCTTATCCTCTCTTTATCCTGTTCTCAATAGCCCCATCTCCTTTCTCAATAGCCCCACCTCTTATCCTTATAGCCCCATCTCCTGTTCTCAATAGCCCCACCTCCTTATCCTATTTTCAATAGCCCCATCACCTTATCCTGTTCTCAATAGCCCCATCTCCTTATCCAATAGCCCCATTCTCAATAGCCCCACCTCCTTATCCTATTTTCAATATCCTGTTCTCAATAGCCCCACCTCCTTATCCTATTTTCAATAGCCCCATCACCTTATCCTCCTTATCCTATTTTCAATAGCCCCATCACCTTATCCTGTTCTCAATAGCCCCATCTCCTTTCCAATTATCCTATCCTGTTTCAATAGCCCCATCTCCTTATACTGTTCTCAATAGCCCCATCTCCTTATCCTATTTTCAATAGCCCCATCTCCTTATCCTGTTCTCAATAGCCCCATCTCCTTATCCTGTTCTCAATAGCCCCATCTCCTTATCCTATTTTCAATAGCCCCATCTCCTTATCCTGTTCTCAATAGCCCCATCTCCTTTCTCAGTAGCCCCACCTCCTTATCCTATTTTCAATAGCCCCATCTCCTTATCCTGTTCTCAATAGCCCCACCTCCTTATCCTATTTTCAATAGCCCCATCTCCTTATCCTATTTTCAATAGCCCCATCACCTTATCCTAGCCCCATTCCTTTTCAATAGCCCCATCACCCTGTTCTCAATTCTCCTGTTCTCAATAGCCCCATCTCCTTTCTCAATAGCCCCATCACCTTATACTGTTCTCAATAGCCCCATCTCCTTATCCTGTTCTCAATAGCCCCACCTCCTTATCCTATTTTCAATAGCCCCATCTCCTTATCCTGTTCTCAATAGCCCCATCTCCTTATCCTGTTCTCAATAGCCCCATCTCCTTTCTCAATAGCCCCATCACCTTATACTGTTCTCAATAGCCCCATCACCTTATACTGTTCTCAATAGCCCCATCTCCTTATCCTGTTCTCAATAGCCCCATCTCCTTATCCTGTTCTCAATAGCCCCATCTCCTTTCTCAATAGCCCCATCACCTTATACTGTTCTCAATAGCCCCATCACCTTATACTGTTCTCAATAGCCCCATCTCCTTATCCTGTTCTCAATAACCCCACCTCCTTATCCTATTTTCAATAGCCCCATCTCCTTATCCTGTTCTCAATAATCCCATCTCCTTATCCTGTTCTCAATAATCCCATCTCCTTAACCTGTCCTGATTAGAACCATTTATTAAAAGTCCCCTGATGTTATTACCATTTCATCACATGAATTTCTACCTTAATGTATATAAGATTAAATTACAGTTGAAAAGTGATTTCATTTCCATCAGGTACACAGTATACACAAGTACAAATATGCTTATCACTGGCTATTTGTTTGATGAAAGTGGCAATGTAGTAATCATAAAACCTCATTCATTATTTCTTCAAACTGATTGTAACATAAGAACATCCATGTTATAGTGCATCACCAGTAACATAAAAATACTGTTTTACCCAACGTTCAGGGTATTATTTCATAATGTTGCCATTTCACACTAAGTCAGTACAAACCTTTTTAGGTATAACCCTGATTTCCAATTGGTCCCCAGTGTTACATTCTGATACTTTCCATTTGTGTCCTGATTTGGTTGCAATTCTTATTGAAAGAGAAAATGAAATAGTCAGATATAAGGGTTCCATTCTGAAGGCTGATATTGTGCCAGTACAATTGTTTACATTTTAACCAGAATATCATATGTCATGTTTGATTGAATAGTGTCAAAAATCATTTCATTAATTAATAAAACTAAACCAATGTCGAGAAAGGGCCATGCCTGAAAACTATTGCACAGAAAGTATCATACACTTGTGAATCACAAAATTCAGCAGCACTTTATGGGCCTGACCTTATAAAGATAATATTGAACCAAGTTAGAAATCCATTACACCATCCTTTCTAGAGAAAAACTAAAACATGTTTCTGTCAATCAGAAACCGCAATGGAAATTTGGATTTTCCGATCTGCATGAAAAAAAAATAACTTGTGCAGGACTTCATGATAATCATATCAAATTAGGAGTCAATGGAGAAAGGCGCTGTTGAGAAGATGTTAAAAAAGGTCTCAGTCAATCAGAAGGCAGTGGCTATTTTGGTTATTCAAATCCAGGTGAAAAACAATACAACACATGCAGGACATCATGATGGTCATTTGTACCAAGTTAGAAGGCCATGCCACCAGCCATTCTTGGGAAGAAGGAGAAAATGTCTAAGCCAATCAGAAGCTTAGTTGTCGTATTTGATTTACTTATTTACATCAAAATCAGCAGCACTTATGAGACATGATGATAACAAAATTTGGCGAAGATCTAACATCAAATACGCAGCGAGCGTAAAGTAATAACAAGAGGCCCATGGGCCTTAACGGTCATCTGACATCAAATACAAGATTTCAAATTTTGAACTTGAGAAGAAGTCGAAAATGTGTTTTCAAGATGGCGGCCATGATGGATTTCGGACCAACCCGAAATTAACATACTTTGGTCAGGATCATGTCACAATCATTTCAGGTAAGTTTCAGCTCAATGAGACATATAGAACTTGAGAAGAAGTTGAAAATGTTTACGACTCTTGAAAATACTGACAGATGACCTTGGTTATCAAAAGAATGTGAGGTCTAATTGATATAAATCAACATACGAAATTAGGAGAACAGTGGGCTACATATATGCAAGTTATTGTGCAGAGGGTAATGAAATTGTCAAATTCTTTCATCCAAAGTCCCATAACTCTTGAAATTATTGACAGATTTCACTAGTTATCACACCCATTCATGATTTAATGATAATTATGCTACATACCAAATTTGGTTAAAATCTGACTACAAACACAAGTGCAGAAAGCAAAAACAGACAGACTGACGGACAAACTGATTAGTGTAAGGCATTGCATCTCAGTTGTCAGAATCTTTCAATCCATTTAAATGAGTTATGGTACTTACTTGGTGAAGGTAAATGTCAACTCAGCTACGTCAGACAGCATCAGAATATTGACTACGCCACAGTAGGACAAAGAGAGGGCATAGGGAAACTTGTAAGTCAGGACAGGTTCCTTTGGAAATTCTAGGATACAGGTTGATTTCTGAATGTCTGGAGACTCATTAAATTGTTTTGCTTTAAAGCATGGCTGTATCACAGAATGCGCTACCTAGGTAACAAAAAGAACAAGATCAAAATAAATTACAACATAATATTAATTAAGTGCCAACTCAGTTATACATACTTACTAAAAACAAACAACATCATAAGACTGGACCAATTAACTTAGGAATAATTGTAATAATAAATGTATAAGGAAAATTAATTACAAGTTCAAACAAGAAAATGCTTCTGTAGGTATATTGCTACTATGTAATAAAAAATATGTAAAAATATTGTCGAAAACAACATGGCTAAATGTACATTAATGTCCACAAAAGAATATCATTATAAACATGTAATACCAAGCTATTATGTGTAATCTTTCTCCATCACCCAGAATGTCTATGAATTATTGATTTGTTAAAGTAAATTTCTTGAGACCCATCATTAATAACAATTGAGATCAATTTACCAACAAATTGCTCCAGACCAAATTTGCACAAAATTCTGATATTCCTATAGGAGAAGAAGGATTTTAAAGAATTTTCTCTATTTTCCCTAATGGACAGTCCACCCCCTTCCCGGGGAGCTAAGACTATTTGATTAAACAGTTTGATTTCCTTCACTCAAGTATGTTTCAGACTAAATTTGAACTGAATCCAAACATCCCTATGAAGGAAGAATTTTAAAGGATTTGCTTTATTTTCCCTATTGGGCCTCACCACTCCCCTCCCATGTGGCCAAATTTCAAATTTGGACAAATTCCTGATATTTCTCCACAGATCCAAGACCCACTATTTATACAAAATCAAATTCCTTTCACCAAAGGATACTTCAGACAAAATCTAGACAGAACCCTGACATTCCTACAGAAGAAGGATTTAGCCCCTTAGAGATGAGATCCACCATTTACCAAACATGCTTCATACCTATTGGGACAAAATCTCCTCATATCTTCGTTTCTATTTCCCCTCTATTTCTGCCTTTAGGACAGGTGAGTCAAAATGACAGCTTATACTTACAGTAAGAACCTTGATACAGTGAGCACACACTCCACAGAAGGAACACACATCTTCCTTGAAACTACAGCGACAATGCCTATAACACAGAAATGTACAGAGGTCAAGGGTCACCTACACTGTATAGTGATATCTCTGAACATGTCAAGGATCACCCAGACTGTATAGTGATATCTCTGAACATGTCTAGGATCACCTACACTGTATAGTGATATCTCTGAACATGTCTAGGATCACCTACACTGTATAGTGATATCTCTGAACATGTCTAGGATCACCTACAATGTATAGTGATATCTCTGAACATGTCTAGGATCACCTACACTGTATAGTGATATCTCTGAACATGTCTAGGATCACCTACACTGTATAGTGATATCTCTGAACATGTCAAGGATCACCTACACTGTATAGTGATATCTCTGAACATGTCAAGGATCACCCACACTGTGTAGTGATATCTCTGAACATGTCTAGGATCACCTACACTGTATAGTGATATCTCTGAACATGTCTAGGGTCACCTACACTGTATATGTAGTGATATCTCTGAACATGTCTAGGATCACCTACACTGTATAGTGATATCTCTGAACATGTCTAGGATCACCTACACTGTATAGTGATATCTCTGAACATGTCTAGGATCACCTACACTGTATAGTGATATCTCTGAACATGTCTAGGATCACCTACACTGTATAGTGATATCTCTGAACATGTCTAGGGTCACCTACACTGTATATGTAGTGATATCTCTGAACATGTCTAGGATCACCTACACTGTATAGTGATATCTCTGAACATGTCTAGGATCACCTACACTATATAGTGATATCTCTGAACATGTCTAGGATCACCTACACTGTATAGTGATATCTCTGAACATGTCTAGGATCACCTACACTGTATAGTGATATCTCTGAACATGTCTAGGATCACCTACACTGTATAGTGATATCTCTGAACATGTCTAGGATCACCTACACTGTATAGTGATATCTCTGAACATGTCTAGGGTCACCTACACTGTATAGTGATATCTCTGAACATGTCATGTCTAGGATCACCTACACTGTATAGTGATATCTCTGAACATGTCAAGGATCACCTACACTGTATAGTGATATCTCTGAACATGTCTAGGATCACCTACACTGTATAGTGATATCTCTGAACATGTCTAGGATCACCTACACTGTATAGTGATATCTCTGAACATGTCTAGGATCACCTACACTGTATAGTGATATCTCTGAACATGTCTAGGATCACCTACACTGTATAGTGATATCTCTGAACATGTCTAGGGTCACCTACACTGTATATGTAGTGATATCTCTGAACATGTCTAGGATCACCTACACTGTATAGTGATATCTCTGAACATGTCTAGGATCGCCTACACTGTATAGTGATATCTCTGAACATGTCTAGGGTCACCTACACTGTATATGTAGTGATATCTCTGAACATGTCTAGGATCACCTACACTGTATAGTGATATCTCTGAACATGTCTAGGATCACCTACACTGTATAGTGATATCTCTGAACATGTCTAGGATCACCTACACTGTATAGTGATATCTCTGAACATGTCTAGGATCACCTACACTGTATAGTGATATCTCTGAACATGTCTAGGATCACCTACACTGTATAGTGATATCTTTGAACATGTCTAGGATCACCTACACTGTATAGTGATATCTCTGAACATGTCTAGGGTCACCTACACTGTATATGTAGTGATATCTCTGAACATGTCTAGGATCACCTACACTGTATAGTGATATCTCTGAACATGTCTAGGATCACCTACACTGTATAGTGATATCTCTGAACATGTCTAGGATCACCTACACTGTATAGTGATATCTCTGAACATGTCAAGGATCACCTACACTGTATAGTGATATCTCTGAACATGTCTAGGATCACCTACACTGTATAGTGATATCTCTGAACATGTCTAGGATCACCCACACTGTGCAGTGATATCTCTGAACATGTCTAGGATCACCTACACTGTATAGTGATATCTCTGAACATGTCTAGGATCACCTACACTGTATAGTGATATCTCTGAACATGTCAAGGATCACCTACACTGTATAGTGATATCTCTGAACATGTCTAGGATCACCTACACTGTATAGTGATATCTCTGAACATGTCAAGGATCACCTAGTAGAAGTGTCATCATTTAATACTTTATAATAGTTACCTGTTGGTAATGCCAGGGTCCCTGTTGTAATAGCAGTTGATGCCATTTTTTGCACAGTTGTTACAGAGGTGGCAACGTAGTGTTGTGTTACACAGTTGTCTGTTTCGCTCAGTGGTGACAGAAGCTGTTTTAGCCATTCTGTAGTCCTTCTGTACTAATTTTGTCATGTCTGTGTGATTCGGTACCAGAGACTGTCGATCCAGCAATGCTGAAATATTTGTGGTCTAAGGCTTATAATGATATTTGATGTGAGGATACTAAGGTACTGTAGTAGGATGGTTTGATATATAATGTCCTATTACAAGATGCCCTATGGGTCTGAATTGCACACCTGTTCTGCAGCTTACAAAGATACCAAGTATATATCCTAGTTAAAATGAAGCTTAAAATACATTTAACCCATATGACCTAGAAAGTAGGTAAAGGTCATTCATTTAACCAAATTTGGTAAATATCAGTACCTTAGCCTTTTTGATACTGAGAAAATGTCATTTGAAATTTGACCCTGTGACCATGAAAATGGGTCAAGTGGTCTTGTGAAAGGATTTAACCAGAGTAACTACCAAGAACCTACAGGTGACGCCATACCTCAGATAATGTGATTGTTTTACCATAGCACTACCCAACCATGTTTCACCGTAAAAATCATTGTTTTTTTTAATCCTGATACTCATATGATTTTACCTGAGTTTAAACTGGCAAACTCTTCCTTTGAGGTGAAATGACCATTCCTTGTTTTCTTGCAGTCAAATTCTCTTGATTTTTCTGATAAATGTTGTAAACTGAACTCAGACATATGGCAGCAGTTTTGAGAAGCACCAAGAGCAACCCTGCGGTCCCTGGTCGGATTACACTGCTGACAGCACAAGGTTTTCTGCACAAAAAATACAATCATTTTAAGTAGAAAAGTGACCTTCCTTAGTTCTCAGTTTAGTGATAACATATAATTCAAAATGTTTTGGAATCACACTTAGCCACCAAACCTGCCTTTTTTTGCTGATTTCTCTAAATATAGCTACATATACCGATATGCCATCTATATTGTCTTCCAAATATGTGTAGGTTGAAATTTTCAAAGTTTCAGTAAAACAGATTTCAATGTTGATTATTGCATTTTGCCTTTGATAATGTTCTTAAAGTCCATCAATAGTGTATGTAAAGTTACTCCCAGGTAACAATACTCAAATGTCATTTTTTGTGCAATTAGGTGTTTTTTCTGAAAATTTTATAAAGTGAGAGATTTTTTTACAGTTGAAATATTTTTTGGAGGGATCCTTTTCATCAGTATCCTTTTGTAGCCCAAATTTGAACAAGAGGCTCAAGGGGCCAGCATCAATCACCTGGCTTATTCAGCTAGTCATTTAACGAAGAATTTCAAATATAACAAAGAATTTCTGAGATAATTTGCCTGTTGGATCCTTGCCTTGTGATAAAACAGAAGTTAGATTCACTATTCACTGCTTCAGACCAATCTTGGACAATATCCTTGTATAGAAGAAGAATTTTTAAGAACTTACGTTTCCCATATAACGGACTACATCTCTCATTTATCAGACTCCGGGGTGATGCGAAATTAGGTTCCTTCCAACTAGGTATGCTTCAGATCAAATCAGGACAGAATTATGGTATTCCCACAAAAGAAGGATTTTACGGAATTTCTCTTTTTCCACTCTTTGTTTCCATGCCAGAGAGAACCCACCATTTATAGAAAATTAAATCTCTTTACCGCATTATGCTTCAGACCAAATTAGGACAGAATCCTTATATTTCTACAGAAGGAAAAGGATTTTAAAGAATTTATTCAATTTCCCTGCCACTAACACCACAGTGGGCTACGGCCCATCTTTATACAAATTGATTCCCTCAGCTTCAGGACAAATTGGGATAAAATTCAGCACAGAAGAAAAGCTTTTCTAAAATTCTCTTATTGCTCTGTAGACACCATCGCCTCCTCCTCCAGGGGCAAGGCCCACTGTATATACACTGTATACTGGTTTTCAATTCAGTCAAGCATTTTAGGACCAAAATGGGACAACATCAAAGCATTTCTACAAAAGAAAAAGAATTTAAAATTTGCCCTATTTCCCTACCAAAGCCTGCTTCAGACCAAACTGGAACAGAATTCTGATATTTCTACAGGAAAAGATGGCTTTTCAACAATTTGCTCCATTTCCCCTATCTTTTCATTCCAAAAGGAAAAGTGGGATTTGAAAGAGTAGTCTGTACTTTCCCTATTGGGCCCCATCCATCCCAACCATTGGGGCCCAGACCTACCATTTATTAAAAATTGACAAATTAATCATTTTCCAGAAATGGTTAGTTTCTACTTTCCCAAGATTTTATATATACATCAGAGAAATCCCAATAATGTGTATATAAAGTGGAGTGCATTGTATACTTATCATGACTAAAACATTAAGATATAAACATCTTATATTGTACATCAAGACATGAATGATGGTGCAACAAAATGAATGCGTCCAATTTTTGCCCATTTTATAACCCTGGACCCTCACCAACAGTCTAAACAACACTGATGTAGCACGCACAACCTCTACATCTTACTTTGAAAGAATCTGACAAATCAATTTCTTCCAAAAATCATCCAAAAAGAAAAATAGTTGACAAGTGTCTCCAACAAAAGCTCACTATTAGAGTAAAAGCTACCATTAGAGTAGAGGTGTTCATCAGAGAAAAGGTCACCATCAGAGTAGAGGTGTTCATCAGAGAAAAGGTCACCATCAGAGTAGAGGTGATCATCAGAGAAAAGGTCACCATCAGAGTAGAGGTGTTCATCAGAGAAAAGGTCACCATCAGAGTAGAGGTGATCATCAGAGAAAAGGTCACCATCAGAGTAGAGGTGATAGTCAGAGAAAAGGTCACCATCAGAGTAGAGGTGATCATCAGAGAAAAGGTCACCATCAGAGTAGAGGTGATCATCAGAGAAAAGGTCACCATCAGAGTAGAGGTGTTCATCAGAGAAAAGGTCACCATCAGAGTAGAGGTGATCGTCAGAGAAAAGGTCACCATCAGAGTAGAGGTGATCGTCAGAGAAAAGGTCACCATCAGAGTAGAGGTGATCATCAGAGAAAAGGTCACCATCAGAGTAGAGGTGATCATCAGAGAAAAGGTCACCATCAGAGTAGAAGTGATCATCAGAGAAAAGGTCACCATCAGAGTAGAGGTGTTCATCAGAGAAAAGGTCACCATCAGAGTAGAGGTGATAGTCAGAGAAATGGTCACCATCAGAGTAGAGGTGATCATCAGAGAAAAGGTCACCATCAGAGTAGAGGTGATAGTCAGAGAAAAGGTCACCATCAGAGTAGAGGTGATCATCAGAGAAAAGGTCACCATCAGAGTAGAGGTGATCATCAGAGAAAAGGTCACCATCAGAGTAGAGGTGTTCATCAGAGAAAAGGTCACCATCAGAGTAGAGGTGATCGTCAGAGAAAAGGTCACCATCAGAGTAGAGGTGATCGTCAGAGAAAAGGTCACCATCAGAATAGAGGTGATCATCAGAGAAAAGGTCACCATCAGAGTAGAGGTGATCATCAGAGAAAAGGTCACCATCAGAGTAGAAGTGATCATCAGAGAAAAGGTCACCATCAGAGTAGAGGTGTTCATCAGAGAAAAGGTCAACATCAGAGTAGAGGTGATAGTCAGAGAAATGGTCACCATCAGAGTAGAGGTGATCATCAGAGAAAAGGTCACCATCAGAGTAGAGGTAATCGTCAGAGAAAAGGTCACCATCAAAGTAGAGGTGTTCATCAGAGAAAAGGTCACCATCAGAGTAGAGGTGTTCGTCAGAGAAAAGGTCACCATCAGAGTAGAAGTGTTCATCAGAGGAAAAGGTCACCATCAAAGTAGAGGTGATTTTCAGAAAAATGGTCACCATCAGAGTAGAGGTTATCGAATATAAAAATATATTGAAATTCTTACCGTTGCATATATATTCTTTGAAATTAACATCCCTGTTAATACTGCTGTGATATTATTAAAGGTGATGGTGAGAACATCTACCATGACGCTTGTAACAACACGAGCGCTGATTACAATAGTAGGCAAATCTGTGAATATGAATATTGCAAGTATTAATCAATCTCTTGACTTACATGTCATTTTAGCACAAAAAAAACTTTTCACATTTATGAATTATGTTCCGAAACTCTTGTTATTTCAGTCAATACTAATTTAAATAATATCCCACAAATCAACCTATATTTTAAACTTGGTTGATCTCTTCAGTAAAGAGTTCCACTTGGACACTAACTTAGATCAGATTAATGAAGAATTCACCTGTACTCTCACCTTGATTAATCTCATTCGTAAGGAGTTCCACCAAGACCATGACTGGGCCCTGACGAAGGATGAGGCCTGACTTCCATAGTAACACTATCTCCGAAGCCTCCTGCAATTTTCTGTAAATAAAACAGGAAAGTACATTAACTTATAACAACTTAATGATTTGTATGGACAAAAATGGCTAACCAAAACCAAAGTTTATGAAAAAGATGAGTTTTGTAATCAAAATTTATTCAGAGAGATATAGCAAAGCTATCATAACTAAGTAACCTAAAATACATAAATATATTTCATTTATTTCATTTTTACCTGTATAAGGTGTTAGGTACTCTTTACTTGTATAAGGTATTGTTTACCTGTAATGGGTATTGTCTACCTACATGTATGTTAAGTATTGTTTACCTGTATTAGGTATTGCTTACCTGTGTCAGGTATGGTTTACTTATAATGGGTATTGTTTACCTGTATGCAGTATCGTTTACCTGTGTCAGGTATTGTTTACCTGTATTGATATTATTTACCTGTAATTGGTATTGTTTACAGGTACCGGGTAGTGCTTACCTGTGTCAGGTATTGTTTACCTGTGATTGGTATTGTTTACCAGTATGGATATTGTTTACCTGTATTAGGCATTGCTTACCTTTGTTAGGAATTGTTTACCTGTGTTGATATTATTTACCTGTAATTGGTATTGTTTACAGGTACCGGGTAGTGCTTACCTGTGTCAGGTATTGTTTACCTGTGTTGATATTATTTACCTGTAATTGGTATTGTTTACAGGTACCGGGTAGTGCTTACCTGTGTCAGGTATTGTTTACCTGTGATTGGTATTGTTTACCAGTATGGATATTGTTAACCTGTATTAGGCATTGCTTACCTTTGTTAGGAATTGTTTACCTGTGTTGATATTATTTACCTGTAATTGGTATTGTTTACAGGTACCGGGTAGTGCTTACCTGTGTCAGGTATTGTTGAATTTTATTACTATTTTTTACCTGAAATTGGGTATTATTTATCTGCATTTGACATGGCTTACAAGAATTGGTTATTGTTTACTAGTAATGGCTATTTTTCACCTATATTAAGGAAATGATTACCTGAGAAAGCAGGGTAAGAATAATTGAGGTAGACTGGGGAAGGTGAAGTAAGCATCTCTCTGGTGTTCTCCTTCAGGTAACCCTGGACTCCATATCTCGTCCTGAGAAAAGAAGTAAAGATTGAACTATTTAATGAAACTTTGTATATATACAATCATATGCTTCTGGCAACATTTAACAAACAACATTTCTGATTAATCCATAATACCTATATAAGCAGGAAATATGACAAGATACCTGGTATTGTTCTATATCTAGAGTGTAAGGATACAATTACTTACCAGGGATACAGCTGAGGTTTTAGGGTACAATTACTTACCAGGGATACAGCTGAGGTTTTAGGGTACAATTACTTACCAGGGATACAGCTGAGGTTTTAGGATACAATTACTTACCAGGGATACAGCTGAGGTTTTAGGGTACAATTACTTACCAGGGATACAGCTGAGGGTTTAGGGTACAATTACTTACCAGGGATACAGCTGAGGTTTTAGGGTACAATTACTTACCAGGGATACAGCTGAGGTTTTAGGGTACAATTACTTACCAGGGATACAGCTGAGGTTTTAGGGTACAATTACTTACCAGGGATACAGCTGAGGTTTTAGGGTACAATTACTTACCAGGGATACAGCTGAGGTTTTAGGGTACAATTACTTACCAGGGATACAGCTGAGGTTTTAGGGTACAATTACTTACCAGGGATACAGCTGGGATATCAGGAAGGTCTTGTGTCATCACATAAGTAAGAGGATCTCCTTGATTGGGATCTTTCAATGGCCATGCAAATTGGAACATCATTCCCATGTCAAGTAGAACATCTATAAATGTATTTCTCTGGGTCTGCAAAAGGGTTAAAGAAAATCCTCAGGTAAAAATCATGTAATACATATATAACCAATACTTTTGGAATCTATATCAGTGTGTTACCTTTATAACAGGTAGATAACTTGAGTGCATAGGTCAGTGTGTTACCTGTATTACAGGTAGATAACTTGGGTGTATAGATCAGTGTGTTACCTGTATTTCAGGTAGATAACTTGAGTGTATAGGTCAGTGTGTTACCTGTATAGGTCAGTGTGTTACCTGTATAACAGGTAGATAACTTAAGTGCATAGGTCAGTGTGTTACCTGTATTACAGGTAGATAACTTGAGTGTATAGGTCAGTGTGTTACCTGTATAGGTCAGTGTGTTACCTGTATTGCAGGTGGATAACTTGAGTGTATAGGTCAGAGTGTTACCTGTATTACAGGTGGATAATTTGCGTGTATAGGTCATGTGTTACCTGTATTACAAGTGGATAACTTGAGTGTATAGATCAGTGTGTTAGGTCAGTGTGTTACCTGTATAGGTCAGTGTGTTACCTGTATTACAGGTGGATAACTTGAGTGCATAGTTCAGTGTGTTACCTGTATTACAGGTGGATAACTTGAGTGTATAGATCAGTGTATAGGTCAGTGTGTTACCTGTATTACAGGTAGATAACTTGAGTGTATAGGTCAGTGTGTTACCTGTATAACAGGTAGATAACTTGAGTGTATAGGTCAGTGTGTTACCTGTATTACAGGTAGATAACTTGAGTGCATAGTTCAGTGTGTTACCTGTATTACAGGTGGATAACTTGAGTGTATAGGTCAGTGTGTTACCTGTATTACAGGTAGATAACTTGAGTGTATAGATCAGTATGTTACCTGAATTACAGGTATATAACTTGAGTGTATAGGTCAGTGTGTTACCTGTATAGGTCAGTGTGTTACCTGTATTGCAGGTAGATAACTTGAGTGTATAGGTCATGTGTTACCTGTATTACAGGTAGATAACTTGAGTGTATAGATCAGTGTATAGGTCAGTGTGTTACCTGTATTACAGGTAGATAACTTGAGTGCATAGTTCAGTGTGTTACCTGTATTACAGGTGGATAACTTGAGTGTATAGGTCAGTGTGTTACCTGTATTACAGGTAGATAACTTGAGTGTATAGATCAGTATGTTACCTGAATTACAGGTATATAACTTGAGTGTATAGGTCAGTGTGTTACCTGTATAGGTCAGTGTGTTACCTGTATTGCAGGTGGATAATTTGAGTGTATAGGTCATGTGTTACCTGTATTACAGGTAGATAACTTGAGTGCATAGTTCAGTGTGTTACCTGTATTACAGGTAGATAACTTGAGTGTATAGGTCAGTGTGTTACCTGTATTACAGGTAGATAACTTGAGTGTATAGGTCAGTGTGTTACCTGTATTACAGGTAGATAACTTGAGTGCATAGTTCAGTGTGTTACCTGTATTACAGGTAGATAACTTGAGTGTATAGGTCAGTGTGTTACCTGTATTACAGGTAGATAACTTGAGTGTATAGATCAGTATGTTACCTGAATTACAGGTATATAACTTGAGTGTATAGGTCAGTGTGTTACCTGTATAGGTCAGTGTGTTACCTGTATTGCAGGTGGATAATTTGAGTGTATAGGTCATGTGTTACCTGTATTACAGGTAGATAACTTGAGTGCATAGTTCAGTGTGTTACCTGTATTACAGGTAGATAACTTGAGTGTATAGATCAGTGTATAGGTCAGTGTGTTACCTGTATTACAGGTAGATAACTTGAGTGTATAGGTCAGTGTGTTACCTGTATTACAGGTGGATAACTTGAGTGTATAGATCAGTGTGTTACCTGTATTACAGGTGGATAATTTGAGTGTATAGGTCATGTGTTACCTGTATTACAAGTGGATAACTTGAGTGTATAGATCAGTGTGTTAGGTCAGTGTGTTACCTGTATAGGTCAGTGTGTTACCTGTATTACAGGTGGATAATTTGAGTGTATAGGTCATGTGTTACCTGTATTACAAGTGGATAACTTGAGTGTATAGATCAGTGTATAGGTCAGTGTGTTACCTGTATTACAGGCAGATAACTTGAGTGTATAGGTCAGTGTGTTACCTGTATTACAGGTGGATAACTTGAGTGTATAGGTCAGTGTGTTACCTGTATTACAGGTGGATAACTTGAGTGTATAGGTCAGTGTGTTACCTGTATAACAGGTAGATAACTTAAGTGCATAGGTCAGTGTGTTACCTGTATTACAGGTGGATAATTTGAGTGTATAGGTCATGTGTTACCTGTATTACAAGTGGATAACTTGAGTGTATAGATCAGTGTATAGGTCAGTGTGTTACCTGTATTACAGGTAGATAACTTGAGTGTATAGGTCAGTGTGTTACCTGTATTACAGGTAGATAACTTGAGTGTATAGGTCAGTGTGTTACCTGTATTACAGGTGGATAACTTGAGTGTATAGGTCAGTGTGTTACCTGTATAGGTCAGTGTGTTACCTGTATAACAGGTAGATAACTTAAGTGCATAGGTCAGTGTGTTACCTGTATTACAGGTAGATAATGTGAGTGTATAGGTCAGTGTGTTACATGCATTACAGGTAGATAATGTGAGTGTATAGGTCAGTGTGTTACATGCATTACAGGTAGATAATGTGAGTGTATAGGTCAGTGTGTTACCTGTATTACAGATAGATAATGTGAGTGTATAGGTCAGTGTGTTACATGCATTACAGGTAGATAATGTGAGTGTATAGGTCAGTGTGTTACATGCATTACAGGTAGATAATGTGAGTGTATAGGTCAGTGTGTTACCTGTATTACAGGTAGATAATGTGAGTGTATAGGTCAGTGTGTTACATGCATTACAGGTAGATAATGTGAGTGTATAGGTCAGTGTGTTACATGCATTACAGGTAGATAATGTGAGTGTATAGGTCAGTGTGTTACCTGTATTACAGGTAGATAATGTGAGTGTATAGGTCAGTGTGTTACATGCATTACAGGTAGATAATGTGAGTGTATAGGTCAGTGTGTTACATGCATTACAGGTAGATAATGTGAGTGTATAGGTCAGTGTGTTACATGCATTACAGGTAGATAATGTGAGTGTATAGGTCAGTGTGTTACCTGTATTACAGGTAGATAATGTGAGTGTATAGGTCAGTGTGTTACATGCATTACAGGTAGATAATGTGAGTGTATAGGTCAGTGTGTTACCTGTATTACAGGTAGATAACTTGAGTGTATAGGCCATGTGTTAAGTCATTCGTATATTGACAGTTGTAAGTGGTAGGTATATTGACTGGTGTTAAGTGGTAGGTATATTGACAGTTGTATGTCATAGATATATTGACAGGTGTTAAGTCATAAGTGTATTGACAGGTGTTAAGTGGTAGGTATATTGACAGGTGTTAAGTGGTAGGTGTATTGACAGGTGTTAAGTTGTAGGTGTATTGACAGGTGTTAAGTCATAGGTATATTGACAGGTGTTAAGTTGTAGGTGTATTGACAGGTGTTAAGTCGTAGGTGTATTGACAGATGTAAGTCCTAGATGTATACAGAGAAGTGAAAGTCACAGGTGTGTTATCAGTACCTACCTCTTTAGCAGTAGTAAATCGAGACTTGTAGAAATCATCTTTCCTCCAGCAGGGTACATTTTGCCCTATCCAGGGGATGTCTGTTAGGCGGGGAGCTTTAGGTCCCAGATTGGTAATACATGTCAGGTTGGCAATGTCATTGATCAATGGTTTTTTATTGACATGGGGATAGTACAGACAATTTCCCTAAAAAAAATTAAATCTCTAGTCAGTACTGATCTCAAAGAAAAACACAGGCCTCCTATACATTTGTAACTAGCAAATTTCTAGAGAGCATTAGTGTACTCTTTATACAATAAAGTCACAGATAAGTCAAAGTCGATGGGACCAAATGAAATATTAGACTTATCTCCAGTTATTTTCATTGGATTTTAACTGGATACGTGTCTCACGACATGAGAGTGATGAATAGGTAACAAATAATATTTCATATTTTTATATACTAACGATATCTTTTATTTAAATAAACAGTTATAAATACGAATATAAAACAAAAAAAGTAGTGTGAAACTCTCGTGATTGCAGCACAATGGATACGCACCAATTTTCAAAGACATCACTTTGTGAAATCAATACCTGAAGCAATACAAATCATGTACATACATTTCTATCCTTAATAGTAACAAGTCCCATCAACAATATTTTAACAGAAATACATGTATATAAACCAGAATCAGATCATCAGTGTAGAATTTGATGTTATGATACGATGGGGTCAAAATGAAACAATTTCCAAAGTGAGGGACTGACATGGAAAGGGCTATATACCTCTAATAAAAAGGCAGCAGCATCACGTCATGCACATATTGTATCGTGCTTTTTTAAGCTTTACATAAATCCAGACTCTTATCAATCCCAATTGTTTTATAACCCACAACTCTGTTAAATACACATAGATACCAGCCTTTAGTTCTCAACTTAATGAATCAAACTGAAATAAAATCAGTATGTTAAAAAAAAAAAGAGACAATTTTGGCAGATTGCAGTTCCCGAGCAAATGTAGACTTATATGCCAAGAATGCACTGCAAGTGATCCAATGTCCCAAATAAGAAGTTCTAGTGTTTAGTAGTGAAGCAGATTGATCCCAGACCAACTTTTAACTTTTTCTGTGATGTACAATATACCAGTTATGTCATGGGTCAAAATGTAGGTCAGAGTGAATTGCACTGACAAGTAGTATATGATAGTGAGCACTGTCCACTTTTACTTTGTTGAGAATCAAAGGTCAACATGTGGGTCAGAGTGACCTACCATTAATTCATAACATACTTCTTTACCAAGATGAATCCATATCCAAAGTAAAAAGTTCCAGTGACAGGTAGTGTACGAGATAAAGCGTGGACGACCTTTTTATGGAGGTCAGAGGTTAAAGTGTATGGCAAAGTTACCATTGTGATACATGACACTCTGCCTCCCCAAGGTATTCATCCCATATCCCAAGTATGAAGTTCCAGTGACAAGTACGGAAAGACGGATAAACAAAATGACAATGCAATTCTATTCCCTATCTCCCCATCCTGGTTCCAGATGGGGAACTCATCATGTTTAAATAGGATAACTGACAAAAACATGTGAAAAGAAATGGTCAGAAATGCTGATATCATCAAATATTAAGAATAAAATTCCTTAATGTGATGACTTACAGTTAATTTCAAAGGGTTTTTTAATTATCTTAAATGGACACCAACATTCTGTCCCCCAAAAAAGAGAGATAAGTAATTTAAAAATGATAGACTAGTTTAAGTTAGTTTATAAAAATTTTAAGAACATGCATAAAGGAATGTCCCAGAATGCTTTATTTTGTGTGACTCAAAATCATGAGAAACATCATAGAACTATTTTCATATTGAATCTTATGTTACCTTTGTGTGAAGGACTTCCAAAGCCTTGTCCATGCCTATGGTTCCACCATTTGGATCAATCTGTTTCACCACCTCAGCTGGGAATACTTTTACATCCTTAAAAACTTCTATCGTGGCAAGGATGCTTGAGAATTTGGCATTTATCACAGCATCAAAGGCAGAGATTGTTTCTTGAAAAAAACTGGAGCAATGCCAAGGGAAAACCTGTTTCAAAGTGTCTGTGGCTAATTGCAGGAAAGAGTCTTTGCTCTTCTTCTAGCAAAAGAAAATATAAACATCATTTTACTTAAGACACGAGACTTTGAAGGACAAACTCTATGTGACTTCATCATCAAAAATCTTTGAAAATTTTCATACATACAAAAATGTGTTCCTTTCCAGTAATACTGATTATCTGAAGAAACAGTGTGTACTTTTTTGTGTGCAGTTTAATCTCTGTGTATTGAAGATTTGAATACTAAATAAATATCATTGTATGGTGTTGTTGTTTAATTACGAATAGTTACTGTATTAAATTGCCATGACTTGTCATTTGATTTCCCAATTTAACTGTCAGTATTTTACAGTAGATCAAGGCTACATTGACAATATATCCTTTCAAACAAGTTGTAAACATACATAGAAGTCCTTTCTTGGGGAGGGGGAATTATATTACTCTTACTTACCAAATCTGTCATTAGTAAAGTAGGCAAAGAGTTTTCATAGGTATTTGGCTGAGGTGGTTGGATCAAAAGCTGAAATCAAGAAAAATATATATACCCATCAATGAATGAATTATAACTTGCTATTGAACATCTTCCAAGAAATGAAGAAATATGACTTAATTTTAAATCATGGACACAGCTTTTGTATCACTATTGGCAAGCAGATATTACCAGCTCAATTTAATTAATATTTTTTTTCAAACTTTTTGTTTTGTTTTTGCCAATTCTTATTAATATTACTTATACTTAAAACATCCTATAAACATTGAACTCCATAATCGTCGACATAATCTTAAAAGGTTTTGCAAGTTTCTTACAGGATTTATGGGAATGTTGATCTTGTCGGACATTAAATTCTGGACATTGTCCATCAGTGTTTGACCAATGCCCACTTGCATTTGTGCTTCAAAGTTGTGCCTCTTTATCATCTTATGATCTTGGTTCCTAGGAGTTAAAAAGTAATAGTTATCATACTTCTTAATTTGTAATTACTCCTCAAACTGACCTTAATTACCAGATTTATGTCTTTTGTCTCAGTCATTCAGCATCAAAGTTGTTTCCCTTCTTTTCTAATTTATTTGATGTTGAGACAACAACAGGGACTGGTACATAATGCAGGGACTGCATGTATATATAGAATGTGCAACAGTTTTTTCCCCTCATGGAGATTTTTGTTTGCTGGCTTTAGCTATTGAATTCAAATTGTTACCTAGATTCCAAACTTGGAGGTAGCTGTGGCAGACATGGCAAAGTTTCTTATTGTTACAGAGAATGTATATCTGCACCCTAAACCTGAGGGAAGCTGCTGTGGCAGACATGGCAAAGTTTCTTATTGTTACAGAGAATGTATATCTGCACCCTAAACCTGAGGGAAGCTGCTGTGGCAGACATGGCAAAGTTTCTTATTGTTACAGAGAATGTATATCTGCACCCTAAACCTGAGGGAAGCTGCTGTGGCAGACCTGCTTCCTATTGTTATAGAAAATGTATATCTGCACCCTAAACCTGAGAGAAGCTGCTGTGGCAGACCTGCTTCCTATTGTTACAGAGAATGTATATCTGCACCCTAAACCTGAGAGAAGCTGCTGTGGCAGACCTGCTTCCTATTGTTACAGAGAATGTATATCTGCACCCTAAACCTGAGGGAAGCTGCTGTGGCAGACATGGCAAAGTTTCTTATTGTTACAGAGAATGTATATCTGCACCCTAAACCTGAGGGAAGCTGCTGTGGCAGACATGGCAAAGTTTCTTATTGTTACAGAGAATGTATATCTGCACCCTAAACCTGAGGGAAGCTGCTGTGGCAGACATGGCAAAGTTTCTTATTGTTACAGAGAATGTATATCTGCACCCTAAACCTGAGGGAAGCTGCTGTGGCAGACATGGCAAAGTTTCTTATTGTTACAGAGAATGTATATCTGCACCCTAAACCCGAGGGAAGCTGCTGTGGCAGACTTTGTCATTATATTAACAATTTCCTTCAGGAGGCATTATTTACAGTTATTAAGGCAGAGCTGTAATCAGTCAGCAGTCCTGATGGTTTCTATACATAGCAGTAGATATATACCAACAGCCTCATCTACCCATGTATAAATTTTGCAATGTGGTGTAAAGTGAAATATCAAGTTTAAACCATGTCATATTCTCACCATTGAAGTGTCGGAATAAACAAGCGATATAATTTAATTAATTCTCTAGATACTCCAATGTTTCAGGCTAAAATAGTGAAAATTTGTTTTTAAAAAAACCCTGAATTATATACTACAATATAAAAGATGACTTTCACTTAAACAAAATATTGACCAAAGATGCATCCATTTAATGTGGTATTTAACACTGACCGACTGTAGGTGATACTGTTAGTAGTCAGGTATGTGTGCCAATCTTCCAGCACTTTATAAACCTTCTTCTTAAACTCCTCTCCACTTTCCGGCTGGCCTATGTTCCCCAGTACAAACACATTTTCCGGATACTGTAACAAACACAAGACTAAGAGAGGATTTCCCCAGTACAAATGTTTGAATGTCACACAATTATCTAGAAAACTGCAAGACAAGTCGCATGCCTGCACGCCCAATGCAGAGAAATATCATTGTTTGATCAATTTACATAAGTTTTTAGGTGTGACCTTTGACCTCTTCAACCTTGACCAGTGACCATCTTAAGAACTGAATGTAACACAGTATTGCTATGTGATAAATATAAACCAAATCTTTTGAGAATTCTCAAGATATATGACACTGATTTGGAATGGAACACTGTCGACAGTCATACATAGGTAACATATTATGATCTCTCCTCCCGAAAGAAAAGGTGAGGTCGAGAAAAAGAATGGAAGACTTGATTGGAAATGCTACTGAATTTAAAACTTTACTCACCAGCACATACAGGCTTGTATGAAGACTGTATGACTGAATAAAATAACTTACCTGGCCAATAATAGACATAATCTGGGACGCCATTTTCTTGGCTGAGATGTCGTCAGTGTTGGAGAACGGCAGTACAATAATGCAACCATTGCTCAACACCCAGTTCTCGTAACCCTGAAAAGGAAACATGTAATACTGACGACAGCAACGGTGGAAAGAGGGAGGGGGGCAACTTATCAAGTTATCACTGTTGATCTTTTAGGTGATATGTGGAGGAACAAACAGGTTAATACGATCTCACAGCCCTCTGAACAAAATACTGGTATCAATTCAATCTTCATTTGCTAATGAGTGTTTAATGTATTTATTTAGATCCCTAAATATCTGTCACTATTGAAAGAGGATGTATACCTTTCCTCCAGTGCATTCAAATATGTTGTATTTTTGCTCTGTTTTGGAATGTGGCATCCAGGCTTTCTTTACTGCCACTGTATCACCTGGCTTTCTGTTGTCTTCAGTGAACATCCATGTTACATTCTCCTTATCTGCTTCATGTATCACCACCAACTTAGTGAAGTTGTAGCTCGACAGTGGAAGATCTTTGTCTGTGGAGGTCAAAACAAGACAGAAAGGCTAAAAATTCAAAATAAGGTGTGGCTTTGATAGAAAGTCAACTGATGTTTATTTAAGAATCTACCATATTATTTTCAGAATAGACTTATTGTTAAAATTGACTTATTTTGAAGTCTTCCATATCAAACCTTAATATGGGGATATCATACCTACACTGGAAACCAAACAGGCACCATGTCACACCTTAATATGGGGATATTATCTCTACACTGGAAACCAAACAGGCACCATGTCACACCTTAATATGGGGATATCATACCTACACTGGAAACCAAACAGGCACCATATCACACCTTAATATGGGGATATTATCTCTACACTGGAAACCAAACAGGCACCATATCACACCTTAATATGGGGATATTATCTCTACACTGGAAACCAAGCAGGCACCATATCACACCTTAATATGGGGATATTATCTCTACACTGGAAACCAAACAGGCACCATATCACACCTTAATATGGGGATATCATACCTACACTGGAAACCAAACAGGCACCATATCACACCTTAATATGGGGGATATCATACCTACACTGGAAACCAAACAGGCACCATATCACACCTTAATATGGGGATTTCATACCTACACTGGAAACCAAACAGGCACCATGTCACACCTTAATATGGGGATATTATCTCTACACTGGAAACCAAACAGGCACCATATCACACCTTAATATGGGGATATTATCTCTACACTGGAAACCAAACAGGCACCATATCAAACCTTAATATGGGGATATTATCTCTACTGGAAACCAAACAGGCACCATATCACACCTTAATATGGGGATATTATCTCTACACTGGATATGCATCACAATAGAAATTTATACCTAGATCACAGGAGAGACCAGAATTACAGAAGCACTGCCTCTTAGATGTTGACATCATTTGTAACAATGAATACAACATGAACAAAATTCTCATTGCAATGGAAGCAGAAAATTGGACAGAAGCCACACAATAAATTCAGAAAGACACCAGCAGAGAAATAATGAAATATCATACCAACTACTGGAAAGCAGGACATACAGAGATACCATATATATAGGATCATCTGTCACTGATACCCAGATAGACTATCCACTACAAACAGGAAAATGACATCCATTTTTGGGATAAGATTGTAAAAAAATACAGATAACAGCTGTTGATGGTAACCATGTTGTTTCCACGATATATTCCACACCATACAACTACAAACTGCACTGTTAGATATGTGTTATCAGTCAATGCACACATTTTCAGCTATAGTCACACACAAAACAAAATGGTGACCAATATGGAGTCATCTGTTAATGATACTGGAGTCTTGTAGAGCCCATGTCTCTAAAAGCTCATCACACACAAATTTATAGTCAATTCTGGATCAGCGTTTGTGAAATTATGCATTCACTAATATGTCTGTAGAGGTACGTTTGTGAAATAAAATAAAATCTAAGTCATTTACAGTATCTATATCATTCATTTTACCTTTTCCAATAGGACACGGGTCTGCTTGTAACATAGTGTCTGGAGGAGATATCAACTGACAACCACTTAATGACACATCCGTCTTGTTTACCGCTAAAAATAGTAATACCATATTATTATTATCTAAGATTGGTACAAAATAATAGTAAACAGTATGTTGAATACAGTGTATTAGTACCTTCATTCAGATTGAGTCAGATAACACTAGGGCATGTTCTTTATAAAGAATATAATATATAAATAAAAAAATATACCACAAAGATAAGTATTGGAAAAAATTATACTTGGCAATTTTTGTCTGTATTTCATGATTACAAATCTCATCACCGATTCACAAAATTTGTCAGTATTAATAGGATAAAGCTGAAAATTCTTTAACCATGTCTCTCCAGATCTTACTTATACAAGTTGTGTATAAATCCAGATGACCACCATATGGACTTACTTGGACCAAGACAAGCTATGCGAGACACTGCTTTCATGAGAATAGCTTCTAGATTAATGTCCAGGAGAATGTGTAATGAGCGATCTGTTAACTTTGGGCATCCTTCTATTGAAACCTGCAAATATTGCATAATTCTTATTCATGATAGTGTTCTGTCTAAATAAATTATCTATTTAACGAACAAATGCTCATGTAAAACCAAACTAACTTTTTTGTGCTTAGAAATCAAACGTACATAATTATACTGTCAGAACTCAATGATAATTCAACATTTCATATTCACAGCATAATTTCAAAGAACGTAGTTTTTCAAAACGAATACGGTAAATCACATTTTAATCATGATGTCATATACAGCATACTTCATATCAAACTCATGCTCTTCCTCTTGAAAAAGTCACTTAGACAAAATGGCACAAGACATTAAGAGGAGCGGGCCTTCTAAGGTATCTGTATGGCTTCTATGCAAGACTGATCTAGTCTCTTTCCCCTTTCACTCTAAAGCATTTGATTAAAAGACTGAATTAGCAAATGCATAGCAAGACAAATATTTTTTCACAAGAAAGGAATATAACTCTTTAAAACGGGGTTGATATGCAAAATGACTTCAAAGGGCACAACCTCATTTGGGATTAATACATCACTTGAGTATTAAACCACTTTCAGATGGCATTCAGTGGCATATAAATACCAACAGGATAAGGGCAAATTCAATAAAGTGTATAAGCGATATATATCTAATTTCTCTTTATCCAGTTTGCATTCATGTGCCTATGAATATCAAAAGAAAGAATTTCAATGCTTTAGTTTTTATCATTTTCAATTTTCATTCATAGGGACGACAACCTCAATTTGCTTACATTACTTGCAATTTTCATGTGCAGTTGACAGCTGGTAATACAAAACTGACTTTGGCAATGTTACACCATAACAATGCCATACAATAGCAAATATGATTTATGAAATTTAAAAAAAAAAAATGATTGAAATAAAAATATACAGCTTGTAAGCTGGTACCTTACTTTTTTAATTTTGATTCCTGGTATCTGTGAGAGCCATAGAATACCTTGGTCTGTGACGTATGGTGCACCTGTAACAACAAAGTTACCTGTATAATGACTTGTATGGAAATGTTAAAGGGACAGCAGCACAATATATATTATGCTATAAGGCTGTGTAACAGCAGATTAGAACTGTGAGGAAATGGGGAAGGGGGTGGAGAAAGTTGTTAAGGTACAAAGGTTTGATTGGAGATATGTTTAGGTGAACTGATGCAGAGGACTATAATTTGTGCAGTGCAAATCCAAGGTGAAAGGTTAGTACTAAGGACCAGTATCAAGGGTAAATGCTAAGGGTCTTGGTAAAACATATGATGAATAAGGATTCAAGGTCAGTGTAATGATCCAGGGTAAGTGCTAATGACTAGGATTCAGGGTCAGTGCTAATGACTAGGATTCAGGGTCAGTGCTAATGACTAGGATTCAGGGTAAGTGCTAATGACTAGGATTCAGGGTCAGTGCTAATGACTAGGATTCAGAGTCAGTGATAATGATTAGGATTCAGGGTCAGTACTAATGACAAGGATTCAGGGTCAGTGATAATGATTAGGATTCAGGGTCAGTACTAATGACAAGGATTCAGGGTCAGCACTGATGACTAGGATTCAGTGCCAGTGCTGAGGGCAGGGTGCTGAGGATCAAAACTACGGACCATAAAAAGAGGTCAGTGAAATTGAGTACCAGAATTCAGGGTCAGATTACACTCACCACAAAGTGTAAAATCTTCCAGGTATTGGAGGTTGACTTCCTGACACTTCAGCACCAGAAAAACCATGTCAGTCAGCTGTTCTACACCAGACAGAGTCAGTTTTCTAATGTAAGTATCGTTTTTCGTATGCACTGTTAAGGCAGACTGGAAAAAAAATATTTTAATCACAAATAATGTTTTACCTTCTTGGAAAATTAAAAAAGAAACTAAGACCACCAAAAAAACCCTAAAAAACATATATATGTTTACAAAATCTTTACAGCATAATAATGAACACACTGTGTCATCAGATAGAAACCTCAATAATCTGACTTGATTGTATACAGTGTAGGTTCATGAGAAATTGTAACAGTTAATCTATTGGGAATAACTGATATGTCAGTGAGGATTGCACAATACTTTCAAAGGGTCAAGGGATCTGCTTATTTTCCAAAATACATATATTAAGTTGTTCTCCTTTATTTCATGCCAAAATTACACTAACATAAAGGATCCTTTCCAAATTTATGTTTTTCAGTAAAAAAATTGCTGAAAATATAAAACAAAATATGTGAAAATGTTGTACTTAAGGCTTTGTATCTTTTAAATGATACATTATTGATGGCCAGTAAACAATGTCAACATTAAACTGGGATGTAAAATTATGTTTAAAGAAGTTTGAAATATTTGTTTGTAGGAGTGTAAACAAATTTATGGATGGCCATGTATATTGTTTACAGTACACAAAGTAGTCCATTGATATCAAGAATTGGACTTTTTTGTATCTTAAATAATGCATACACCAAATACTTACTAAAGCAAACGCAATATCAAAGTAATCTTCTACTTTGTTCTTATCAAACAGCTCGTCTGTACCCAGATCTACTGCAGTCCCTGCTGTGAACAGTCACATCAAACAAAACATCAGGTTTAAAGTATTCACGTCTACAACACCATATTTATTCTAATAAATGCCTTGGGGGCATGAAATTCTCAAACCTAGCTCGTCAGGTACAATGTTGTAAATAGAAATTGTAGTTATTTTGTAATTTTCTTGGGGATTTTGTTGTATTGGAATGACATGTTTGTAGATATTCTAAACATCCATCAACTGTAGATTAACAGAGTTTTTCTTTATCACATGGTAAATTGTACCAGAAGAAAACCTATTAAGTGGGGAGGAGGAGGTGGAGGGGTGTGTGTGTATATTAATGATAAATTCAGTACAGTATATGGGGAAATATTTGCTATTTGCTCTGGGTTTTATCACCTTTGATTCACAATTTCATTTCAGGTGTCATATCAAGCATTCTTATACTTTTTATTGTTTTCTGGATGGCAAAACAGCAAAAGTTAAACAGTCAAAAGTTTCAGTGTAAACAGCAGTCAAATTGGGTTATCACTCAGATACTGAAACTCTATTCCAAAGAAAAGCAAATTCTGCTGTTGAACATTCAAATTTTGTCCCTCTTACTCAAGTGGTCTTGATCATTATTTTTGTTGTCTGAAATTCAATATTTTAAAATTTGCTCAACAAACAGAAATCCTAACTGCAAAATAATCCATCCATTTAATTAAGATAATATTTACCGTAAAAACACACAGGTCATTCCTAAACCACTTATTACTGAGTACATAATGGCTATCTTATATAATGGTTGGAAGCATATAACTATCATACAGAATGTATGTCAAAAACATTTATTATGCAACAGAAAGAGGTATACATGGTAGTATCTGATAACGAGATCTGAGAGGGAGCTTCACAGCAAATACTGTTTGGTCTTTATCTGGTTAAAGAAAGTGCTAACAAGAGCCTTGTCTTTCCTTAATTATATGAAATCTTAGAATTCCACTTTGAGAAATAGTAATATAGATTGTTACTTTCCAATCTAAGATGGCTGCCTCTCAACCATGTGGTTCATCTGTTCAGTCACAAAATCAACAGGGCAAAACTAGGGACCAAGACAAACCAATATATGAAATATCCACACAGTAAATATACTTCACAAGAAATAACAGTTACAAACTTTTCTTGTCAAAAGATTGCTACCTGTAAGAAATTATGTTTTTCTGATCAGCCCAAAATCAAAATGGCAAAAACTAGGGACCAAGAGGAACCTCCACATTAACTTTAAGAATGATCCACAAGTACTTCTCAAGAACCTTTTTTTCTGATCAACTCTTAACTAGGGATCAAGAGTAAGCTATATATGTAATCTGAGAAAGATCTATCAAGTATTTCCCAAGAAAAAGTGGTAACAATCTCTCCGAAAATGACGAGGATTCAAGGATCATTGACCACCACTTGATGACAGTGGGCTTAAAAACGACGTTTCAGACAATATGAATACCCTGCCAGAAATCAGGGAGAAATTTATATTTCAAATTAATTAAACTATCTTCCTTTCAGAAATACTTCTGTTTTCAGGGATATATTTATCTTTAACAGAACTGTCATTAAGTTTTAATTCATTTTAAAGGTATTTCTTACAGATTTTTAACTGATGCCTTCAGACTAAACAAAACAATACAGGTTCCCTGGTACAGGGAAAAAATCAATACGAATCTTAATCGACACAACATAATATTCACACAAATGTGTTTAAAAATTGTTTACCTTTGAGCTTCCTGGCTCGTTGGGAAGGATCCCGATATGCAAATGTAGGTAGAAGTAATTCTTCCTCATTAGTTGACAGCAGATCCACGTTTCTCACATCTGATAAAACAAAAGACATCAACACACTAAACCTTAAAGTTACAGAGATTAGTTCTAAAATCATCCAGAACACTGTTGAGGAAAACAATTGGATAAGATTGGTCTCAAACATTTCAGATAACTCCCAGACAATCAAACTTATGTCTCTAATTCCCCACAATCAAACTTGTGTCCCTGATCCCCCACAATCAAACTTGTGTCCCTGATCCCCCACAATCAAACTTGTATCCCCGATTCCCCACAATCAAACTTGTGTCCCTGATTCTCTACAACAAATCTGATGTCATTGACTCCCCAAAATTAAGTCCCTGGTATTTCCAATGCCTGGCATTTTAGCCAGTATAGTAAGAGATGGACGATTGCTACAGTCCTACAGAGCATTCTTTCTGACCAATACAATGTATCTAGAACTTCAGGAATATTTGACATGCCTATTACCTGTTGTGCGGCTGGTCCTACTACGAGCTGTCCGTCTGCTAGATTGGAACTCTTGTAAGATGTTAGTACTTTCAGTTTGTAGAGGACTGGTTCTGCCCACTTGAAGTCTTTGGACTCTGTTTCCTGTTGCCTCTAGCGAGATCGCACGACTCGCCATTTTGTTAAGATTTGTTTTTCAGATTGTTATTTATCCACCTCTGAAACCCAAATTTCTTATTCAGAAAATGGAAGCAATTATGTCAAACTGAGCATGTTTCTTCAGTTTTAAGTTTTAAGCACCACAATCATAAATTATCACATCATCTTCTACATTGCTCACTACTTCCACGATTTAATCATGTTCACCAGTCTGAGTCATTTAAACAAACCCTTGTACCATTGAGGTCTGAGACCTTAAGTTTGAAAAAAAGAATAAATGTACATAACGCTCAGTTATACAGAAACTTAACTATACCAGTGGCCATAATACTTTCATATATTTTAATCAATATATGAAGCCAGAAGACATTTCACTTTACAGAAATCATATCTAATATGAACACATTTTTTAACATGGAATTTCAAATAGTCCAGAAGAATAGGAAATTCCAAATACTCGGTACGGAAATCCCAACACTAATCTATTTCTTGTACAAGGATTGGCTTGTTGGTATTTCAAGTAAATCATATAGGACTGATATTGTCTTTGATAAATAACTAGTACATTGAATGGGTGTCATTGACCTGCCATTGATTAGTGACACAGGCATGCCCTATTTCACCTTTATAACTAACTTATGGTCAGTTAGACAAAAATTTTAAATAAAATTAATGAACCATACACAGACGATGAATAACAAAAACCTCCCTCCCACACACCTTAACTTACCTGTCCTCACTCAGCAAAAAAAAAAAAAAAAAAGATTTATCTAGATAAATGTCAATATGACATTCTAATGTTCTATTAAGTTTGAGAATTCGTTACCACAAAACGTGTGATCATTCCATGTCTTAAAAAGATGTTGTTCATTTTTTTTTCAAAGAAAAATAACCACAATTCATTAGTGTCCAGAAAATGTGTCATTATCAGGAAGAACTGATGAAATACGATTTTTGCAGGAAAAACATCTTAAGCCATCAGGACCCAAATCACGTAACTGGTAACCTACATGTAAATCAAAAATTATTTCTATCATCAATAGTTTTCTTAACTGGTTTACTCTCAGTTATTATCTACTCTCCTTTTAAAAGATATTGTATAGGTAGAATACATTTAATCCAAAGCTTTTCTCAAAACCTAAAATAAATCCTACCAACTCTGCATATGTAGCTAGCTCAGCTGTCCATGAATATTTAAGTGGAATGCTTTACAATAATTTTGCTGCTTTGTTTCAATTTACTTATTTCTTAAAAATATACAAAAAATATACTTATTCTTATTACATATAAAAGAAAGGTCATTAAAATTGTGTTGTTTTAGTACATTAGGAAAAAAAGTGACCAACAAAAAATCCCTTATAGACCTCTATTTTGCAATGATTAATCATCATCTTCGATTGATTTCTTTTCAATGAAAATAGTTTTCTGAGGTACTTCAAAGGGGCCGACATGTAAAACCTTTCGGGCACGGCTGCCATTGTGTACTATCTTTTTCTGTCTGACCACTACACTCATACTAATGATTTACGCATGGACTTGATAAATTATATCAAAGTCCATGCTCAAACTAAGAGCGTTGGGAGACAAATGGTTCTGGGATTTTGACATTTCATTCTCAATCATTGTTCACAAAATTGCAATATTTAGGCCTAGAAAATGATAACTAACATCCAGTACTGATCGGAGAATGTCTACAGAACATCGCCATAAGCACTCGATAATTCTAACCCATCTTTTTATCATGAAATAGATGTAAAAGGACAGCCTGTTGGGCTACAGGAAATTCAAATACCTGCTAAGCTGTAATCTTAATCTGAGATATATGTGATGTATAATTAAGAAAACGTATTGTAAGCTGTTTTACGTCCCATCCGTAAAAATGAAAAAAATAAGCAAATCACGGCATCTATACCTACCTTTTTACATCTGTAGGCCAGTAGGTTGGATCACAACCTGTGGGATTCACATTTTATAACATTAGTACGAACAGGGTCATCACTTTCTGTAAGATACCAAGCGACAGCTTCAACACAACAACGTCCTCGTGCCAAGTCACATCACTTCACGTTTATATGGAAACCATGACACCAATAAATATCAACAAAGTTTAGTCGTGTTCACTCAGTCGGTTCAAAGCCATCAAGCACACTGCGACCTGTGTGAACTGAAGTCGATTGCCGTTGTGTATAGGTTCTCATTGATTAAAATAATATCATTGCTACGCTATCTTCGTGATCACTCGCGCAAGAAGTATCCTACCAACGCAAGTGTTACAAAGTACATTCTAATGAATAATAGACCGACAGCTGAAACGCATCTAGGAAAAAAATCCAGGTACAGAGTAGTTTTACTTTCGTTTTATATGCAGTTAAGCCAGATAACACTATAGGTTTGAAATAAGTCCGTGGTTTTATAAAATTACGACATTTATTGTTTTTTAGATCACTACATCGTTTTGGGGTACCGAAATAGCCGCAACCAATTATTATCACACGAGCCCTTGAAAAATGAGACAAATTATTCCGGAAATAAGAGGCGAACGGGTATCTTATTATAAAAACAACATATAGCAGTAGTGGGAAACATTATCACAACTCTATGGGAACAAAAACAATACAATGTTTATTTCAGTTTTCCCCATATTTCCATAAAATTTCAATTCAATGGCACCAATGGAACTGGAACACAAGCCGGAAATGTTTTATTCTAAATGGCGTCATATTGGCCATATTGAATTGTATTTGATTATGAGCCAACTCTTAAAATAGGACCATCTCAGTAAAAAGAAAATGTTATTTCTTGGTAGAGTATGTACAATGGATGTTGGCTACCTAACCCGAGAGATTTTTATTTAACATATGTTCGAAATTCATTTGTCTCGTTTGGGCAGAGGATTTGTTCAAGACATTGTTGATATTCTACAAAAATACCAATGGTGTATTTTGCAAACAGATATCAATGGAAAATACGAAGAGACTAAACTAAGTGAAAGAGTGTACTCAGATTGTCCTGTGTCCTTAGAGTGGTATGATATATAAAATACCAGTTGATAAACGTTCTTCTCGGTCGTGTTATCGCTTGTGGTTTATCCTTGTTTGAACTCGAAGATCTCGGAATAAATTGTATTATAATAATTCTACACCTTGTGTAATTTAGAATTATGTTATTTGCCATTTAATAGTTTTGAAAGACAGTTCATGTTTCGGCAGAATCAAATGCCCATTACACAATCGTATGATTATTACATATATGTGAATAATGTTTTGTGATTATTCCAAATTGTACTGAACATATTGATCAAGCAAGCCTGAGCTAAATCGTACATGCGGAGGAGATATTTAAAAATCTTCAAAGTTTACTACTGGTAGACGGTGCATGACTTCCAAGCATGGCGACAGACGGGACAGAATTATCGACTGAAAAATCCTAGCGCACAATTCTCTCACTTTTCTGCAGAATGATAAACATTTTACCATATAACATGGTGACGTCTAATAATTCTAAATTCTATGTTACTCCGTGTAACTTAAACGATCTAACTAACATACACCTTTCCAAGGTAAAAACTTAAATGATACCGAGATATTGATTTGGACAAGCTGTTGGGGAATTATACCGTCAAATTGTAAATGGTCTATAAACGTAACGACCACGGTCAAAACAACGCTTCTAGGCAGCTACTAGATAAATAATATTTAAAGGATGCGTTGAAGCATTATTCATAGGACCGAGAACACAACGAAGTAGCATTAAAAACATTTACCATTGTTTATATTTGAACGACGATGGCTTCAAACTGATTTTATATCTAAATTTATAACACGTATTACCCGTCCTGGCATATTCTCGTTCGGATGAAAGATGATTTACACCATAGTGTATCACAACACATTATTTTTTAAACATAATTTGAACATGATCTGACGATCAAAATTTAACAAAGCGGATTTTAATGGTTCATTTAGAAGTCTGTCGCTCTTTACAACATGATTGTTTACCGTTGATGATGATGATGAGGAGGGGGAGGAGGAGGGGGTAATGATGTCATCACTGACTATGTGGTATGACGATCATGTACATGTATTTATGTCATGCCGATGTGATGACAATTTATGATTTATAACAAAACACGTTGATAAACTTTGATAACTTGTGCCAATCCCGTTGTATATATTTGATTTAAATGAAATATGTGGAAACTAAACTAAAGATATTTAGTGTTTTGCTGTTTCATTGTTCTCCCATTTAATCTTGTGTTAGAAAAATCTACTAACCATTGATTCGATTTATGATACATTGATTCGATAAGTGACCACGATGATTGTTCGAACACAAGTCAAAATTATCTTAGTTTGTTCTAATGTATCCTGTTTTTTAACACAATTATGATATATAAATTGGTCTGTATTTTGTGGGCCTACATAAACAAATGTATAATAACATTTCAATTTGAATGTAAAAACGCCTTAAAAGGCTGTGTACAAATCAATAAACAGAGTGCCCATTTAAAGTGAACCCGCTGTCGACATGTTATGGCAAGTCCATTCAACCTTTCGCGGCTTCTCAATGGTCGTTAATTTTAACCAATCAGAGACAAGACCGTTCGTCCACTCCGGTTGTTGTAAACATTATGGCGGCTCAAACAAAAACATGTCAGCGGGATATGTAATTTATTTCTAATATTTCGTTTTGTAAAGTGTCAGGAATACGAAAACGGTAGAGTATTATTTCTAAGCACAACTGTTTTTGTTTGTTTGCATGTTTTTTAAATTGAGTTTTATGTTTAAACGAATTTCAGAGTTGCACATTTGAATGATGTTTTCCAGTTTCAACACGTTCAGTTGTTCAACATTTTACTGCATAACATATCATAACTTTTTGTGATGACCGACATTGTAATTTAAAGTTAAATATTGCATTTGTTGTATGTTATAAATTATAATCTTTCCTCCAAAGGAATGATCTAAACGTTAAATGTACAGGACACGCATTGTATATTGCATGTACATTTGTTTAAATTCACAAGCCTTGCCACACCAAATTTGCGAAATCTTCACACTGTTGAAGTAGGCAAGACATAGGTATAACTAGCCTAGATGACGCATCCTGCTATCTGCGTCTTTGTTGATACAAGTAGTAATTAGTGACTTCTACAATAGGGGTATAATGCTTTATAAATGATCTGATCGCTGGCAATTTTAATTAACACAGAAATGGTTAACAATGAAAATAAACGATAACTTCTTGCTTTTATGTTTAGTCAGTAAACTCAGGGACGTAGAATATGTATTATACGTCCCTGGTAAACTGTTCAGTAATTGCTGAGTCTGGGGTTCCCCCTTCAGATGAATGATCTGTTAACAGTCTCTCTAGGAATATTGAGCATTTTGGTAGTGACTTGCAAAGTCAAACACACAACCATCTGGATGATGGAGAACTCCATTAATAATCAACAGAAGCTACATATAAGCCTAGAAACTCAGAGGTGCTGGGTTCAGTCACAAGCAAAGTGTGTGAACAAAACAAAAATGCAAGAAAATCAAATTCACAAACAAAAATAATTTACATTCAATGAAAGTTTATGCAGTTATTTTTGGGAAAAGATTCAGCATTTATTTATCTCAAATTTGAAGAATACTACCCTTTATAGAAAAAGAGAAATTAATTTTTGGCCCCCCCCCCCCTTTTTTTTTTTTGAGAAATGGGAAAATTTTGGATTGTCCTCTTGGTAAGAATTCAAAAGAGAGACGGGGTAAAGTATATGATGATTACATGAAGAAATATTGCATTGTTTAGGTTTGGTTGATATTTCTTTTGCATGATTTGAAAATATGTTTGGAAAATTTACTGATTAGCTCTATTTTGAGGTTAATTTTCCCTGTCGAAACTTTCCCATGTTATCAGTATATTTCTTGATTGGGAACTGTTTATATTCAGAGGAGAAAACTACTGCTTGGGGAAAACTACCCTTTTTGGGGTAGTAAATTTTGTCTAGATTTATCCCTGATCAGAAGGTCTGAAATTTTTCTTTGCGTAGATAATGATGAATTTTTTAATGGTAAAAGAACTAATTAAGCCACGCACCACAGATAAAGTTTCTAATTAGTGCATTTAGTTGACACCTGTTTAAAGCATGGACATATTTAGTTGTGATATGTTTTGATAATGATCAATGATTATTTTAGGAATTAATTACAAAGTGCTGTTACCATGGAAACTGAAAAAGGCAACTCCCAAGACTCAAATCAAGAAGAACAAATGTTACAAACACCCAAAGTAAGTAATCTTTATGTATATTACTATGTATACATGTACTAGAAAGTGCAGTGGATAATCTTTCTAAAACTTCAATCTTACAGATATGTTTGCTAAGTAAACAATTTGGATATCATGAACTATGATAACATTTCCTTTAGATTATAATTATGAGTAAAAGAAAGGTATTTGTGCAATAGAATAACCTGATTGAAATTCACAGTACACCTGTACAACGTTTAGGAATGACCTGTCCTCAATAAAACAATAATAAACAAAAACTGACATTATAAACAGATATAGTGAAAGAGAGTCTAAGGGTTTACAAAGTGGTCTTATATTTGTCATTCTGTTTGCAGAAAGGCGATGACAATTACTTTGGTGGAGATGGACAAAGCTGGAAAATGTTTACAACTCCGATGCAGGAAGAGAAATATCGCATAGAAAATAATCAATTGCGGTCCCAAATCAAACAACTTCAGCTAGATGTGCATGCTGAGCAGGGTCAGTCAAATTTCTGTGGTTTGATGATTTATTAGTGAGAGAGTTCTTACTCATCATTTGATGCAATGTACTCTCATTTACCGTAAAACACTGATAAGTATGTAATAGATACCAAGATTGTAAGCATATCATGAAAATGATTTAACATACATTGAAACGATTTTTGTTAATGATTATTCAAGTATATGTAAATGAGAATCATATCACTGGGACTGATATTTAAAGTCAATTTATCAAAGTTATATCTTGGAAAGTTAGTATCAGTGTTGTTGGATGATATGGAACTACCAATACATATGTATGAGTAAATGCACATGTGCATTACACAAACTTTCATTTCATTTTTCAGAAACAGTGGGACAAGTGAGACGTCGTTTGAATGCTGTTGAGAAAGAACGTTTACAAGCAGCCAGCAAGAACAATGCTGAGGTATTTATAAACTCACACAGATGAATTTGAAAAGATATTTGTCCTCTAATAAGGATTTCCATGCAAAGCTTTCCGTATATTTCATTTTGTGTTAAGATTTCTTTCTGAATGTATCCGATGAATCAGTTTATTTTGTCTTAAGGCAGTTAAGTCATATATAAACATGCTGTTTCCAACTTTTTATGCTTTTGCTATTTGATATTGGGAGGTGGGGAATATATATTGTATTTTTACCTTTGTTGTGTCCCAATTCTGTTATCTATCCATTTATTTCTGAACAAATCATGACCACAAACTTTATGCTGATGTCAGGAATGAAGAAACTTTATATCATTTTCTTGATTATTGTAGGTAATTATCGTAACAGGTCAATATTGACATCCAAGACAAACTTAGTTGAGTGATTTTTCTTACCTCATTTCATAAACATAATAGTCATTCATTTCATTTTTTTTTCAGATTGCTGACTTGGAGGGCCAACTGGTTAAATTTCGTGCCCAGATTGAGAAAGGAGAAGCTATGCGACAGAACTTGGAATTTGAATTGACAAAGACACGTCGTGAGGTTACACAACAAAAACATGCAACACTTGAAAAAGATGCCACACTCAAAGATGCTAGAGGACAGTTAGAAAGTAGGGATGATTAGATTTATGTATCAGTAAATGAACCTGAAAGGAGAATTGTAAACAAACTCACTTTTATACGAAGACCTCCAGTCACTTCAGACATTGAATACTTGTGTTAGGGACAATTGAGGATTAGAATTTTCTTGTTGTTTGTCAAAATAGAAATTTTTTGTGATATTTTCCAAATAGCGAATAACGTTTATTTGAACTAAGTAAAAAGACAGACATTCTTGGCTAATTTAACCCTGAGTCTGTCTTAGAGGCATACAATCAGATTCTTAAACCATGATGTCCTACAAATAGATTTTTAAACTACAATGTCATGCAATCAGATTCTAGATGTCCTATTGAGTATATTTACACTGTAACTCATTTATATAACGATAGATCTTACAAACCTGACTTATTTTATGTAATTATCTTTGTGTTCATTTGATAGATATTAATCATGATAGATACACTTGTATTCAATATCACTTACTTGATGTTGTTTATATATCTGTCATCCAGATACTAATTGACGTATCCAGTTTAGCAGAAAATTTTCCACTGTTGTTTAAAAATATTGTTAGCATGAACAGACTATAAACTGGCTTCAATAACCTTTGTTAGTTCTAACATACAACTCCTTTATATAAAATTTAACTTTCAGAGAAGATCCTTGATCTGGAAGAGACACTAAAAAAGACAGAAAGTGAGAGGAACAATCTTCAGGAGAAAGTCGAAGCTGCAGAGAACAAAATCCAACGACAGAAGGAGGAAAATGTGAGTCAATATGCATAGTCAATGGAGTGAGTTGCATTTAGAATCTCCCCAACAGAATACTGTGATTGTCCTACTCCTTTATGACTTACCACTGGGCTGGAGTGATACAGTAGTGGTACGATACTCTACATTTCTGGATACTTCTGACGAACCCATTGGGGCTTGTCAGCTGTGATGTTTTGACTCCTTTTGAATTAGATTTTGTAAAACACTAATTGGCTTAATGCACCAAAATCAACCAATCGCATGACTCCTTTCATTTTCATTAGTAACTGCAGAAATCAGTAGGCCTAACACTTTCATTTTCTATATTGTTTGCATGTAATTAAGATGTTATATGTTTGAAAATTCATCATGCAATTTGTTTAACTGTATTAATAACAAGATAATGACAGGAGAGATACAGGTATCGTGATATTTTATTTGGATTGGTTTTTGTATTATACATGATGTGCATTACAGTTGACTGATACACACTAGTAAAGATATTAACACATGTGCCATTTGAATTTCATTAAGCAACATAAAAATATGATTTCTGTTCTTTGATTCAGGACCATGAAATAGCCAAGAGCCATACAGAACAGGAGATACTGAGAGCAGAGAGAGATAAGCTAGATGCAATTGTGCTACAGCAAGAAGGGTACGGAAGTTGTGTTATAAATTCATTGTCACTGGTACCTCTGAAGAAATTTGAATCACTCTCTTACTCTTATGTTTAAATTGTGCTTGATTTATCAATTCATTTTAACTTTTTTTTTTAAAGTTCAGATAATTCTTGTCTGCAATATCACACTTTTTACCCTCATTTCCTAATTTTAGCACTCAGATTGAACAGAAATTTCAATGTGATACTTACCATGGAATTAAAGACTAAATATATTCAGTCACTTGGTCAGATAATTTGAAATTTCTATGGAATTGAACAGCTTTAAAGATAAGATATTCAGACATTTTATATTGAAACTCCTGGTGCTGGCATTCTTTACCTTTTTATCAAGTCTGTCAATGCCTATTACCTCAAACACACATTCTGAAAGAAAAACTGAGCACTAAAACATCACATAGGCTTTCAGGGGAACACTTTAGCCAGCTGGTAATGCATGGTGATCAGTGGTGATCAGTTTGTTTTTTAGCACACTATCATCAGATGGTGGGCTATTCAGATCGCTCTGTGTCCATGGTCAGTCCGTCTGTCGTCCGTCCGTAAACAATTTTTGTTATTACTTTTTCTTGAGAAGTCTTGGATGGAACTTTCTCAAATTGCATATATAGGTTCCTCTTGGTCCCTTGTTGTGCCTGTTTGATTTTGGGACTGATCAAAAAATCAAAATGGCTGACAGACAGCCATTTTGGATTTTTTATTGAAGTTTGTTTTCACTATTTCTTTAGAAATGCTGAATTGATCTCTCTCAGACTTCATATGTAGGTTCCCCTTGGTCTCTAGTTGTTCCCATATAGTTTTGGAAATGATCAGAAAAACAAAATAGCGGAAAAGTGGCCATCTTGGATTTTACTTATTAAAGATTGTTATTGCTATTTCTGAAGAAGTACTGAATGGATATCTCTCAATTTTCATACGTATATTCCCTTTGATCTCTCCTTGTGCTTGTTTGCTTTTGGGACTGATCAGAAGAAACAAAATGACTTCCAGGTGGCCATTTTGTATTTGGCAGGTAAAGATTATCATTTATTTCTGCAAAGGAATATTCAAATGTGTTATAATTAAGAGTAAAAATAGAGAAGAGGAAAGAAGGGAAAAGATCCAACTTTCAAAGGGCATATAAAGATCAAACAATGGTGGGTGCCAAGATCCCTCTAGTATTAGTTAGTACAGTTATTCTGAAGTCTGATTGTTGTAGTGACAAGATCTGTTTCTGAATACAATTAAATGTGTAAGTGATGGTTATGAAAAAAAGATTTTGTCTTTCATATTACGTAACCCAATTATATTGGGAGCATAACCAGTTAAATAAAAATGTAAATCTATCAATGAAATAATGAAACATTAACAAATAAGTTGTACCTAAGTAAATATCTCCTCTAAAATTTACCAGATTCCATATTTTTCTTTCATTTATTTTTGCAGTACCCTGTCAGATTTACAAGAAAAGAACCAAGAGCTTGAAAGTAAGAAAAGATAAATGTGTACATCTGCTTTTTGGGAAAGTTGTTGTTGTTGGGAGTCCTGTACTACAATACCAGATCCATCAAGAGATTGTATCAGAACTCTGAACCCTTGTTTTATATTAATTACAATGTAAACATCATCTACAAAACATTTGGTCAACATTATATGGGGTTTCCTTAATGTAACTTTTGAAACATAAAAATGTTATGTTCTTAAGATAGGTAATATACTTAACGAAAACATTCTGGTCAAGAAGGGCAGGTCTAGTGTACCTGACTTTTAATATGTTCTGAATTGTGAACAGATGAACAAAGGAATCAGTTGGAGAATTTACGGAGAACTCTGACAGAAATGGAATATGCCAAGGAAAGAGAGGATCGTCTAAAAAAAGATCTGGAGGTAGGATCATTGTCCTGTTTTAGGATACTGCTCTGTTTGAGGTATCAGAATGATATGTTGGAAATTCCAAGAATTCTGCCAGGCATCCAACAAAAATATGTTGGAAATTCCGAGAATTCTGCCAGGCATCCAACAAAAATATGTTGGAAATTCCGAGAATTCTGTCAGGTATCCAACAAAAATATGTTGGAAATTCCGAGAATTCTGCCAGGCATCCAACAAAATATGTTGGAAATTCCGAGAATTCTGCCATGCATCCAACAAAAATATGTTGGAAATTCCGAGAATTCTGCCAGGCATCCAACAAAAATATGTTGGAAATTCCGAGAATTCTGCCAGGCATCCAACAGAAATATGTTGGAAATTCTGAGAATTCTGCCAGGCATCCAACAGAAATATGTTGGAAATTCCGAGAATTCTGCCAGGCATCCAACAGAAATATGTTGGATATTCCGAGAATTCTGCCAGGCATCCAACAGAAATATGTTGGATATTCCGAGAATTCTGCCAGGCATCCAACAAAAATATGTTGGAAATTCTGAGAATTCTGCCTGGCATCCAACAAAAATATGTTGGAAATTCCGAGAATTCTGCCAGGCATCCAACAAAAATATTCACACCAAAAAAGAACTTTTAAATTCAGATATCGGTAAGACAGAGAAAGAGTACAATAATGCTGGAGCTCAAGACCAAAATTTTTCACCAAAAGAGAAGATAGACATATCCAAAACCAAGATTTTACATTGATTTAAAAGCTGCTAGCCAAAATTTCTGAGTTATCATATTTGTAATATTACAGTCTTGTAGAATAAAGATTTTAAAGTAGTCTTTTAAAGACCATTTAATCAGTTCAAACTTTTTGATTACCTTCAGACAGCACTCCAGCGACTCAGAACAATGGAAGAAAGCATAGAGGCAGAGAGAGCTGCACATCTTGAATCAAAATTCAACTCTGAGATTGTACAGGTGATGTGTTCTCATCATTATTAGGACTACATAATAATATACAACACATATTGATCAACTTTTGTTGTATGGTGATATACAGGTAAATTGGTAATTGACTTTTCACAATAATGGGCATTTATTTTATAATAGACTTTATAATGTATACTTGAAATGATATCTGAAGGTCGCAGGATGTTGTCAATTTGATTGGGTGCATTTAGAGGTGGTACTGAGTGCTTTCTTTTAAAACAAAATCTGGTAAGCTTACAGTTGTCTTTGATTAGTTAAACAGGTTTAACACATTTTTTATGATATAATTTCCTTAATTTTACATTCAATGAAACACAGGAAGTATAAAAATGGTGAATTGACAATTTTTTCACTCAACAGACCCTTTAATTTATGTGAAAATATCAAATTTCAAAACTTAACATTCTTATTATTAAACAACTCTTATTTAAATGCAGTTGAGGGTGCGAGATCTGGAGGGTGCAATGGAAGTAGAGAAATCGGCCAATAACGAGGCCAACAAAGCCATCGATCGCCTCACTAGACAGATCCGAGAACTGGAGCACAGCTACGAAGAGGAGCGCAAGAACGGAAAGGATCTCTCTAACAAACTTGACAAGTAAGTATTCTTATGTAGATGATTTTTGAAAATCTGTTGATGAGTAAAAGTACTGGTATTTATAATACTTTTAAATAGCATTGTGCTGTTAAAGTTTACTACATTTAGGAAGATACTGTTAGCATGTACTTATTTTGGTATAATTAAATTTTAGTGTGTGATCAACTTTTACTACATTAGGGCAATGATGAATATGTGCATCAACATCAATTGCATATAAACGTCATGCAGAAACTGATCTATTAGGTCCTACAACAGGGTAAAAATTCCAGCACCTAATGTGCTAACATCAGATTACCTCTAACATATGTCTTTTAGTGTGAAAGGGTTATAGTTCACTGCATTCAGGAAGATTGTGTAAAAGAGTTAAATTTCACAACATCCAGGAAGATTGTGTGAACAGGTTAAAGTTTACTACATCCAGGAAGATTGTCTGAAAGATTAAATTTCACATCAAGGAAGATTATCTGAAAGGGTTAAAATTTACTACGTTCAGGAAGATTGCCTGAAAGGTTAAAGTTCACTACATCCATGATGATTGTCGGAAACGGTTAAAATTTACTACATTCAGGAAGATTGCCTGAAAGGTTTAAGTTCACTACATCCATGATGATTGGCTGAAATGATTAAAAGTTCACTGCATTCAGGAAGATTTTGTGAAAGGGTTAAAGTTCATTACATTTAGGTAGACAGTGCTGTAGATCTATAATGTACACTGTGTTCAGAATATGAATGTAGTTTGTGTACTTTATTTGATTTACCTTACCCTGAATGGCAAGAGTGGAATAGAATAGAAAACTTCAGTCAAATTGAAGTTTTTCAACCTACTTAATAGTAATTATTTGTATGAAATACTAATTTGGACCAGGCATTAAGATAAATGGATTTTAAGTGAACAGTGTAGTTTGTAAAGCCTTTGACTGTATTAACTAAAAGTAACTCTGTGCTGTAGGATGGAACGAGAATATAGCTCTGTCAAAAAGCAGCTGACAGCTCAAGTGGAAGACAAGAAATCTGTGATCGGCAATCTGTCCAAGGAGCTGGAGCATCACCAGAAAAATTTCTCCGAACTCAAAGATGAGCTAACTAAGGCCAAGAAACGTCAGATATACCTAGAGGAGACATATGGTGGAAACATGAGAGAATTAGAACTGCTTCTTAATAATTTCTCAGTAGAGCCTACCAAGGGCAGTAAGTAGATACTATAAATAGAACTTCTCCTTAATAATTTCTCTGTAGAGCCTACCAAGGGCAGTAAGTAGACACTATAAATAGAACTGCTCCTTAATAATTTCTCTGTAGAGCCTACCAAGGGCAGTAAATAGACACCATAGAACTACTCCTTAATACCCTCTTTGTGGAGCCTACCAAGGGCAGTAAATAGACACTATAGAATTACGCCTTAATATCCTCTGTGTGGAGCCTACCAAGGGCAGTAAATGGACACTATAGAACTATGCCTTAATATCCTCTGTGTGGAGCTTACCAAGGGCAGTAAATAGACACTATAGAACTATGCCTTAATATCCTCTGTGTGGAGCCTACCAAGGGCAGTTATTAGACACTTCGTCTACTACTTCACAACCAGTAACAATTTCAGGTGGAATACACTTCCAAGCTCCCTTCAAAATTTAGTGGACAAAGTTGGCCCCTACTGATGTGTAATGTAACTAAGAACTATGTATATTATGATGACTTGCTTCATAATAAATCAGTACTCAATTTCAGAATAAAAACACTGTGTTCTTTCAATACAGAATCAAAGAAAGATTCCTCAAAACAACCAAATCCTTCTGTAGTGCTGGAGTCCTTACGACAAACTTTGTCTGAATACAAGAAGCGTCTGGATAACACGTCTGGAGAGGTGAGGTGGTGTGTTCTGAATCTCTAGATTGTTAGCTTTTAGGGATGAAAAAAGACTTACTCATCTGTTTTGGATATTAGTGAAATAATAGGATGATTTCCTCTATTATCCACATTTTGAAAATATCAAGTTTGATAGTCACTGCTACGTTTAAGGATGTTAACATGCACTTTGGAAGGTAAAAATTAAAATACTGTGATCAAAATCTTTCAGAAAGACGTGCAATGGGTTTTATTTCATTTCTTGTAAATTTTTAGTTGAATATCGAATATAGATTAGCATGTGAAATATGTTATGTTAAGGAACATGTTCAGTGAAATCCTACTTACCATTGATGATATCTGTTTTGACAGCTGGGTCGAATGAAGAAGCTGACAGACAGTTTAAATAGGGAGGTTGACCAACTCAAAGAGATGATGTGGGCCAAGGATAAGTCATTAGAAGTAGGTATCTCTCAGTTGCTGTGTAAGTTGTAATATAACTAAATTATGAAGTCTATTAAGAAAGTTTAGAAATCTCCAGGCAGTTTTTATTCAGTATTAATTATGTATGTATTATATATACTTGTGGTCAGTGAAGTTATAACAACATAGACAGGTAAATTGTCAAATTTTCGAGGCAATCTGCCCCATTATCAAGACACAAAATAATGCAAAAATTACATCACATGCATAGAACATAAAACAAACTTTCTTTTTCATTGTGTAATAAAATACTATGTACTTTGTAAATGTAATGGCTTTATCATGGAAGATTTAGGAACCAAGGATGTATACTTCTAGCAAATCATCAAATCAGACATATTCAAGATTTGTCAGGAAGTATGTATTTGAAGAATAAAAGAGAGGTTTGTATACAAGATTACTTTGATATGCAGAGATATCTTCAGGTGCTATTTCTCCATTTAAGGACGCCCAGAAAAACTACACACGAACAGCGAAGGAGTTGAATCGCGTAAGATCTGAGTATGGAGCTCTTGACAGTCACATGGCCAGAATGAAGATGGATTTACAGAGTACTAGTTCTAACCAAACTAAAGATAGGAAACGTATTCATGGATTATCTGAGGAGGTAAGTGTTAGGGGAAGGTCAGAGGACAGTCTAAATATAGAAAAAATAATAGCACTCTGATAACAGATCTCTGAGGTGTTAGCTATAGGCAGTGAGAGAAGAGAGGTCAAAGGTCAGTCTAGATGTCTACTAGATGGAATTGTCTGAGGTGGTAGATGTATGAGGGTAGAATCCATAGGTCTATTTAAATATTAAGTACCCAGACAAATCTGGGTGAGGAGGTAAATAATGAGAGAAAGATTCTGTGTATTATGTTTTATGTGGTTCTATTTGATGACAAGAAAAATTGTTGTCCCATCAATATATGTAATTTTTTTTTAATTTCCAGATCATGAAGTTGGTAAAACGACATAAAGCTGAAGATGAGGTCAGTAGCTTGTCTTTCATAATTAAAAGTATGTAATTACTTACAGAGGTCATATTTGATTGATGCAAATTCATCAAACAACCATACTTAAATATGTGGGAGTGATGGCATTACAGACATTTACAAGTTTATTGATATAGATAAATATGATTTTGTATGTTTAGGAAAAATTGGCATTTTTACACGGCATGCATCATCGTCTGTTAGCTGGAAAGATTCCAATGAAGGAGCCCAACTTTACCCAGTTTTCTTGGGCTGACCTGACCAGTCTTGTGTATGAACAAGTGTCCAGTCTGGTGACTGTTGTACAGAGATCAGAGGAGAAGGTAATCTGCTTATGTAGTTGGTTGATAACTAGACAGAAATTGAAAAACAACTATGACTTTTGATGTTATAATTAAGATGAATTTTGAAGCCAGATTGATCCAGTAAGTAAGGATTTGATATTTAATTTTATACAAATGACATTTTAAGATTTTTCTTTGTATTTTTAAAAATATCTTTTTGTGAAAGGGAATTGATTGTGTTGAACTTGGTTTAGTTTGTTATCAGTTGAATGGACAAAACTAATAATCTAGCAATACAAAAAAATAATACTCAATGGTAATATAAGATAGCAAATAGAAAAATCACAACCTCAGACAGTGGACAAACAGTGAAATCTTTGATGATTCCCACAACCTTAGCCAGTGGACAAATAGTGAAATCTTTGATAATTCCCACAATCTTAGCCAGTGGACAAACAGTGAAATCTTTGATCATTCCCACAACCTTAGACAGTGGACAAGCAGTGAAATCTTTGATAATTCCCACAACCTTAGACAGTGGACAAACAGTGAAATCTTTGATGATTCCCACAACCTTAGCCAGTGGACAAATAGTGAAATCTTTGATAATTCCCACAATCTTAGCCAGTGGACAAATAGTGAAATCTTTGATAATTCCCAAAACCTTAGACAGTGGACAAATAGTGAAATCTTTGATAATTCCCACAACCTTAGCCAGTGGACAAATAGTGAATTCTTTGATAATTCCCACAACCTTAGCCAGTGGACAAATAGTGAAATCTTTGATAATTCCCACAACCTCAGACAGTGGACAAATAGTGAAATCTTTGATAATTCCCACAACCTCAGACAGTGGACAAATAGTGAAATCTTTGATAATTCCCACAACCGTAGACAGTGGACAAATAGTGAAATCTTTGATAATTCCCACAACCGAAGACAGTGGACAAATAGTGAAATCTTTGATAATTCCCACAACCTTAGACAGTGGACAAGTAGTGAAATCTTTGATAATTCCCACAACCTTAGACAGTGGACAAATAGTGAAATCTTTGATAATTCCCACAACCTCACACAGTGGACAAATAGTGAAATCTTTGATAATAGTCACAACCTTACACAGTGGACAAATAGTGAAATCTTTGATAATAGTCACAACCTTAGACAGTGGACAAACAGTGAAATCTTTGATAATTCCCACAACCTTAGACAGTGGACAAATAGTGAAATCTTTTTTAATTGCAGACAACTCATTTAGAGGAAGCATTAAAATCAAAGGAGGAGCTGGTGGAAGAGATGCAACGTTCTCACGAAGACCAGCTCAACAAACTCACATCACTCACAAAGGAGCGCGAGCAGTCCTGGCACAAACAGAAGGAAGAGATTGAGGCACACTACGCACAACTTTTAACTGAACTACAGTCTCGCTCAAAGGTATGGACTAACTGAACTACAGTCTCCCTCAAAGGTATGGACTTACTTCATTTTGGTCTCGTTCAGACATAAGGATTAGCTGAACTTCTGTTTTGCACAAGCATAAAAATTAAGTGAACAACAGCCTTGCTGCAATACATTATATGCATTATATTTTAGAGAACCATGTTGTTGCTAAAGTTTGAATAAAGCTCTTAGAGTTTTGATATAGAGATTATTTTTTATCCTAACTTGTTCTGGTCATATCTTAAAATAATACAGAGAGCCCTACCTGTTTTTAATTTCATTAATATAAGATTTTGTCTGAACTTCTACTTGTGTTAAAGTATTACTTACAGGTATGCAGAGCTCTTTACAAAGTTAGGAGCTAAATTGATTTGCAGCTTGAAAAAAGAAATATTTCATCATGAAGTACACTAAGGCTTTCTTAATGCTAGATTTTACTTTAAATGTTACCTGACGTAATGTGAATGTTGGAGCATAGCTTGTCACCAACCTAAATTTAAACTTAATTTCCAAATTGAACTTTGTTCCTGAATCTTTTGTATGTATATAAGTGATTGTTATTTTTACCAACAAAAAAGGTTAGATCCTTTTGAAAAAGAAATCAAATCATAATTTATAGTGGTTGTTTTTGAAGATTAGTTACCAATTTCAAAGAAGGTTTTGTTGAATGAATGAAAATGGTCGTAAAGCTGTTACTGATGTTAGTTTTATTTTTTCTCATTATAGAAAAGCCAAGCAATGGCTGACCAAGCATGGGACAAGATTCGTATGACAGGAACAGTAAAACAGGGATTAGAGACTGAGTGTTCAGACCTTCGTGCACAGGTCGTGGAAGCTCAGACACAGAATGCGTCATTGCTAGCCGCATGTGGACTTCTTGCAGGAGCATTGTTCCCAATGTGTTCTCGGGCTACGCATCTAGCAACTCAGCGCCATCTACTGGAAGAACAGTGTGGTATGTGGGACATGTGTCGTGAACGTATTGAACTTCTTGTTGACACATTAGCATCAGAAATGCAGGATGAAAACGATACGAAGAGTAAAACTCAGATTCACAGAAAAAGACATCCGCTGTTAGTGTTTCGGAAAGCTGCCATAGCTGTTCTGGCTGCCAACAGATTACGATATCTGGGACGTTCATGTACAAAAATGTTTGTTACGTATGATACTTCTGTGTTCTACCGTACTGGCATTGCTGTGTGTACAGGAGGAGCACGGCCAGCTGTCACATCCTTCAGAGGTAAGCAGCTCTTCATAGCCTACTGGTGACAGGGTTTATTTTTTCTCTAGCTTTAGGAATGGGGAATCAGGCTTCTGTCTTATCAGTCTAACTCTTGACTGACTAAGCTTCAGAGAAATCTCCGTTGGTGGTTCCATAGAAATATCAAGTACTTTACTAGGACAAAATACTGCCCCAGCATAGCTTTCAGGAGTTAAGATAATTTGTATTACAGCTTTGTAGTTTTGTCAATATTTCCAACAAAACAAAATGGTAAAAGATATTATAGTGAAGGATGGGACATTTACTGTTGATCTTCTTGTAAATGATGTGGGCTATTACAGCCGTGCTATTGCAAATGGATGGTCAGTGCATTGAATGTTATTGGTAAAGATCAGTGAAAAAGATAAATGATTAACAAAGGAGGGGCTCTCCAGACCAGAAACAAGAGAAATGATGATATAATATTGTGTAATGGTCAGATGGATATTAAGGTTAGTGTATTGTTCAACTTTTCAACTTGTGTGCTGTAGATGGTGTGAGTGATGATTTGGAAATAGATGACCTGTCGTCTCGCCAGGACATCATGAGATGGGTGTCCAGTCCCGATCTTCTCCACACTGTTGTCTCCTCCATGTCAGAAATGATTGAAGTCATAGGTCATATCAAGAACAAAGATGGAGGTAAGGGCATTTCAAAACCAGGTCTTTGTTGATTTACTGTACATACTATGACATCTATTGTGACAATATACATCTCTGTGAACTAAATAATTCAAAAGACTGAACTATTGACTTGATGTTTTATTTGTTTCTGAAAACACTGGGCAAAAATATCGCATTGGTTTTTGATTGACTGTTCAAACTTCCATTACTTTTCGGGAATTCCTTTAGCTGCATAAATTTGAATTAATTATCAGTGTATTTCTGCCTACCATTGATCAAAAGTTTCATAATATTATTTTACTCATTGTTTTGAAAGCCAGAAAATTATCTAGCTTCTTAAAGACTTTAAAGTCTATGAATAACTTCTGAATGGTTTAGAGGTATTCTTTACTTGAAAAGAGACCATCATTTTGTTTGATACATCGCAAGTTATTTGTTCTGTGTTTATCAGGTGATCATATCAAAGATAATGACATATTATTTTACTGAACTTCAAATTGCATTCACAGCCATCGAATCACGAGCACTGGTAAATGCAGCAAGGAACACATTTACAAAACTGGTTGACAAAATTGGCCGTCATTTTGAAGGGGTGACTGGAAGTCAAAACACAGCATTTCGTGAACGCAATTCTTTGATGCGAATGATGGGCAGGGGTCTGTCTAAAGTGTGTGTTGGAAAACCACTGGAACAGAGGCAGCACCTATCACCACTACAGGTAAGACACATAGCAACACTACAGGTAAGACATATAGCACCAATACAGGTAAGACACATAGCAATATTACAGGTAATGCTCATAGCAATACTACAGGTAAGACATATAGCACCAATACAGGTAAGACACATAGCAATACTACAGGTAAGGCACATCGCAACACTACAGGTAAGACACATAGAAACAGTACAGGTAAGGCACATAGCAATACAACAGGTAAGACACATAGCAACACTACAGGTAAGACACATAGCAAAACTACAGGTAAGACACATAGCAACACTACAGGTAAGACATATAGCACCAATACAGGTAAGACACATAGCAAAACTACAGGTAAGGCACATAGCAACACTACAGGTAAGACACATAGCAACACTACAGGTAAGACATATAGCACCAATACAGGTAAGACACATAGCAAAACTACAGGTAAGAGGTAAAAAAATTCATTATCAGATAGAATATCATGTTTAGTTTAAAGATTAATGTGTATGTTATCCATGATATAAATGGGGGGCTGTGTGTTGGGTGTGGATACCAAAAGGTATACAGGGCATTAAAATAAAACACAAATCCAGGTAAGTTTATAATGGATAAGTATTATTATGACTGTCAGAGAAGGATCAATTGTCATCATCGGTGATGTTAGTGTAAGAGTATCAGTATTGTAAGAAATATTAAAAAAGTAGAAGAGAGTCCATTGGATGTTGCAGGACATTCTTGGAGCCTTGCAGAATCACATTTTGAACTTCACACAACGCCTACATGCTGTGGAGATAGAACGCCGTGGACTGCTTTTAGAGGTAGAAAGACTGAAAGAAGAAGTCATTGAAGCTAGCCGTGATGAAGCACTGAAAAACCAGATGTCTGAGGTAAACAGATGAAAAGTTTTATATCAGAAATGTACGATATCTTCCACTGGATCTGCTTAATGTCTGCTGTAATTTGGAATCTCAGTTGGAAAATTTTAAACATGTGATTATGACTTTTCACAGTGAAGACAGCATTGTAAAAATCAAACATTTTTAAGGAATTTTTACTCCATACTGCAAGAAGTAGAATCCTGATATATTATATTGGGGAAATTTTGTTTAACAGATTCTAAAAGTAGCCATTGTGAGTGTATTTCAATCTTACTATGCTCCCTGTTTTGGCGTGTAAATGTCTCTGATTGTGTGCTTTTTGTGCTCCTAGCTTACAGATAATGATTATAATAGGTGTAAATAGTAAGTTGGTGTTTGTTTGTAAGGACCCTCAATTTGTGGCCATGGATAAGTTTGAGAGTGTCTGCCTGGAGTTAAACAATGCCTTACGACGAGAACAACAAGCTCAGCAGCTGCTGTTAGAGCAGGGGAGACAACTGGAAGAACTGACCCTTCGTCTTGACCTTTACACCACAGAGGGAATGGAGAAGGAACAGATCCTTACAAGTGCTGTACAGGTATGGCCTGGTCTGTCAGACATCATTCCAAGGAAATTATGTACAAATCTGCTTTGAAATGATAACTGATACTGTAACAATCTGCTTCCTAGAAAGAATGATTTTGAGTGTGTCAGAGTTATAGTTCACACTTTGCTTGAGACACATTACTACACTGTACAACCATATGAGAAATGGATCAGATTGCTCCTGACAAGATTTCTTCATAGTTTATCAAAGAAAGTAGTACTCTTGAGGATGTGTTAAATAACATCAGATAGGCCAGGTGGAATTATGTTGTGCAATTAGCACTAAAGGAGATGTTTGTTCATTCAGGGGCTTGCTGAACATAAGTCTGAGATGAAGAAAAAGGAACAAACCCTTCGACAGCTGAATCGACAAGTGATCACACTGGAGGGAGAGAAGAAATCTCTCAGCACCAATGTCAGCGATGCTGAGCGGGCTCTAAGAACTGTTGCAAGGTAATCAACCTCTCTTACTTCCTCCCCACAAAAAATGTATTTTTTCTCGCGATTTAACAGGAATGATGACAAGTTCCTAGGAAAATATTTGTTACAGTTGAACTATAGTCTGTGAAAAAAGTTCTTTTAACACAACCAGTAGAAGATTTGAGTGAGACATGTCAATGACTACAGGGTGACATTTTCTTTAACACTTGGTCATAGATGTGCGAGAGTCTGCAACCTCCCCTCCTGTCAATTACATTATATTGTTACCTTCTGGTGTATTTTGTTAGTCGATAACCTGTTTACCATCTGGTCACACTATTTTCGACCTTTGTGTACATAGGATTATAGTATAACCGACAAAGTTGATAGATTCTGTACCATCTTCTACACTACGTATGTCAGTGATAGTACACTCCACACTGGTCATTGAAACGTCACACTACTTCTACTGCTTGTGTTATAAGAACTTCTATTCTATTGGCATTACAAACATGAAGAAAATGTTCCAAAATATATTAGTCTGTGATTTCTATAAATAATTGAAGACCGTCAGAATTTGGACTGACTAGTTGTGAACTAGATAATTTTACCCTTATCAGAATTGTCTGAATGATTTTATATTTGCAGAGACAAGGAGATTTTAACGCTGTACATACGCTCTGTAGAAGCTGCATTAGATAAGGTAAGTCAAAATCAGTCATACGTAAGAGTAGGATTCAATCACAACAAGCTCATCTTAGTGTTTCTTTTATGTGAATTTCTTTTCACTTGATAAAAAATTTTTTTTTAATTTCATCTCCATTGGAAGCTTTCGTCATGAGTGAATAAAACTACATGTATGTATGATGTCCTGGCTTCAGTGACTTAATTTTTATCAGATTATCATGAAATTTCTTTCACTACTCTGAGCTCCTACAAATTTGAGATGACTGTTCTGTCGTTTGTATCATCCTTGTTCAACTTTTTCTTCTGAATTAGGAAATTTATATAATTTTATTTTTCTTATTTCTGACATATTTTTGCCAGAAATGAAAAACTAGTCTTCTACATCTTAATTTGCTGCCCTCTGCGTCCAACAGGAATAAGAACAACAAAACAAACACTGTTCATTGAGTTGAATTTGTTGGAGTGATCTGTGAGATTATTATACATCATCAGTTCAATGTTCTGTATTGTACGAAGTTCAACTGTTTGTATCGTAAACAGGGAGGAAGAGTGTATACAACCAAATGTAATAGATTGATAGAAATAGGAAATACATGTTTCTTAAAAAAAAACAGAAATTTATCTCCTTTTTTATTTATAAATTCTGTTAACTGGTAACAACATGTAATCAAATTTACATGAAAGTGCACCAGTGACCTTGTCACCTATATTCATGTTTGTCTAATTAGCATGTTTTATTTTTGACAGGCGAAACAAGAGTTATCTCTCTCTAAACGATTCCAGGGACGAGATGTTTCTCTCTCCAAAATGTTACTCAGTGCTGACTTCATTCCCACTGATGTAGGGAAGGCAGGCCCAGAACTGATTGCATGTCAGGTAAATTACATGTTAGGTAAATTATATGTCCGGTAAATTACGTGTCAGGTAAATTACATGTCAGATGTCAGGTAAATTACATGTCAGGTAAATTACTTGTCAGGTAAATTACATATCAGATAAATGATATGTCAGGTAAATTACATATCAGATAAATTACATGTCAGGTAAATTACATGTCAGGTAAATTAAGTCCTATAAGATTATGTGATACTGAAGAGTATTTTTCACTCATTTTAAAACTTAATAATTTAAAATACAGACTTGACTTATTTTCACCACTGGACTCAAGAGGATGCCATGTTTTTCAAAATGTTAACTTTTCCTCCAGTTAATCTAATATAAAAAAATATCAACAAAATTTGCATATATAGCAAACAGAATAATTCAAAGTCATACTTGTTATGTGTGTTATGTTGCGTCAAACAACATTCAAAATGGACGGGTTGAATCTAGCAGTGCATCCTGGTGTATTTCTGCATTAAAATGGAGCAATGTGTTATTATGACTTAAAATTCCTAAATTCATCTTGCTTTTTTCATTAATATGTTTTTTTTAGGCAAAAGAATTGTTCAGTTAACAAATTTCATCATTAGAAATTTTTCTGGAGTGTTTTTATTAGATAGTAACTGAGGAAATATTGGACATATCAGTGGGTGTGCAGGGCTAACATATAGTGCACATTCAGTAAACATTGGTGTATTTTTCTCCTTTACAGACCAACATTACACATCAGCAGATACAGTAACTATATAAGGTGGTGAAAATTAGAAGACTGATAAAATAATATGTTACCTGGCAAATAATATGTAACCTGGATACTGTTACCTGTAGAAAAATCTGTTACCAGGACTGTGTTACTGTGTAGAGTGTTACCTGTAGAAAAATCTGTTACCAGGACGGTGTTACTGTGTAGAGTGTTACCTATAGAAAAATCTGTTACCAGGACGGTGTTACTGTGTAGAGTGTTACCTGTAGAAAAATCTGTTACCAGGACGGTGTTACTGTGTAGAGTGTTACCTATAGAAAAATCTGTTACCAGGACGGTGTTACTGTGTAGAGTGTTACCTGTAGAAAAATCTGTTACCAGGACGGTGTTACTGTGTAGAGTGTTACCTATAGAAAAATCCGTTACCAGGACGGTGTTACTGTGTAGAGTGTTACCTGTAGAAAAATCTGTTACCAGGACGGTGTTACTGTGTAGAGTGTTACCTATAGAAAAATCTGTTACCAGGATGGTCTTACTGTGTACAGTGTTACCTGTAGAAAAATCTGTTACCAGGACGGTGTTACTGTGTAGAGTGTTACCTATAGAAAAATCTGTTACCAGGATGGTGTTACTGTGTACAGTGTTACCTGTAGAAAAATCTGTTACCAGGACTGTGTTACTGTGTACAGTGTTACCTATAGAAAAATCTGTTACCAGGATGGTGTTACTGTGTACAGTGTTACCTGTAGAAAAATCTGTTACCAGGACGGTGTTACTGTGTACAGTGTTACCTATAGAAAAATCTGTTACCAGGACGGTGTTACTGTGTAGAGTGTTACCTGTAGAAAAATCTGTTACCAGGATGGTCTTACTGTGTACAGTGTTACCTGTAGAAAAATCTGTTACCAGGACGGTGTTACTGTGTAGAGTGTTACCTATAGAAAAATCTGTTACCAGGATGGTGTTACTGTGTACAGTGTTACCTATAGAAAAATCTGTTACCAGGATGGTGTTACTGTGTACAGTGTTACCTATAGAAAAATCTGTTACCAGGACGGTGTTACTGTGTAGAGTGTTACCTATAGAAAAATCTGTTATCAGGATGGTGTTACTGTGTACAGTGTTACCTGTAGAAAAATCTGTTACCAGGATGATTAGAATTGGCATGTTACCTTGAAGATTAAATGGTATCCTATTTCGGTGAAAAAGTTGTACCTATTTTAACTGAGTGCCAGCATTTAAAATATTCTCTTGTTTAACATCAGTTTCTATAACGTTATTACAGAATCTGGTCGGTGCATTTGTGGATGCTCAGCAGCAAGCATATGCCAAAATAAAGGCTCTTGAAGAGGATGTGGACTCCCACAAACGTCATGTGACCACACTCAAACAAGAACTCAGCGACGCAGTTCGACGGGAGTATGATGATGAGGTATGTTGTCTACTGCTTCTATCCTGGTATAATAGAATTGGATGAATAGTTCCCCTTCAGTGAACTTAGAGTATCACCAGAGAATTTGGAGAATCAATTTTATTCTTCATAAAAATGTACAGAAGTAAATGTATGCAGCAAGCTTCTTTATTTGTTAAAAAATTTGGATATTTTGAAAAATTGTGTCGACTTTAATTTTGATTGCAATAAATGTGTATTAAAGAGAATATTACTGTTATTATGATGTTTTTTCCAGGGTGAGGTTCCCACACGAGACAACGAGAAGGTCAGTCAAAACATCAGTATGGTGGACACTACACAAGGAGATGCCTTTATGCCAATCAAGTATGTATGTTGTTCTAGGCTAGTGTCCGTTAGCCCATTATCATCAGACTGGTCAAATTGTCCTTTAACATTTCTTTCTATTATTAGCTATTTCTTACCAAATGGATCTTCCTCAAATTTAGTATGTCCCCTCTGTTCCAAGTGGTGTCTTTTCAAAACACTTTTGAGATTGATTGGGAAAAAAATGGCCGACTGACAGCCACTTTGGATTTTGACAATGAAGGTTTATTATCGCTATTTCTTTTAGATTTTAAATGAAGAATTTTTTTTTTGTTTTTTTTTTTAAGTTAGGCTTTGATTATTCTATGATTTATACCCCAAAACAAATATCTGGAGTCCTGGGAGACTGATCTCTATGAAACTATGTTACATTTCCAACTCCAGGTAGTTGAAACAGAAAGTTACAGCCATTTTAAAGTAAAATTTATTTGACTAAATTTTACGATAAAAATTTTGATAAAAATTGGATTATAAAATGTATACCCAGATTTTCTTTATGTACTTTACAGGGAGGATTCTGAAATCTCATTTTCATTTGCAAAGCCATCTACCCCAAAATCAACACCAAAAGCCAAAGCAAGGCTGATCTCGGAGACCCCTAATAAAGGGGATCGGTAAGTGTAACCTGGTTTAAACAATAGTGTATATATGAATTTAGTCATTAAGGTTGTCACCAAGATAAATGTTTTAAGTCTTATCGTTATATCAGTTTTACAGTTTCCATGGTCTTTATTTAATATTCAAATATGACATCTTCTTTCATCTGTCATATATTTATATCTACCTCTATGTCTGTTATGACAGTAGTTCTGTGTGTTCCCCTGTTGAACACTATAACCCCCTATTGCATCACCTTATTATTGTGATCGGTGTTAAAACGATTGCTAGGCTTTTGACAAATAGGAGTATTTCTTAAGAATTCAAAACCAATCATGAGTTGTAATTTATTCAGGAATGGAATAAGCCTGGGGAATGTGTGTGGATAAACAAAAAATGTATCATATTAAGAATGTGCTTTTATGTTGCATCTCGTGTGAAATCAGTATTGAATTTTTTTTATCTCTTTCCTGTCTGCAGATCTCCCAAGTACCAGACACCATCTCGTAGTTCACGGACACAAAACATGCGCCCCAAAGCTTTCGAGCCTCATGGGAGGTGACATCTGTATTCTGACAGTTTGTAAAGTTCAAATCAAAGTTATTTATCAGGAACACATTGATAGGTAGACAAAAATAGGACATAATCACATATACCATTTTATAGGTTAAACAGTGAAATATACAGAAAATAGTTATTATCATAAACATAGATACTTAGATGTTCATATAGATATATATGTAAGTAATTTTATTGGTGATATCTACTTCAATAACATGATTTAAAAGAAAAAATAATATTATACAAAGCTTTGTGAAATTTGTTGCTTTTTTTGGTGAAATATGAAAAAGAAGATGAAGTTTTTTTACCTATAGTTAGGTTGAGTCATGATACTTAAAAAAAATCCAAACATTTCATGAAGGATTTTTTATCAGTAGACAGTAATCTTGAATATCAACAACAAAAACTCCCTATGATACTAAGGTTGTACCTTCATGGCAAGTAAGGATAATCAACTAGTCAATATTTAACTTTGATACAGTATCTAATTGCTGATGAGAAATGGCAAAGAGATGGCCAACAGCTTTTATAATTAAACCACAAGTGCCTTGTTAAACCTTTTGTCATACTTTGATTAAATCCCCACATCTTTTTAATTGTTTTTAACATCCTAGTTTTGTTGGTGGGGATGTAATTCCACAAAAGAAACGACAAATTTTATTTGTGTCTAGTGTTGTTGTATTGTTGTTGCTTAAATGTCTTCTTTTTGTTTACTTGTTTGTTTTTGTTTAGTTATGTTGTTATTAGAAAATTGTATTAGAATCTTTGTGATATTCTTTATAACCATCTGTCCTTATATGTAGTATAAGTACTGAGATGTACGGCTGACATTGGTGATTCAATATCAAAATAATTTAGAATATCAGACGTATGTAGCATTTCGTTACAAAAGTCTCTGTTTATTAAAGGATGTATTCATAAAAATACATAGTGATGTATTCATAGAAAGCTAATTCAGATAGGGATGTATTAACAGAAAGCTAATTAAGGTAAGGATGTATTAACAGAAAGCTAATTAGGGTAAGGATGTATTAACAGAAAGCTAATTAAGGTAAGGATGTATTTACAGAAAGCTAATTAGGGTAAGGATGTATTAACAGAAAGCTAATTAGGGTAAGGATGTATTTACAGAAAGCTAATCAGATAGGGATGTATTAACAGAAAGCTAATTAGGGTAAGGATGTATTTACAGAAAGCTATAAAGACAGGGATGTATTTACAGAATGTATAGACACAGGAGCTTGGCATAAGGTCATATTTCATATATCTAGATATATATTCAGATAAAGATTTTCACATGAAAAAAATTCACAGAAAGCTAGCCATGTAAGGATATATATACAGAAAGCATTTCGACACAGACTCATTGTAAACAGAAATTTCCCACTAATGCTTCCTGGAGTCACTGGTGTTCTGTTTTAAATGTAACAAGTCTGATTACATCGTACTGTGTTATGTATGTACCTGCAATAATCAGATTGTTAATTTTAACAGTGTCTTTAAGCAAAATTCATATGACACTATAGACATTTTTTTATCTTTTGAGCTAGCAATCATTTGCATATATTCCTTTTATAAAACTTTATATCTAATTTTTATTTTAAGGATTCAAGTGCAATTAGAAAATCAATTTCCATTTAAATATCATTTATTTCACATGCAAAATTAAATATAGGATATTCAAACATCTTTTTAAAAGTTTCACAGTAATGAATTTTGTTTCATGTTTCAGCTGTTGTTAGTTTGAGACAGTGTGGCACTAGCACTGTATTCTTTATATGTAAAGGAGATTAAACTTTCACGACTTTGGTGTATTGTTTTGCTCTTATCTTGCCCATACAAACATTCCTCATTGTGATACACTTTTTATAATTAACTTCTTCACCAACTTGTGATAATAATAACTAGAAACACCGCAGTATCGTTGAATATTGATTGAAGTAACATTCACTAAATTCCTGTTGTCCAGTCTCTGATATCAACATGGTTTATGTCCGGAGTTCTCAGGTGTCTGCTATGATGTTAATTCCGACATCTCCAGGTCGACGGTGATGGGAAAATGTGCTATAAGTTTGAAAGCATTTGATACTATTTATTTTGTGGCTTTTTTTTTATTTATTTTTCATTATTTAATACATGTATGCTGTCTTGTAACTATTTTTGTTACATCCGTCCAAACACATTATTCTCAAATTCATATTAAACGCGTTATTTATTAATTTAATTTGAATGTTTTATGTGATATATGTCAGTTTAAAGTATTTTGTTATGATGAGACTTTCCCCCCCGAAAAATCAAGATGACAAAGAATTATGGCCAGTCTATTAAATGTATAGAATAAGAAAAGACGAAGTTAAGATCATTTTAAGTATTTATATCATGTTAAACGGGAAATCTGTTAATAAAAAAACAGAGATTTTTATTATGTTCATTATTCACAGCATGAAAATCAACCACACAACTGTTGGTTGAAAATTTCCAAAATTTAGCTCATGTTCAGTTATAATCAACAGCTAGAGTATTATTTGATTGAGTAAAGTTGTAAATGAATTTTTCTCAACTGTAAGAAGTACAGACAACGGTTCTTGTGTATTTATCTGGGTAAAATGGTGCTGATATGAATCATGTATAGTTTCTGTTTAAGGATAAATTTACCACTATCTATATAAGGTTTGATTTTGGTTTGGGTGTTGTAATAGGGAAATGGAATACTGGCAGCTGTGTTTTTTGAATTATAGGTATTTCTTGTTTCCATATCTTGTTGGAAGTTTTGATTAAAGACATGTTAAATAATGTTTGTTGATACGTATCATACTGTATTAAATTATTAGAATTAAACTTTAATGGTCATATATGTAAACATCATTTGTTTCGATTGGTCAGTAATTCTTATGGTGAAACGGAATTGTGGATAAACTAGGGAAACTGAAAGATTTAAAAACAGTCTTTTAAGATTATGTTTATTGTTGTGTTTTCATGTAAAAAAGGAGGAAGTTAAATCATGTGATCTTAATGACACTCCCCGTACCCTGGATATAGAATTACCTAATCTGGCACCTGTTCCAGATTGATTCACCTCTGTCATGGGCTGATAATCTATTACCAGATCTCTTTCCTTATGAAAGCTTGAAGGGAATAAGATACACAATGCCAGCCAGAAATCAATTGATCTGGGACATGTACATGTAGTATTATGGGGTACAAATATATGCGCAACACTTTTGAATTTCTAAATTGCCTAACTGTTTGCTGTAGATATGAATAACAAGCAGGTAGGAAATTATTTTTTTCATTTGTAATTTTATGCCAAATGTTGAGTAAATATGGCAGGCAAATTGAGCAAGATGGAAATATCTTTGCAATTGTGTAAGATTTGGTTATTTATAAGTATATACATATATCTAGTAAGACACTGTCTATACAGGGTGTGTTTTGTATATAGAATATATTGTATATATCATGTATAACACTCCACACTGTCACATATGTAAAACACATAATCAAATAATAAATCTGTTTCAACATTATATCAATGTGTTCATATATTTTTCAATTACATGATAATGCTGTACTGGTGTTAAATAGAAATTGTTGGACAAAGGAACACGGTTGGGAATTGTTGGACAGAGGAACACGGTTGGGAATTGGTGGTGGTATATAGAGATTGTTGGACAGAGGAACACAGTTGGGAATTGGTGGTGGTATATAGAGATTGTTGGACAGAGGAACACAGTTGGGAATTGGTGGTGGTATATAGAGATTGTTGGACAGGGGAACACAGTTGGGAATTGGTGGTGATATATAGAGATTGTTGGACAAAGGAACACAGTTGGGAATTGGTGGTGATATATAGAGATTGTTGGACAGAGGAACACAGTTGGGAATTGTTGGACAGAGGAACACAGTTGGGAATTGGTGGTGATATATAGAGATTGTTGGACAGAGGAACACAGTTGGGAATTGTTGGACAGAGGAACACAGTTGGGAATTGGTGGTGATATATAGAGATTGTTGGACAGAGGAACACAGTTGGGAATTGGTGGTGGTATATAGAGATTGTTGGACAGAGGAACACAGTTGGGAATTGGTGGTGATATATAGAGATTGTTGGACAGAGGAACACAGTTGGGAATTGTTGGACAGAGGAACACAGTTGGGAATTGGTGGTGATATATAGAGATTGTTGGACAGAGGAACACAGTTGGGAATTGGTGGTGATATATAGAGATTGTTGGACAGAGGAACACAGTTGGGAATTGGTGGTGATATATAGAGATTGTTGGACAGAGGAACACAGTTGGGAATTGGTGGTGGTATATAGAGATTGTTGGACAGAGGAACACAGTTGGGAATTGTTGGACAGAGGAACACAGTTGGGAATTGGTGGTGGTATATAGAGATTGTTGGACAGAGGAACACAGTTGGGAATTGGTGGTGATATATAGAGATTGTTGGACAGAGGAACACAGTTGGGAATTGGTGGTGGTATATAGAGATTGTTGGACAGAGGAACACAGTTGGGAATTGTTGGACAGAGGAACACAGTTGGGAATTGGTGGTGGTATATAGAGATTGTTGGACAGAGGAACACAGTTGGGAATTGGTGGTGATATATAGAGATTGTTGGACAGAGGAACACAGTTGGGAATTGTTGGACAGAGGAACACAGTTGGGAATTGGTGGTGATCTATAGAGATTGTTGGACAGAGGAACACAGTTGGAAATTGTTGGACAGAGGAACACAGTTGGGAATTGGTGGTGATATATAGAGATTGTTGGACAGAGGAATACAGCTGGGAATTGTTGGACAGAGGAACACAGTTGGGAATTGGTGGTGATATATAGAGATTGTTGGATAGAGGAACACAGTTGGAAATTGGTTGACAGAGGAACACAGTTGGGAATTGGTGGTGATATATAGAGATTGTTGGACAGAGGAACACAGTTGGGAATTGTTGGACAGAGGAACACAGTTGGGAATTGGTGGTGATCTATAGAGAT